CAAACAAAACAAAAACATACAGAAAACATTGAACACATACCTAATTGATCATAAGCTCAAATAACTGTTAGCTGCTATATATTATTATTATTATTATTATTAGTAGTAGTAGTAGTAGTAGTAGTAGTAGTAGTAGTTGTGGATGATTGTTCCAAAGGTCAGAGTTATGGAGGCCCCTGGGAAGGCAGTCAGGGGTCAGCTAATTCAAAGCAGCAAAGAAGATTGCAGTTTTGAGATTTAGAATGAGAACAAGGATGAGTTGGCTTTGGAGGAAAGATGGTAGCGCATCAACTAGAGGCAGATAACAGAATCAGGAAATTCTCAGTAGAAAAACAAAAACACAGGTTGTCTGGAAAGCAAAGGGAAGTTGCCCAATCAGACAGAAGGAAGAGTCAGGAGCACTCCTGAAGTTCATAGATGACATCAGAGGAGAGTCGGATAACTTGCAGATGTGATCACCATGTGTAATCTCAATAGCTCGGATTTTCTCAGGGTATGTAACCTCAACAGATCGGAGGGATGTGTGTAATCCTGACATCTTGGAGCTTTTCAGCATGTGTAATCGCCACAGCTTGGAACAAAAGTTTTCTCAGTCTTCAAGGGTGTGTGTACATGTGAAAATGTGCGCTGAGAGGGCTTAGGAGTAGATTCTGGGAAATACAAACCACAGAACCAAATGTCAATCCCTAATTTAAAAGACAGTCTGTGGTCACTTAAGAAAGAAGCACTTGGTTATTGGTAACCTGTCTGGGTGCACTTGAAACACAGTCCAACGAGTAAATTTCTCTTCCTTTCTAAAAGGGCTTTTCTCAACTGTTGGGACAGTGGTGTGATTTGGTAAGGCATTCCAGCCATGTATAGTTGATCACTTCCTATGCCAGGGAAAGAAAGATGATAGAGATAAGGTTTCAGAGAAGTACACATCCCTCCCAACAGGTGGTAAGCTGTGGCTGGAGGATAATGACATTCAGTGGCATCATAGCTGGGGAAACCTGCAACATCATGGGTCAATGGCAGTTTGGAGGGCGATTTTAGACCCACTCGGGCTTGTGTCCTGTTTGGCATTCTGAGCAAGGCTCAGGACAGAAATACAGATGGCATGCTTTGTCAGTGAGTCATGGCAAAGGTGAGAGGCTGGCACCTGCTAGATGGCGGAAATCTGATTCTAAATCTTCTTGCATGAAATGATGAAATGTACCATGTAACCAAGAGTAGCACCAAATCTAACCCCAGCACATTGGACACCACGTCCAAATATGGGACAAAAGTGCAGGAGTTCCCTCTTGGGAGCAATACAAACATGAAGAACACAGATGGTCCAAGTTGCCTGAGCGATCCAGACTCCACTTGACAAGCCCATGAGTAGAAGACAGGGGAGTGGCCTCCTCATGTTGGGAGGGAGGTGAGTTATGATGAATTACTCTTGAGGGATGAACTGAGAGGCTTCAGGGATGGTGGCTTCCCCTTTTTACAAGAAGAGACTCTGTAGCATTAAGAATTGGTCAGGGGGCTCAGCGTTTAAGAGCACTGACTGCTGTTGCAGAGGATCCTGGTTCAGTTCCCAGTACCTGCATGGCAGCTAACAACCATCTGTAACTCTAGTTGCAGGGGATCTAACACCTCTTCTGACCTCCACAGGCATTGCAAAACATGGGCACACTTATATGCAAATAGGCAACACACTCATACACATAAAATAAGATATTAAGAAAAAAAAGATTTGGCCAGAAAACAAAGAAAATAGGGCGAGTGAGCCTACATCCCCTCAGATATTTGAACAAGGCTAATCAATCATGCAGGAGGAGAGTTCACTAGGCAGATTCTGGGACCCTTCATGCTGTCTAGCAGCAGACACAGCAGGACTCAAGGGTCCCAGACTGGTAAGGAGGAAGAAGGGTGGGAAGGACAGACGTGACCAGAAGCATCCTACTGGAGGCACCTTCTTTGTTCCTCAACTAGTCTCAGAACCACAGCTTGTCTGAACCGAGAAAGGCCCTTTGGGAGCTCCTGACTCAAGTTCTGATGACACAGATGAGGGGGCCAAGGACAGGGGCTGAGCAGTTCATCCACAAGGCTAGGTAGGAAAGGGTTCAAATCCCAGCTCCCTCGTTAGCTGTATAACCTGGGCAAGCTATTTAACCTTTCTGTGCCTCAGTTTCCTTCTCTATACAATGAAACACAGGGTGGCCATAAAAATGAAAAGATGAGCTATGCAACAAGCACTTTAAAAAGCATTAAGGACGATCTAGACAATCAAAATAGAACTACATGGCAACTGTACATAGCAACAGTGTCTGCAAATTAGTACTGATGTACAGCCCCCAAGGGAGGGTAGAGCCAGGGAGTGGGGACACAGAAAGGCTAGGATTGGTGAGACCCTCCCCACTATATAGACTGGCTACTTGATACATTTGTGACAGATGGCCAGGTAGGTCACCCTTGTGTCAGGAAAGACCTGAGTTGGGACTCTCAGGAAGAGACATGCTCTCCCAGTCCTGGAGTCTCAGCAGAGGAGGGTAGGCTCAGAAGCACATGATCAATCACAGTTACCTTCTCCCCAGGTGTAACCGAGATGCGCCATACACAGTGCATGTGGGCAGAGTAGCCGTTGGGGTACTCAGGGGAGGAGAAGTTGCCCGTGCTGTCTTGGAGGGTCTCACCGCAGGCTGTCAAGGCAAGAAAGTAACTGAGCAGCAGGCTATAGGTGCCAGATCACCCTCTCTCTGGCTCATCCTCAAGGATGGCTGAAGAGAAGGGCTCTGTCTCTTTAAGATGTACCCCCTCCTTCTCATACACAAGCATATACCATCCTACCTCCCTGGCCTAGTGCTGCCAGGGTAACCAGATGCCCTGTTGTCAAGGCAACGTGGATTTCAGAGTTCAGATCAAGCTCTTTTGGTCACCCTCATCTCCACCTCACTAATCAGGAGTGTCTCTGCTCCCCTTTTCTGCCCCTACCACCCCTCACTCTCCTAGGCCCTCCCTACCACCTGAGCCTAGCCCCAGTTTGATCCTTAATTGGAACACAGTGCTTTCTTACTGTCCATCCTCTCCAATACCTTTCTCTGACACTTACAGCTGTGACTTTCTGGGTAGTCCCAGGTCCCTCTGCCTTCCTTGGATCCTACCCTTCACCCTTCCCAAGCCTTCCCTTCCCTGCTCTGACCTGGGCACTTGTAGAGCTTTCGGGCCTGGGTGATGTCCCCCTTGCTAAGTCGGGTCCTTTGGCCGATGGAAGGCTTCACCCCATTCACCTCATACTTGGGGACAATGGTGTCCAGGAAGATGCCCCTGAGAACGACATGGGGAGATTAAGGACATGGGTATGCTGGAGGGTGAGTGAGGAGAGAGGGTGCTGTGACCATCTGTACCCACAGGGCATGACCCTGCCTGGACCCAGACATTCCTCAGCAGGGTCAGGGACGGGTGGAGACATCTCACCCTGTCATTAAGCTGCCCACTGACCAGCAGCCACCCTGCTCCGTGGCAGCTATACCACAGAAGCTGGGGAGAGCTGTAGGAATGCTTTAGGAGGTGAAGGACTCAGGTCCATCAGGTCCATGATGTTCAGACTGGTCCCAACTCCCAACCCAGGGAGAGCTATGAACCACTCATTTGTCATCCCTGTATTTCTACCCAGCTCCCACCTCCAGGCCTCAAATGCTGATTCAGCTCTGATCAACTTCTTCCAGGACTTCCCAGGGCCAACCCTCTAACTCGGCTGTGACTGATAGAACCTGGAGCAAGGCCAAAGGGCAAGGGCTGCTTCCACCGTGGCCAGCCAGCTCCTAGGGCCCAATGTCCCTGTCTCCCATTTCTTCCCTGTTAAACCCTGTGTTTCCATCTGGGAGGGGCAGTAGAAAGGGGAGGCAGCAGCTTTCCCCATCCCTAGGGCTCCTGACTCACATCCAGCTGGGCAGAGCCCAGCAGGGGGTAGGGGATGCTGTAGGAAGTGGGTCTACAGAAGGGTCTGTCCGGGTGGGTGGAGGGCAGAATGAGCTCACTGCCCTTCCCTGCTCTCCGCTCTCAGTCTTGGAGCAGAAAGAGTGAGTCTAGAGAAACCTGAAGAAGCAGGGAGGGAAGGCCATCATCCAGATGGGGACATGGGTGCAGGAAGACTAGTCCAGAAAGGAGTGTGAGGAGAGGTGAGGGCACTTCTCACAGTCCAGTTGGGGAGAAGGGTCTTTCTGCATGTCAGGCCCAGGATAAGAAGGTATCTTGTGAGTGGACAACAGAGACCAGTTCAGGGCATGAGCCAGACTTTCTGCAAATTAGCCAGTCACAAGGCAGACAAAGCCAGGCCTAGTGGTTCAGGTCTGTAATCTCTGGCATTTGAGAGGCTGAGGCAAGAGGATCAAAAGTTCAAATCCTAGAGGTAGGCAAGATAGCTTAAGGGGTAAAGGCACTTGCCACTGAGCCTGATAATCTGAGTTCAATCCCTGGCACTCACATGGTGGAAAGAAAGAACTAACCTCCCACCTCCACATGCAAACTGTGGTATGTGCATGCATGTGTATGCATTTGTATATGCATACAAATAAAAAAATGAAAAAAAATTTTTTTTGAGTTCAAATCCTGCGTAGGTTACATAGTGAATTCATAGTCAGCCTGGACAACTTAGTGAGACCCTATTTCAAAAATTAAAATTAATAAAAGGGTTAGGAATGTAGATCAAGAGCAGAGCACTTGCCTAGTATATACAAGGCCCTGGGTTCAATCCCCAATAATGCAAAGCGAAAACAAACCAAAAATAAGCAGATGATTAGAAAGGGGTGATCTCCTCTGGGTAGCAGTGAGAAAAATGTGCCTCATCTGGTGATGGATGAGAGACAAGCTCAGGTCCTTTGGGTTGGCACAGTTCCCACACAGGGTCCCATGCAGTCATGTTTTCAGTCTTCCAGGCCACACATCCTTGCTGTACACAGCAATAGGCACAGAACCTGGGCCTGCCAGCTCCCCATGGTTAGGGACTACAAGCACCCACAGAGTCACTCTTGTCCTTGGTGCCTGCTGAGGTAGGGCAGGCCAGGATGAAGAAGAAGGCTTTCAGAAGGCAGGCCAGGGTTGCCTTGAAAAAGGCCTAGCCCATCTCTCACCTGGAGAACGTGTTCCGGGCATAGTGCATGATACTGTCAAAGTCATAGGTCTCTCCCAAGGACTCCACCTCCTGAACCTCCATCTTCAGGAAATTATACTCCTGCCCTGCAAAGACCAGGAGAAAAGTGTGGGGGGTAGCCTACGTCTTTCCTGTACCTGTGAAGGGACCCCCCTACCTGAGGGTGAGCAGGGCAGCCAAGGGAAGCAGGGGAAACAAGGAACAGGCACCTACGAAGGAGTCCTTCTCAGCAGAAGTGAATAGAAGACTTGCTGGAGGAAGCCATGAGAAGGAGGCAGGGGGGGAAAGGACAGCCAGAAGCTGGGGAATGGGGGAGGAACGCAGAAGTGGTAAAGGGCAGGAGACTGAGGACAGGTAGAAAGGCAGTCCTGTGGGGAAATCCAGGGACAGGCTGGCTGCATCCCTCTTCTCATCAAGTCAGCTGGGTTCTGGCTGCTCAGTATGATCCCTATGTGCAGGACCTGTGCTAGACCCCCAAGTAGGTCCATGAGCTAATTACTGGCCCTGGGGTAGGATGCAGGCCCTGGGGTGTGTGTACCTGGCTGTATATTCTCTCGTATTATAGAGACGTGGCGGTCCCGGTCAGGCCGCGTATGCTCGTGCCAGAAGCCAATGACGTGGCCCAGCTCATGGACCACGATGCCGAACTTGTCACAGTTCTTGCCGATGGAGATGGCCTGGGGGCCCCCACCACGGCGACCGACGTAGGAGCAGCACCTGGAGGGCGGGGCCAGCTCAGGGGGGTGGTCCCGAGCTGGGGGAGTGCATCCACTCAGGGGCCGGGCCAGGCTGCCTGGGGTGGGCAGGGGAGCGGAGGGATGGGGAGGGCCCTGAGCACCCAATGTGCAGGCTGTGTGCCAGGGTCAGAGCCATATCAGTGGGAGATGCCCATGGCATGGGGAAAGGATGGGCAGTCCCAGCTGAGGGCAGCAGCAGTGCCTAGGGTAGAATCTGGCTGGGGATCATGGCCAAGGGTCCAGCACCCGGGGAGTCATTGCTCACCCGCAGGGTCGATAGGTGAATACAATATAGCTGTCCTCGTCTGTGCGCTCCAAGAAGGTGACACAAGTGTGCTTCTCCCAGTGCCTCATGGCTTGCCGGAAGACTGCCCTCTGGCTGCCTGTAGAAGGAAAAAAGCCAGGCTGTTACACTGTCCAGGAGTTCATTTCCACCTCCTGCTAATGTATTAGAGTCATTCTGCTAGTACACTGCACAGCCAAGAGGTTGTGGACAGGACAGAGAGGTAACAAGGCCAAAGACAGGTGAAAGCACTCACCAGTGAAGTTCCCTCCAATGACAAAAGGGATGACCCCATCAGGCCACACACGCTCAGGTCTGGATGTTGCTGCCCGACGACTCCGGCTCCGAGGTCTGCCTCTCCATCTCTGCTGGGTTTCCCTCTGTGGCTGCCCGCTAGCGCTCTGGCCACCAGGGGCAGAAAAGTTTCCTGGAATTGAAGAGGAAGAAGGCAACACGTGAATAGAAGGAAAGACACAGACTAGTAGAGCCTGTTATTTGTGGATTCTGAATTTGCAAATTTGTCTACTTTGCTAGAATTTATTTGCAACCCCCAAATCAATACCGTCAGACTCTGGTGGCCATCTGTGGACAAGTGCAGGGCAGTGAAAAAAGTTGAGTGGCCTAATGTGTGCATATTCCCAGCTGAGGTCGAACAAGGTGACATGCTTTCTGCTTGTTTTAGTTCTCAGTTCTCACACTGTAAACAAGTGTCCTTTTTGAGGTGTACTGAGTGACACTTTTTTTGGTATTTTGTTGATTTTCCTGTTTAAAATGGCTCCCAAGCATTAGTGCTAATGTGCTGTCTCGTGTTCCTAAGGCAAGAAAATTGGACTGTGAGCCTGGCCTAGAATTGCAAACCTGTTATCCCAGCTCCTGAAGAGGCTGAGGCAGGAATATTGTGAGTTCAGGGCTTTCCTCAGCTATATACTGAGTTCAAGGCCACCCTGGGCAACTTAGAGAGACCCTATCTCAAAATAAAAAGTAAAAATAGGGCTGGACATGTTGCTTAGTAGTCCAATTCTTGCCAGCCATGCACGAGGCCCCAGGTTATTCTCTGTTATCATACACATATCCAAAAAAAAAAAACATCTGGGATGTTGGGATGCACCTTACCAAGAAATGCCTGTGTTCCACAAATTTGTTCAGGCCAGAGTCAGCGCCATTAGCCATGAGTTCAATGTTAATGAATTAACTATGTATTAAATAAGGGGTCTTTAAGTAAAACACACACAAAATAGTGGTCAGCTCACAAAAATGTCACCAAAGGCTGGCAGGAGCTTGCATTTCTCCTAGGAAAAATGACTTGGCATTTGTTAATTCATTGTTCACGGTAACTATGTGAAATAACTATAAAGTTCTACAATAACTATGAAGTTATGCTCTCACTCTCCATAATGACCATGAATAGCTAGAATGAGCTAGAACTGCAAAAGAAAACAATGAAGTATTCAGTTCTGTGAAATTGTGGGGGCCTGGGGGATCTAAGATTTGGAAAATGTCCTTTCTCATCTAAGAAGCCTTGGAGCATACAGAGCTTCAAGTTTCTGAAAGCTTCCTGGATCCATAGTTCCATGTGACATGGCAGCTCTATGGCATGGTGACAAGTACCATTGTCTATTTATGATTGATAAGTAAACTATTGCCAAAGCTCTGCCCCAAATTACCTGGTGAATTGGCAGCAGACCCCTAGTGATACTCTGTCCTTTGCCATGCCAACTAGTCCCCATTAAGGTCACATAAGCTTCGCTTGTCACCAAGACACCAGACCACCCTTTGATGTCAACTATCTTCTGGGGCAGTTGGCTTATACTCCCAGGATGCTTGCACCAGGATCATTCCTCCTGTTGGACAAGGATAATGGCCTGGCACGCTAAAGCATGCCCAGAACTGAATCTCAGTGGGAATCCCTCCCTTGGGCAATGGGAGTGCTCCATGTGGGCGCTCTGAACCAGGATCCAAGAACCTGCACAGTGACAGCCCCTCTGTGGGGCAGTAAGAAGGCTGAGAAAAGCCAACCCAGCCTTTCCCTTTCCTTGTCACCAGTGTTGTCTGCGTTGTTAGGTGCTTGGGCCACCAGGGAACAAAAAGCTTTGGGCCCAGCTATGGGACATGTAAATAAATCCTTTCTGCATGGCATGGTAAGGTGTTGATTGTTCACACAGAGCAATAGAACATGGGAAATGAAGGTGACAGTCATGTCTCAGAGACAGTCTGGGGAGAGTAAAGAAGAAGCTCCTGAGGATGGCCCAGAGGATGCACAGAAGCTTGTGAACTGGGACCAAGACACCCAAGAGGGACTGTGGTGTTGGGTACAGCATCTTAGATTGGGAGACAAAGGCTTTCCACCTTTGTCTAGTCGCAGCCCTGCCATCTGCAAGCTGAACAAATCACTTTACCTCTTTGAGGCTTATTCTAGGTTTCTGTAAAACATGAGTTGTTCTGATACTCACCCCTAAAGGTAGTTGGGGACAGTCAAGTCAGATAATACTTTTGAAAGTACTTGGAAAGCCGTATGCTGGAAGGATATTAACTCTTAGCTTCTGGGTGGGAGGGTGTCTACACTCCTCCTGATAAGGCTATCCTAAGGGATGACAAGCCCCTATGTTGGGTTCAACTCCATGGCCTCTGTCCTGGGAAGGCCTGGCTGGAAACAGGGGAGTTTCTTTTTTCTCTAAGTTCAAAGCCCATTTCTGGGACACAGAGTAGTGTGTCCCCAGTGTACCTGCAGCTCTGATGGATGATCTTCGGGCTGTTTGCTGTCTGAGAACTGTAGCCTGCACCTGGAAGGCCCTCAAGTCTTCCTCATCCAGGGCAATGTCCCCAAGAAAGGCAGCTGGAGAAAAAAGAAGCAGTTAATTCTCTTACCCAGGGTTGAGTACAGTGTGCTGGTAGCCCTAACCCCATGGGTAACAACCTTTACCCTTGAAGCCATTCAATCCTTATGCCCCTCAAGAAAGACAGAGAAGCCGGGGAGTGTCAGGTCCACTTCTATAAACCCTAGTTGATTTTCAGTTCAAATCCCAACAAAAATGGGGTATGACAGCATGTGCCTATGGTTGCAACTGTTTAGACAGCTGAGGAAGAAGGATCACTTGAGCCCAGGATTTGGAGGCTAGCCTGGGTAACATAACAAAACCTACCCTGTCTCTTAAAAATAAATAGGGTTGCTGGGCATGGTGGTGCATACCTTTAACCCCTGCACTCAGGAGGCAGAGGCAGGTGAATCTCTGTGAGATAGAGGCCAGCCTGGTCTATATTTATTGAGTTCCAGGACATCTGAGGCTACAGGGAGACTGCCCCTGTCTCAAATAAATAAATAAATAAATATAAATAAATAAATAAATAAATAATTAAAATAAATAAATAAATAAATAAATAAATAAATAAATAAATAAATAAATGGGGTCAGTGAAGTGAATGATTCGGCATGTAAAAGTGCTTGCCACCAAATCTAGTGACCTGGGGAAGAAGAGAATCAACTCCCAAAAGTTGTTTTCTGATTTCTGCATAGACACTTGTGCACGTATATATACACACACACACGATAAATAAAAATGTTAATAAATAAATAGTGGCTGGGAAATGGCTTGTTGAGTAAAGCAATTGTCTTGCAAGCAGAAAGACCTGAGTTAAATCCCTAAAATCTGCATTAAAAATGCCAGGTATGGTGGCATGTACATGGAATCCCAGTGCAGGAGAGGCAGAGACAGGGCTCACTGGTCAGCCAGCCTTGCATATGTGGTGAGCTCTAAACCAGTGAGACTCTGCCTTACAGAAAGGTAGATGGAGCTGGCAAGATTTTTCGGTTTAGTGGGTAAAAGTACTGGCTTAGCAAGCTTGATGACCTGAGTTCAATCCCCAGAACCTAGAGTGGAAAGAGAAAATTAACTTTCAAAAATTGTATGCTGATCTCCACATGAACACTATGACTAGAGTGCCACACACACACACACACACACACACACACTAAATTAAAAGGTAGATGACACCTGAGGAACAATACCCAAAGTTGTCTTTTGGCCTCTGAACACATAAGTGCATATGTGCTTGCACACATACATGTACATGAACATAGACACACAAATAAATATTAAATAGATACTACAGCCAGATGTAGTGGTACATGCCTGCATCCCAGGACTTGGCAGTCAGAGGCAGGAGAATTTAGAATTCAAAACCAGCGTGGATTACAAAGGGAATTCCAGGCCAGCCTGGGATACACAATGAGACCCTGTTTCAAAACCAATCAATCAACAGGTCTGGGAATGTAGCTCAGTGTAGAGCACTTAACTAATATACACAAGACACTGAGTTCAATCCCCAGCACCATAAAAAAAGAAAATTCAAGCAAAGCAGACATCCAGCTCAATCAAATTGTGAATTCCATGAAGACACAGTTGCATCACTTATCCCATCATCTTCAGCAAATACTTAATTAGTATCTACTACGGGCCAGATGCTACGTCTTAGATTAGCAAGGCAAAGCCCCCATGGAGCTAACCAATACACAGCACATACTGACTTAAGAGAATTTCACACGGAGACAAGTGCTCTGACAGTAAGATGCTTTGAAAGTAAAATGCTCTGGGATAAGATGTTACACTGTATGCTATGGCCAAAGACTGAATGTGGGAAAGGTTTGGCCCCCAGGATGATGCTTCTGGGAGGTTCTGTGGACTGTTAGGAAGTGGGGCCTTATGGGAGGTGCTTGAGTCATTGGGTGTGTGCCTTTGAAGGGGACTGTGGGACCTGACCCTTGGTTCTTCCTCTCTTTGTCTCCTGGCTGATCAGCAGAGTTTTGGTCTGCCATGTGTTCCTACCACAATTTATTACCCATAAGATGGTAATAAAGAGGCCCCAGAACCATGTTCCCAACTGCCTTGGTACTGAAAACTCTGGAACTGAGAGCCAAAATAAACCCTTTCTCTATGTCAGTTATTTTGTTATAGTAACACAGTATGATGGTGGGCCCATAGCCTTGGTGCTGTGCTGAGTATGTGGCGTTCACAAAGCAAACGCCATTTCAACCAAATCAAGGGGAGGATACGAAGCATAAGATGTCTAATATGCCTACCTGTTCCACTAAGACTTGGAAGGGGTAGGTAAATTTGAGAAACCAGGACATATATTGGGGGGGGGGGTTCCCTCAGCTAGCAGGAAAAGGTATAAAGTAAAAGGTTCTCAAACCAATCCTCTTCTGAGTTTCTGGGTCCCCTGGCTGGAAAAGACAGGCCCATGAGGAGGAGCTTCCCCAACAAGCCATTTCTGGGCCTGGGAAGAGCTGTTTCTGGAGAGATTGGGGCAAGAGGCGTCTGGGGCAAGAGGAAGCAGAGTCACAGCACTGGCTGCTTTGGAAGGAGCCCAGATGTGAGTTTCATGCTGGGCTTGACTGAACTAGAGGAGGGAGGCTGAGTTAGAGGTGGAACCAGAGCAGCTTCCCGACAGCCAGGATGACATCTGCTTCCCATCCAGGCAGTCGGCATTACACAAATTGTTTTAACCTCGAGGCCTTACACACAAGTTCCTCCTCCTCAGTTGGTCCCACTAGATGGACATGTATACATTTAGCTCATCACACACTTAGTCAGATACATGTGGCTAGTGTTCCTATGGACACATGGTGACATCCAAACCCATGCTGTCAGTGTAGAGCCCTATAGCAGAGACTATACCCCCTGCACGCGCAAGCGTCACTCAGCACTGGGTTTTCAGGGAGAAAGAACACTGCTCAAATGAACAAAGGACCATGCCAGTCTCCTTCCAGTCGGCAACCAGAGACACATGCTCACCGAAGCACAGATCTGCAGAGGGCAGGAGTGACTTTAGCAGTCATCAAGCCAATCTTTCATTTTACAGCTGAGGAAACTGAAGCCCAGAAGGAAACTGACAAGTCAGACTCTGCTGTTAGTCTCTAGAAGGCCCAATTTGTATTCAGGCTTCACTATTCCCAGACCAGCAGCCTCTGTGCTCAAGTTCATTACCTCTCTGGAACCCATACTGTAAATACATATACACAAAAATAGATACTCACTCAGACACGCACATCCACAAAAAAAATATATACACAGTCACAGACAGTTCTAAAAAACACACAGGCACAAGTTCCAACACACACAAACCAGCGGCAAGCTCCGAACTCATTAAGCCGGTAATAGTAACAATAATGACACCTTCTGTAAATGTCTGTTGAAATTTACCTGATGCTTTCCAGTTGACAAAGTGTTTGCACATTAGTGGGTCCATTTAATCCTGGCCCACCCATGACATGCCCAGTAAGCCCACTGCTATCCCTAGGAGTGTCCCATCACAAACAGTTGGAGTGATAACCTTGTGGCTATCTGTCAGGTCCCAACCCTGACTTCAGAGATCAGGACCCTGGGCCCCAAGAGGGAAATAACATTCCTAAGGTCACTAGCCTTTAACTGGTCAAGAGTCTGTTTTGACGCATGAGAAAGGAGTTCTCCCTCTAAACAACACCCTCCATGATCCAGGCTCAGTAACTGAGGTGACAGTAACAGAAGTTTACTTCTGGGAGGAAGAGGCAGTTTCCTATATGCCAATATCACATGAACTTCTCACACTGTTGCACACTTTGTACCTTTGCATGTACATTGCACCTCCAGGCTTCCACACCCACACTCACAGGCATCAGCATACACAGCTGCCCCTCAGACTCCCCAGAGGTCTGATTCCAAGACCCTTGCAGATACCAAAATCTTCAAATGTTCACCCATATTCATTCTCATTCTCTCTCTCTCTCTCTCTCTCTCTCTCTCTCTCTCTCTTTCTCATCTTTTGAGACAGGATCTCATGTAGCCCAGGATGGCTTCAAAATCCCTATGTAGCTGAGTATGACCTTGGACTTCTGTTTATTTGGTTGGTTTTGTTTTTGTTTTTTTGAGACAGTCTCACTATGTAGCCTTAATTGGCCCGGAACTTGCTATGTGGACCAGCCTGGCCTCGAACTCACAGAGATCTGCCTACCTCTGCCTCCTGAGCGATAAAATTAAAGGCATGCATCATCACACCTACTTGACCTTAGACTTCTGATTCTCCTGTTCCCACTTCCCAAATACTGGGATTACAGACAGGCACCATCATGCCCAATTCATGTGGTACTGAGGATCAAATCCAGGGCCTTGTGGGTGCTAGGCAAGCACTCTACCAACTGAGCTACATCTCCAGCCCCTCCTATATACTTTAAATCAGCTCAAGATGATTTGTAATACTTAACACAAAATAAATGCTATCTAAGTAGTTGCTATACTATATTGCTTAGGGAATAATGACAAAAATTCTGCCTGTGTTCTGTACAGACCAATTTTTTCCTCAAATACATTTGATCTGTGGTTGGTGGATGTGGAAACCACAGATATGGGAGGTAGTTGTGCCCATGAGGCTGGACTATTAGCAAAAAGCAGGCTCTTTGGAGGCAGAGACCCATCTTTGAATCCCAGTTCAGCTGCTGCTAGCTGACAATCATGGAAACTTTCTCCTAGGAAAAAGGGAGCAAACGATAGCATACATCTCCTGAAACTGCTGTATGAAATAAAGTGTGTAAATGAAGCATCAAGCCTGGAACACAGAAAGTACCCACTAAACAGACACCAACATGATCACCACACTAATCCTGGAAACTCAAAGTCAGTTCCAAACCCTCCCCAGATATACTAGACATACTAGGTCCCCTGCACTCACTCCCCAGTTGCGAGAAACCCATGAACAGAAGCCACAGAACCGTGTTGGCCTGCGAGACCAGGGTAGTGTGAGACCAGGGCAAGACAAGTAGAAGGCAGAACAGGGCTGGCTACAGAATTCAGCTGAGTGCCCTGTGGTAGGGATGTCATGGCTGAAGAATGTGTGGGAACAGAGTGGGGGCAGGGCAGGGTGGGAGGGGAGTCTATAGCCTAGGGCTGGGCTGAGGGTATGGCCATTTAGGACCCTAATCTTGGGAAGTTGGACAATCTAGATGCTAGAGAGTTCAGGATCCTTCTCCTGACCCAAAGGAAGCTCCAGGGTCAAGGTCAGGGTCAGAGTAGTAACTGTTTTCCACACAGGATCAAAAGTTTTTGCTTTGTTTTCCAGCTGTAAACCATCCAGGAACACTTGTGGCTGCTCTGTAGCCAGGGCCAGTGCAGGAGGGGAAAGATCAAGGAGACAAATCCTTGTGTGTGTGGACCTGGGGAGCAATCTTTGTCCCCCAGGTCAGTCTCTGGACTCTAAAGTCCCCTCCCCCAAGGCATTGCAAGGCTTCCCCTGAGTGGAGCCTAGTTGGTGTGATGGAGCTCCAAAGTCATGTACATAGGGCAGGCATGTATCCCCTCAGATAAATGCAGGTTTGTAGCTGGGGAGAGGATGCACTTGCGACCTTCAAATATACAAATGGACTTAATCACATGCCCACTTATACACAGGTGTATATTTGTGCCTATGCTCACTCAAAGGTCCAACATACATAGGTGAACAGACAGACCTGCTATGAGGCAAAAACATGTCCACTAATGTACAAAACAACAAATTCCCTGTGCAAGTTGTGGTGTGTTCTAACATTAAAAAAAGCAGGGGTACATTGCATTTCCAGTCCACACCCCTCAAAGGAGAAGAGCAGTCCTAGGAATGGATAGAGGTGTGGACATGTGTGGGGAGGAAGAGCAACTAGCTGAGCCTCCCACATGCCTCCTTAGGAGATGGCCTGTTCCATTCTCTCCCTCTTCGCCAACATTTTCTCCCCAAATCCCTGGAGAAACAAGATTCTTAAGAGTCCCTTATTCATCAGGACTCTAACTGGTCCCCCTCCATCAAAGCCCACAGAGATGTGTTTTCCTCTCCCCTTGGGGCACCTAAAAGAGAGGGTGACTCAGGCAAGGAGCAGGGGCTTAGGTGGGTGGAGTGACTCACTCAGTATGTCTGGAAGGGGGGATGTGGTCTGGTGAGAGACAGAATTATGTTCTAGTTCCAAAGCTTGCATCTCACCTGGGCCATGAGGCTCCTGGGGTGAGAATGGAAGCAAGGACCAGTAAGGTGCTGTCCACCTCTCCTCCCACAGACCCCCCCTGGCTGCCAACTGAAGTACAAGTGGAAACAAGAGCCTCTGGGCTCAGACTCAGGCTCCAGGGGCTTCTCTGTTTATGGGATCACTTGTGACCCAATTCCTCTAGGGTCTTTCCTAGAGCCTCAAGTGTCAGGGGCAATGCATTTGTAGCAGCCAACCAATGCTGGGAATCTCAGAAAGAACCCCCCCTTTCATGGTTTGGCCTCCAACATATAAGAAACCAGGGTTGCCTGTAAATCTCCTGGGCTTGGTGGGGCCAGGATTAAGCACATCAACAGCCCAGCTTGGCTACCAGCCCAAAAGTTCAGAACCTTCCCTAAGGCACCAAGGGTCTTAATTTTGCCCTTACTATAACAACCAGAAGTGGATGTGGTGGCCCACCCCTGTAATCTCAACATGTGGGCGGAGAAAGTAGGAGGATAATAAGTTGGAGGCCAATCTGAGTTATACAGGGAGGCCCTGTCAATAAACACAATAAACTACAGAGGTCATTTCAAATGATGAGGACTGGTTATCTTTGGAGTAATCTGAGAGATCACATTTAAACTGGGAGAATCAAAGGGCTTTCATTGCTGTTCCTCTGTGTAGGAAGAGGAGAAAGAAGAAAAAGCTGTGAAAGAGAAGGCTGTGGGTAAGAGGTATACCAGCTACTTTGGAAGGAATTAGAGGCAGGCACCTGCCAAGCTCATGTCCAGCATCTGGAGGTCAGGACTGCAGAGGGACCAGGAAGCAAAGTCAGGCAGGAAGAAACAACATAAAGAAGAGAGTCTATGGATCTGTGGCCCGAGGGGGACAGTAGGCTAGGCTGTGTGTGTATGTATGTGTGTATGTGTGCATCCAGGAACAACAGTTTAAGTTTCCTCCAGGGGTGGGCCATCAGGCTTAAGCATCAGTCACACCCAAGAAGACCTGATCTGACCCTGAAGCTTGGCCTTGCTAGGCTCTGGGTCCTCTCAGCCAGCCCTAGGCCTGGCCCAGCTCCCCACCAGCCTCACTTCACCCTGGTGGAGAGCTTTCTCCAGAGTCCTTGTTTGAAGTTCCAACTCAGTCAGCCCCACCCTAGTATGAAATCTGAGACTGGGGATGAAGCCCTCAGTCTCTTGCTGTTCCCAAAAATCACTCTCATTTCCAACACCAGCATGGCTTCCTACCTATTCTTTGAGATTGTGATCCTATCCCACACACTTCACAAAGACTCCACGCTACAAACCTTCCCAGACCCCTGTAATCACTTTGCTCTGCCCTCCCTACCAGCAGGGACGATGAAGGAGTGAGGGACCCCCATGCCCTCCCTGTCTTGTGCTATGTAGTGTTAGGGTGCTCATGGGTCCTTGCTTGACTGTGAGCTCCTTAAGGACAGAGGCCTGTCTGCCTACTGCAACATCAAGCCCAAGTCACATCAGGCATCAGCAACACAGATCACTGAATAAGAGACACAGATCAGGGAGATGCTACCTCTTCCTGAAACCCAAGCCCATATTTTTCCAAAAGAAATGAATCAAGAGCCAGAGGTACAGAACATAGAGAATAAACAGTCGACATTTATTTAGTGCTTACTGTATACTAAACACTAATACATATTTGATATACATTCTCAGATTTAGCCCTTACCACCAGCTCTATGAAGGAACGTATTCTGTGTCCCATTATACAAATGAGAAAACTGAAGTTCAAAGACGATGCTTAGCTTTCCTGGAGTGGGGGTAGAGGAGTAGCTTAGGAGTCCTTCAGAGCCCATGCCCTGCCCACTCTGTCTCCTGCCACCACCCACCACACACAATTAGACGGAGACAGCTTATGCCCTGGTTTGCCCACAGCCCAGCAGGAGTGGAGGAGGAAGGACTAGAGGGTTTGACTTGTCCTGTTACCAACTGAAAGGTCTGATCCTGTCTGTGATCCATCCACCCTTGAGTGGATGGAGCAAGGAAGGTCCCTGACCCAGCTCTCTCAGCCCAGGTCCATAGCCCTTATGTTGACTTCTTTCTGTCCCTATCCCTGGCTCTAGGTCTTTACAGACTGGCTGAAGTCAGAGGCAGAAGTTGTGATATCTTGTCCTCTGTGTGTCCCAGGCAGCCTGCTCAGGGCCATCAATCAGGTCAATGGCCTGAGTGCCTGGTCATCTGGCCACTCCAGGGGCAGGGCCCTTCTGGTCCCAGCAGGAGGGTCCTCAAGGACAAAGACCACATACACACTGGGAGCCCTGACCTCAACTAATTAGTCTCTGGTGTCTGAAGAGTGAGAGGGCTGATTCAGAATATCAGAGTTCTCTTTGCGTGTCCCCTTGGCCATCCCAACTTTGCCCTGACAGAGCCCTCCTGGCACATGGGGATACAGGTAGGTTTTCTTTTGGGCTGGCTTCTCTGATTTTGACAGCTGTCTCCTGAGTGCCAGAGAGCTGCTGCCGGCTAGAATGACAGGATGCCCAGGAACCCAGAGGATCCTTTGAAAAACTTTCTCCTTCCCACTGAGTTGGGTGGTGGCCGGGAGACCTATTCCTTGGAGCTGCAGGCCTGCAAACCAGACAGATGTGCAGCCCCAGGGCAGACAGACAGCCTGGAACATAGCAGTATTCCAAGGAGCAGGAGGGATGGTGGAGAAGGGAAAAGGACACACACACACACACACACACACACACACACACACACACACACACACACACGGAGAGTTTGGCCAGAAAAGTTTCCTGCAGAAGGAAAAGCCTCCTCGCCAGCGGGATTCGCTGGGACCCAGGGAGATTTCCCCAGGAATCCTCTGCGAAGGCAAGAGGCAGCGGCAGCAGTTTCCACAAACAGCAGCAAAACTTCAGTCCTAAAAGTCCCCCAAACTTCCCCCTCCCTCTCTCCCTCGGTCTTTTGTTTCCCACTGCATTGCCAACCAGGCAGCTCCCGGCTTCCCACACTGGACTGTCCTCCCCCAACCCCAACCCCTGCCCGGCCCGGAGCCTCGATCCCGCCCTGCCCGCGCCTGGCCCTGTGCGCCCCTGGGGGAGGGGGCGCCGGGGGGCGCTTACCCGCCTTGCAGGGGTCTTTGTAGTTGAGGAGCTCGGGGGCATCCTCCTCGCCCAGGTCGTAGGTATAGTCGGCCAAGTCCAGCGGCCGCCCGGGGCGCGGGAGCAGCAGCAGCAGCAGCAGCGGCAGCGACAGCGGCGGCGGCAGCGGCGGGCGGGCCACGCCGGGCTCGCGCCCGGACGCGGGAGCGGGGCGACAGGGAAGCGGAGCCCTGGAGGCGAAGGGGAGGTGCTCCCGGCGCTGGCCGCCCGCTCCCCCCGCGTCGCTACCTCTTCCCTTCCCGCTTCCTGTCTCCCGCCCCCCGCTCGGCCCGGCTCGCTCTGGTCCTCGGCAGCCGGGTCCCCTCACCCTCGTTGCGCTCGCAGCCTTTCTTTGCTCGCCGCCCTCCCGCTCTCCCCCCTCCCTTTTTAGGGAAATGAGCTCGCTGGAGGGCGGGTTTTCGCCCAGCTCGGCCCTCCTCGGGGCCGGGACGGTGCTCGGCCGGGCCGGGAAGCGGGCCAGCCGGGCGGGGAGGGCGGGAGGCGCGCAGTCCGCTCCGGAGGGGATCGGCTGCCTGGGGCCGGGGCCGGGGAGGGGGCGCGAGCCCCGGGGATGCCCGGCGGCCGCCTCTCCCTCGAGGGGCCCCCTAGCGGCCGGTGCCCGGGGTGCCAGGCCGAGTGCCTCACGGCGCGGACACGCTGTCAGCGCGGTCTCCGAGCCTCTGCGTCCCAGGACCTACGGTCCATCGTTATCTCTCCCCCAGAGACTCGCGGGTCTCTTTTCCAGACCGCCGCTCTCTCCCATCTCGCTGCCTCTCCGTCTTGCTGTCTCTCTCCCTGTCTCTGTCTCTGCCGCTGTCCTTCCTTCCCGGACGCACCGCTGGAGGGCGCCTAATACCCGTGCATGGCATCCAGGTCCTGTCCCCTGGGCCCCAGGGTGTCCCCTTCCCCACTACCTGCGGCAGACCAAATCCCCCAGAAAGGACGCGTGGCAAGGCCCCCTGCTCCCCTTCCATCAGGAGCAGGACTGAGAAAATGTGGGAAGATAGAAGAAAGTCATCCCTTGTTTTTCAATCAGGCTGCTTTATTCTTTTGTGGTAGGAACCCCCTGGCTCATGCGAGACTCCTCTCCTCTACTGGCTCCCACACTCTCCCACAGCTCCAGTGCCAGCTCCAGTGCCCGGCTGGGCAGGGGTAGCTTCCTGCCTGTCTACAAAGACGCTTTGCTGCTGGTCCTTCCTGCCCAATGTTGCTTCATCGGACCCTATGAAGGAAGAGACTTGTTGACCACATGAAGAAGAGAGACTGGGGAGCCACCCGCCTGACTGCAATGTGGGCTATTTCTGTGAGCGGGCCATCCCCTGAGCTCCCCAGACCAATGACTTCAAGGGATTCCCTAGTGCATGGTCAGCTGGCAGGTGGCCCAAGCTCTCTCCCCAGTGCTGCTCCTCTTGCTCACCTGAAAAGCCCTAGATGTAGTACAGCGGCAGCTCTCCACACAAGGTGCTCACAGCAAGACCCAGGAAAGCCAGGTCTCCTCCGGAGGACTCAGAGCCTGCATCATGCCCTTCCTCCTGGCTCAGCTTGGAAGCAGGTGGTGGTGACTTAGCCTGCAAAGAGCACCTTCTTTGGAGTCTGGGAATTGAGTTCCAATCACACCTGCAGTCCTAACTGTGGGATACTAGGCTGTCAGGCATCCTCTCTGAGCCTCAGTTTCCTCACCAATACAGAGGGACTGTACTGGGAATCAGAAGCCCATGGGTGGTGTGTGGGCTCAGCCTTGGCCAGCGGCTTAGCAGTGGGTGGACTAAGAACTGGTATGGAAGGTGTGACACAAATGAGTCTAGAAATGAGCCTAGACCTGATGCCTAGAAGCAGTGTTGTACAGGTGGCATTAGCTACCATTTCAAGCGTTCCTCCCTGCAGCCCTTGGAGAGAGACAGCCCACTCCTTTCACTCACATACTTACCTGGAAGTTCTGGAATTTCCTAGTGAGAACATCAAGACTGGGGATGCTCTCTGGAGCCATCTTCATGATGTAGCAGTAGGTTCCTGGGGCTGGCTTATAGGCAGTTAGGAGCTGGGCATGGAACATGGGAGGTCATTGAGGAATGTCCCTTGCCTTGCTCACTCTCCAACCCTGGTCCTCAGCCAACCCCCTTTAGGTTGGCCATGAGAAACACATTAGAGTCAGAGACTCAGACATCCAATGGGAGGCAAACAAGCAATGGATGGGGAGAGATGGTTGGGAAGAAGTGGCACAGCTAGGTAGTTCCAACTAAGTCTTGTTGGTCCCCAGGCATACTTACCCGCTGGTAGTCATATACAACGATGCCTGTGGAGCCGATGGTAAAGGTGGCTGTAGTATCCATGTGCTCACCCAGGGGTAGGCGTTTCTGGGTTTCTGGTGCCCCAATGCTCATCTCAAGGACCTGGGGGGGTAGGGGGGTGAGGGTGAGTGCTGCCTAACATTCCTCTTTCGTCTCTTAGACCTTTGGTACCCATGTCTACCCTCTGTCCTATTTATTCAAATGCAATTCCTTCTTTCCTGAGATCTCAGGGAGGCCAAACAGAACCCGGTGCTGGAGGGAAATGATTATCATAGGGTGGGGCAAGGACCCGGTGTAAAATTCTAGCTCAGACTGCAACCTCATCTCTGCCTCTGTCCTCCCAACCTATGTTCTTGTTTGTCTGCTCCCTTCTATTTCCCTTGATCAGCTTCCCATCTGCCCATCTTGCCCAGCCCTCTGTCTGGCATGTCTAGTATCAACTGTCTACCACACAGCACTACTCACCATCTCAGTATGTTTCTGGCTCATATGAAGACCCATGAGCAGGGCCCCCACGATGACCACGACGACAAGGACCACCACCACAACCACGATGAGAAGGCGTTTGAGGTGCACTGGGCAGCAGGGGATGCGGAACTGGCCCCTGGGACCTGCTGAATAGTCCTGAGAAGGTGGGTCAAGCAGAGAGGCAAGCAGGAGGTCATGAGGATGTCCCTTCTTCTCCCTGCACAAGCTGAGCATCCTCCCACACCCTTTCAAGCTATGTTATGCAGAGACGGGGTGAGGAGATCAGAGAAGGTTTTTGGGAAGGTGTGGTCTGGATTCCAACAAACCATAGAAATTTAGAAGTTTAGAAGCAAGGTCTGTGTTTAGAGGAATCCAAGAAAGCCTATCACCAATCTCATTTCCTGCCTTCCCAAGACTCCCAGCACCCTAGCCACAGCTAGGCTGTCTGTTCCCCCAAAGAATCCAGGTAGTCCCATCTCCATCCTTTAGTGTATACATTCTTTCTTTTTTCCCTGCCTTCCTTCTCTACGTTGTAATATTTTGTGTATGTGTGTGGAGGTCAGAGGACAGCTTGCTGGAGCCAGTTTTCTCCTTCCACTATATGGGTTCCAGAGGATGAACTCAGGCCATCGTATGCCGAGCCATCTTAGCCTCCCTACCTCCCCACATACACTTTTTTTTTCTTTTATTGAGAGCTTATCCCTGGTCCAGGCTAACTCCAACTCTCTAAATACCTTGAACTTCTGATTATCTTGCCTACACCTTTCAACAGCGTGTACCACCTAGCCTGATTTATACAGTGCTAGGAATCAAACCCAGGGCCTTGTGCATGCAAAGTAAGCACTCTACCAACTGGTCTACATGGCCAGCTCCACATGTCATTTTTCCCTATGATGCTTCCTGTGACCTCCCAAGTACTTAGTGGCTCCATCTTCATTGCTGTCCACAGGCCTTTCTATTGACCCCTATGCTGGCTTTTAACCCCTTTATATGGGTATTCATGGCTGCCATGCCTATCTCTCCCAGGAACTCTGTCTTGGTGGTCTTGGTAGCCCCATCTTAACAGCCCAATCCTAGGCTACTTTAGTGAAGGAGTCCTGGAAAAAGAGAGAAGACTGTGGAGGATGGTGCAGGCGAGTCCCAGTACAGTCATGTACACACACATGCACGCACACGACCACACTCACCGGTGGACTTTCCATCAAGACCTCTTTGCTACCTACGTCCATCTTGCAAGCTCTCTCCTCTCCTTGCGTTCTGGTACGACCAGTGTTTTATATGTATCATCAGAGAGGGAGGACAGAGGTGAAGGGCTGGGTCCCCCATTTGCCAGCCAAGTCCTTGGCTTTGAAGCTTATTTGTTCCTGGCCCTCCAAGACCCAGGCTCTGATAAGCCAGCTGCAAGAGCCCCCAAGGGCCCTTGGCCCAGGCACATGCAGTCCTCTTGGCCCCAGCAAGAGTAAACCTGGGTGAGCTAAGCAAACTTGCCCTCAAGCCACCTGCTCCTCTCACTGTGGGTGTCTTCCTGGCATGTCTGCCTCTCTTGCTGGCACCTGCCCCTACAATCCCATGACTTCCCTTCTTCTGACAGGCCAGACTTCTCTGGGGCAGCCGAGGGTCTGGCCTTCCCATTTCCCAAGATAATCTCCCCAGGAACAAGCATGAGCTCCCCTTAGGGGACTGGGGAGGAAGTGCCCAATGATGAGGTTGGGGGCTCTTTGGAAGGATCAGCAGCTGGGGGCGCATTAGTGTATGTTTCTCAGACAGGGTCAGATTCCTCTTCACCTTGCCTCACCTCCCACACATCCAAGACCTAACCTCAGATTTGCTCCAGTTGTTCTTTTCCTAATTCTGGAAACTCTGTCCCCACTGGTGGGAAACTCTTACTCATAGGTGATGGGATGATGGTTCATTCTTTGTTTTAGGCTTGTCTGTAAGTCGAAGGCTTTGATGACACATTCCATGCCTCACACTGCCTCCCTCGCCAACATTCCCCCCTCAGTGCTGGGGATCAAACCTAGGACCTGGAGAATGCTTGGCAAGCACTCAAACACTGAGCTACATCTCCAGCCCCTGACACCACCTTCTAAGGCCAGGACAACCTTGCACAGGGCTGGGTGTGGTCCTAATCTTTCCACCCTTGAATCAGCCTGCTTATTCTCTGCCCTCCTTGCCACCCTACCTACCCTTCTGGGATCTTTTTTATATCTTTTAAATGTGCCCAGAGTGTGCTATGCACCCACTTTCTGGACCTCTTCTTTCTCCTCTCACCCTGCCTTACCTCTTCCCCCCAAACCATCTCTGCTGCTCAGAGTACTAAGTGATATCTACCAGTGACTTGGGCTTGATTACACATTTTATCTCCAGCTTCCTTTTAGTTGCTGACCAGTTGTTCTCTGTACCTCTAAGCTTTCGTGAATGTATAAGCCATAGGTCCATACTTTCCTATCTTGGCCTGGCTCCCTTGTCCTCCTACAGCTGTCCCCTGTTATCCCCCAGATTTTTTCTAAGACTCCTCATGGATACCAAGCCACAGGTTCCTCAGTCCTTTGTATAAAATGGCCCGGAGTAGTTACATATAACCTACGCATGCCCTCCCATTTGCTTTATTTTATTTTATTATTTTTTTGTCTTTTTGAGACAGGGTTTCCCTGTATTCTCAGCTGGCCTGAAACTCCCTATGTAGACCAGGCTGGTCTCGAACTCACAGGGATCCACCTTCCTCTGCCTCCCAAGTGCTGGGATTAAAGGTGTGCACCACCACGCCCGGTCTCCCATTTGCTTTAAATCATCTCTAGATGACTTAGAAACACATCATAAATGGGATACAACAGTTGTAGTACTATCTTGTTTAGGAACTAATGACAAGAAAACTGTCTGTACATGTTCAGGACAGATGTGGTTCTCTCTCTTCTCAAATACTTTCCATCTGTATTTTTGGATGTTTGTGGGGGGCGCACATGCATGTGTGGGTGCAAGTGCACACGTGTGTGCATGTGTTTGGAGGACAGATGTCAACCTCAGGAATAGTCCACCTTGTTTTTTGAGACGGGGTCTCTCTGGGACCTGGGGCTCAGTGATTCAGCCAGCCTGTTAGCTGGTGAGCTCTGGAAGTCCTCCTGTTTCTACTTCCCCAGAGCAGGAGTTACAAGTATGTGCCACTATATCTGCCTGACTTTACATGGGTTCTGGGAATCGAACTCAGAGCCTTATGTTTGCTCAGCAAGCACTTTATTAACTGAATTGGCTCCTCAGCTTTTTTGTTTTTGTTTTGTTATTGGTTGGTTGGTTGGTTTTGGTTTTAAGACAGAGTCTTACTATGTAGCTCTGCCTGGAATTTGCTATGTACACCAGAATGGCCTCAAACTCACAGCGATCAGCCTGCCTCTGTCTCCCAAGTGCTGGGATTATCGGCATGTGCTCCCACACCAGCCTCTGTTTGGTTTTTTTTTTTAAAAAACAAAAAACAAAAAACATTTTATTTATTATTTTTATTTTTTGTGTATGAATGTATTGCCTGCAGGTATGTGAGTGTGCCATGTCATGCAATACCCGCAGAGATCAGAGAGGGTGTCAGATACCCTAGAACTGAATTTATATGGATGGTTGTTAGCCACTGTGTGGGTGCTGGGAATCGAACCCAGGTTCTCTGCAAGAGCAGCCAGTGCTCTTAACCGATGAGCCATCTCTCCAGCCCCTGTTTTTGTTTTTGCTTTTGAGGCAAGGCCTCACTCTGTCACCGAGGTTGGGCTAGAATTGGTGGCAATCCTCCTGACTTAACCTCCTGAGTGCAGGGATTACAGGCATGTGCCACCATGGTCAGCTCCATGTACTTTTTGAATTTGTGGATGCAAAACTCATAGATACAGAGAGTCAATTGTACCTGAACTCTGAAATGTCATCTCACTTCCTGGTCCTTGCTCCCTAGAACCTTTTCTCTGTCCTTTGATCATCATAAACTGACCTGGCCCCCTCCTCTCCAGCCTTGGCAGGTTTCTGTGTCCCCCAAGGACCCCTTCAACAGCTAAAGACCTCAGTCTCAAGGTCATACGACAACATGGCATTTGAGCTAAGAGCTCCTGAGATGCTCAGGGGAGGAGAGAAGGAAGGAAATGTTTACTCCCACCACCCTCCTCACCCCTCTAACTGCCCCTTTAAATATTTGCCTAAGCTTCCCACAGCTCAGCAAAATGTCCTAGGGTGAGTGGAAGAAGGAGAGGGCTGCAGGAAGGAGAGGAGGGGGAAGTCTGTCCTCTCTCCTTGGCCTCAGCTGTGTGCAGGTAACAGATGTAAGAGACAGTCTGCCTGCGCTGGCCAACCCCCTACCCATCCCCAAGGTTCCCTCTCCCACCCCAGGTTGTCCTGGCAACCTTGGGATTGATGGCTGACTCATACACACTGGGCCTGAGCCAGGTGGGAAGCTGGCCAGAAGGAGACCAAGACGAACTGCAAGCATCCCAGGGTCCCTCTGGGTATCTCAGGGGGCCACAGTATCCAGTTATGGGACTTGTTTTGAGTAGGAATCACAAGTAGGGCTTGCTCTTATTGCTAGGTGTGGGAAGAACACCTCTATTCTTGCTCCGGTCCCTAATCTCCTCTGAAGGTTGTCCTTAGGCTGGGCTCTCAGAGCATTATGACTTTTAAAAATTTAATTAATTTAGTAATTTTTAATTTTTTAAAATTTCATGTGCATAAGTGTTTTGCCTGCATGTGTGTAAGTGCACTCATGTCATGCAATGCCCATGGAGGGCAGAAGAGGGTGTTAGATGCCCTAGAACTGGAGTTATAGCTGGTTGCTAGCCACCATGTGGGAACAGAACCTAGGTCCTCTTCAAGAGCAGCCAGTCCTCTTAACTGCTGAGCTATCTCTCCAGCCCTGCATTATGACTTTTAAAAATAAACAGTTCCCATGGGGCTGGAGAGATGGTTCAGCGGTTAAGAGAACTGACTGCTCTTGCAGAGGACCCAGGTTTGATTCCCAGCACCCACGTGGTGGCTAAGAACCGTTCTTAACTCCAGTTCTAGAGGAATCCGATGCCCTCTTCTGACCTCTGCAGCATTGCACGACACAGGTGCACTCACAGAGATGCAGATGCAGATAATACGCTCGTACACATTAAATAAAATATTTTAAAAATAAATAAAATAAAAAATAAACAGTTCCTAGCATCCACATGATGGCTAACAACCACCCATAACTCCAGTTCTAGGGAATCTGGTGCCCTCTGCCTTCCACAGGCATTGTATGATGAGAGTGCACTTACATACATGCAGGCAAAACACTCATACACACAAAATCATAATAAATAAATAAATAAATAAATAATTTTTTAAAAAAAAAAACTTTTTTGTCTGTTTGGGGACTAGACAAAGGTGCTGTTAAGTTTCCTCATGCTGCCTGGTAGAGGTCTTGGGTTCCTTGAAGAAGGAAGGAAGGAAAGAAGGAAGGGAGATAGGAAGAGAGAGAGAGGGAGGGAAGGAGGTAGAGAGGTGGGCTTTTTAGCTGGGCATATATAGCCCTCAACCTGGGCCCCCAGGCCAACCCTGGGGTACAGCTCTCTCTTTTATCAATCTTCACTGGAACCAGTCCTCACTGTGAATGCCACTTACACTAGGAGACCAAGGGTTAATGGTATCTGCTGTGTCACCACTGCCCCAACCCCAGCCTCTGTAATCATTTCTCTGCCCTCCACAACTTACCTGCATACACAATAGTAATTCAAATCAATGTGGGGGCTTTTGTTTCTCTGTCTTTTCAAACAGGCTGCCTTCCTGGGAAGGGTAAGGACATGTTTTCTTTGTGTTTCTATGAACCTGTCATAGGGCAAGGAGCATGCACACAGCCCACATGTAATAATGTGCAATAAGAAGATTGTCACCAGACATGAGGAGACTCCTCCTATAAAGTTCTAGTTCCTTCCTTTGGTATATGAGGTCTCAGTGTTTCCTCTAGCAGCTCTAGAACCTACAGTGAGTCCTGCTTTTCTAGGCTTTACTGTATTAATTTGTGAAGTGAACTATTACCACCTACCTCATCCACCTCTCTAAGGTGTCCTGATGCTCCAGTGACTTCACAGATGTGAAAGTTCATTTGTTGTCACTGCCATCTACTTCATCCCTAGGGCACCTCTCATTAGCTAAGCCTAGGACCCAAACTCCTCCCCTTGTCTCTGGATTGCCCTCTGTGACAACTGCGAGCAGTGGAGAGCCCCACAGTGGCCATCCCTTCAGTGTGTGACTCTCCTTTCCCTGCTCCCAGCCCCTCAGCTGCACGGGTCAGGACAAGATTCACTCTGCTCTTTGTGTGCTGGGCAGAGCCGTGCCAGGAACGAGTGGGGACGGTTTCCCAGCTGCCCCAGCTACCCGTACTACCCCTCCTTACTCCCTTCCCTCAAGCTGGTATGCATAAGGCAGCACGGGAAGCTGGACCAGTAGAAGCTAATGTATGTCAGAAGGCGGGGGCATCCCTATCTGGAAGAAGGGGGACTTAAACTCAGAACAGAGATTTTTCCCTGCTGGCAGAGGCTGCCAAGCTGGGGAAGATGCGGCTGCTTTTTTTTTTTTTCTCCCAGACAGGGTCTCACTGTGTAGCCCAGGCTGGCCTTGAACTCATGATCTTCTTGTCATGGCCTCCCTCCAGAGTGCTGGGATTACAGGCATGCACAACCACATCTGACTCGCATACTTGTTCTTGTTGTTTGGACATAGCCTTTCTGTAGCCCCAACTGGCCTAGAACTCACTATGTAGACCAGGCTTGGCCTCAGTCTCACAGAGATCCACCTACCTCTATCTCACAAGTATATATTATTAATGCACCATGAGTGTGCAATGCCCTTGGAGGCCAGAAGAGAGCATCAGATCCCCCTGGAACTAGAGTTACAGATGGTTGTTAGATGCCATGTGGGTGCTGAACCCAGGTCCTTTACAAGAGCAGCGAGTGCTCTTAACCACTAAGCCATCTCTCCAGCCCACACCACCCTCTTTTTAAATGAAAATAACTGTAGAAAGAAGAGTGTCACGGTTACATTTCTGCAAGTCTCTTTAGTTTGGGGTTTCATAGAAGACATAAAGATAGCCTCTGGAAAATTCCGGGGCACTTTCATGAGAGCATGGATGTGAAAAAGGCAAGTTATATCTCACTTAGGGACATAAAGTGAAGCATCTTGACCTTGGAGACTCTGTGGAATGTTCTCAAGGAGCCATTGGCTCCCAGAGTTACCCTTTGAAGATCACTGCAGAAGGATCACTGTGAACTTGAAGTTGGTCTCCTGGTCCTAGAGCTATGACTTTCCTTATGTGTACAAGGGAGTTAATGTCCCTTCCTTCCAGTGGGCCAGACGATTAACCCTGCCAAGTTTACAGCTGAGATACAGAACTTGGCTGCTTTCCTCTTCCTTGTGGCCTCAGTTTCCTCATAGTGAAGTAAAGGGCTGGGCTGGAACACGTTCAAAACGCTTCCAGCTCCATCAGGCTGTGGTTATGTAGTGTGAAATGTTCCCAAATTCCACACTTCCCACTCTGGCTCCAGTGGCTACCTCTTCCTTTTCAGCCCACAGGCACAAAGGTACATTCTGTTCCACAGCGGATGCAAACACACAGTACAGAAATAAGCACCCTGTGGCTCTCATGCCAACCTGGATGGACTTGAGTTACTTAAGACATGTCCCCAAATTCTATGCCCCCTCACAGCTAAGACATAAACACAGATACACATCAGGTTCACGGATCCATGTGCGCCGTGCACACACATAATGCACGGATGCATATGAATACTCTCACACAAACACATTCATGCACAGTGTGAGCCCTAGGGACCAGACACAGAGGCAGGTGGCCGCAGAGAGCCTAGTAGAGCACACTGAGGCCGGGTGCAACCACTCCATCCTTTGGCTGCTCTCCCGTGGGCGGGCGCGTGTGGGCCTCCCCGCTCCGCCCCCGCGCGCGCCCCCGCCACCCGCGCCGCAGTCCGCGTCCACCAGCCTTGGCAGCCGGCGGTTGCGGTCCCAGATCCGTACAGCGCTCCCGAGCCGGCTCGCGGGAGCGAGCGAGGGAAAGGACTGCAGCCAGCGCCCGAGGGCAGGACGAATCCGCTGCGCCTAGAGTGCAGGTGGCCCGAGCTGCGAGCTGCTCCAGCCCCAGAGGGTGGCAAAGCAGCCCGCAGGCAGGGAGCAGCGGGGGTGCGGGCAGGCCTGCGGCTTGGGGGAGACTCTGTAAGAGGCATGGCGGGGCTACGAGCCAGGCGGGGCCCCGGGCGCTGGTTGTTGGCGCTGTCCACGCTGGGTTTCTGCCTAATGCTGCAAGTCAGTGCCAAAAGGCCCCCTAAGACGCCCCCCTGCCCACCCAGCTGCTCCTGCACCAGAGACACCGCCTTCTGCGTGGATTCTAAGGCAGTGCCCAGGAACCTGCCCTCAGAGGTCATCTCCCTGTGAGTGTGTACTTGGCCTTGGGGAATGGGGAATGGGGAAGGGAAGGAAGGCAAGGAGGGCTCTGGGAGCAAGAAGCCCCGCTTCTCTTCAGAGGATGGAGACCAGGAGCATTCCCCGGGTTCCTCAGGACTTGGGACTCCAGGGCCCAGATTTCAGGGAGCCCTGCAGTCATACAGTGGCCATGGCTTGACAAAATCAGAGTTCATGGCCAAGAATGAATCATCACTAGCAGCAGCAGCAACACAGTGAGACCTACTGTGTGTGGGTTGGAGGGCGTGTCTACATGAGCACGTGGGCCCCTGCCTGTGAGGTGACACCAAGGACAGAAAGCAGGAGGAGAGGGATGACAGGAGGGGGAGGAGTGACAAGTGAGATTGCCCTCATGGTACCCTGGCACAGGGCAGATGCCTGCCATGGGCCTGCTGCTCTGCTCTCAGTTGGGCCAGCCTCACTTGCAGCAACTGGCCCAATACCCTCCTCTCTCCCTTGCCTGTGGGGCTAGAGAAGCTGCCAGGTCCCTCATCTCACGGCCCCATCCCTCAACAGCACCAGCACATTGTGGGTGTTTGGATGATGATGATGGTGCAGGTAATGGAACTTGCTCTTGGCTGAGAGGGAAGGTGAGCCCAGAACACTGTGCACCTGAAGGCAGTGGGGGAGGAGAATGCTCCAGAAGGAGGGCAGTGAGTTTGGGAAGTGAAGGACAGATACAGGTGGGACCTAGGGCTGAGTACAGGTGCCACTGCTCTGCACAGACCCTGCAGACATCCACACAATACTGATTCAGGTATTCCCTGCAGGACCCTGGTGAATGCTGCCTTCTCAGAGATCCAGGATGGAGCCTTCGCCCACCTGCCACTGCTGCAGTTCTTGTATGGATGGCTTTGTGGAAGGGCGGGTGGGAACATGATGCTATGGGACAGATGCTGGGCTTGGGGGAGAGTAGGTGGAGCTGGCATTTGGAAATATGGGTACTCCAATAGAATACACCACAGAAGGTGGAATATGGCATAGAGAGTCCAGGGAAGCAGGAGACAACACACAGAATCTGAGAATGTGGTTTGTGAAACATGGATTTGGCTTCTCTAGAGTCTCTAGGGAATTGAGTTCAATAGCTTGAGCCAGTGCTCCAGAGTGAACAGTTGAGGGGGGGGGATCATTTTAGAGACATATGACCACAGGGATCAGGGCCTGAATAAACAGCTGTGTGTTGAGAAGGAGGGATGGTGGGACAGCTGTCTGTGAAGGACGAAAGTGGGCTGGGATGAGGGTGGGAAAACTGGAAGGGGAAATGCCATGGTAGTGGGCCGGGAGCCAACTTGGCAGGACAGCAATGCCCCCACTGTACTCAGGAGCGAGCACATCATGGGTATTTGGAAACAGAGGACATGGAAACAGGCTCACACCTGGTCTTGCTGCCCAGGTGACTCAGGGGCTTTCTGCTGGGGTCCTGAAGTGTATCAGGGAGGTCAGCCAGATCTTGAGGAAGCTCAGGGGTGGGGTAGCAGGTATGGGCAGCAGGCACACCCTTGCAAGCTCTAATTCCACCTTTGTCTCCCCAGGTTACTCAACTCCAACAAGTTCACGCTGATTGGAGACAACGCCTTCATAGGACTGTCACACCTGCAGTACCTGTGTGTGGGAGGAAATGGGCAAGGCCAGAATAGAAGGAGGGAGCTGGGGCCTGGGTGGGCTGAGAGAGGCAGTGCAGTGAGAAGGCTGGGAGTGGGATGGGATGGAGGAGCCCTTGACTCCTCTGACTGTGGGATGGCAGAGGGTCATTTCACTCATGCCCCTGTCAGCAACGCATTACCTAACACCCTATCGTTAAGGGCATGATGTTATTGCACTCTATGGAAACCTGTCTCAGGCGCCTCTGCTGGGGCGTAGCCTAAGGTGTAAGGAAATCACTGAAGAGGGGATCTGGGACCCTAAGTGGCAGCTGAGGCAAGTCCTGTTTTTCTCCAGCTTCATTGAGAACAACGACATCTGGGCACTGTCCAAGTTTACCTTCAGAGGACTCAAGTCCTTGACACACCTGTGAGTACCTCATACTTAATACCTACACTGGACCTCTGGATTTGGCCTTGATTGTGATCTTCAGGTGACCCTGGGGTCTCTCTTGCAGCTCACTGGCCAACAATAACCTGCAGACACTACCCAGAGACATCTTTCGTCCACTGGACATCCTGAGTGACTTGTAAGGCCTGAATCCTGCCTCTTCCCACAATGCCACAGAGGGCATATCCCTAGAGGAAACAGAATTAGGGTATTGAGAGAGGGTTTTGAGAGGGTGGGAGGGCTTGTATTTAGGGTCTTTGAGAAGATGAGGTCAAGGTAGATGGGAGCTCTCCAAATTGGAATTCCTCAAGGTCCCATAGCCCATCTCAAATGTACATGAGATAGGTATCTCAAGCAAATGTGTTTTGGGAGGCTTGGTGGTGCATCTCTTTGATCCCAGTACTCAGGAAGCAGAGGCAGGTAGATTTCTGTGAGAATGAGGCCAGCCTGGTCTACATAGAGGATTCCAGGCCAGCTGGGGCTACAGAGAGACCCTACTTCAGATCCACCACCACAACAAAAAGATCACACAAAAGAACAAAAACCCCACATGTGTTTTTGGAATGTATGTTTGATTTGAATCAACATTGAAGTCCTTGAGTATCCACAGTCAGTCTCTATTATTTATACAAGAAACTAAAAACCCCTTGGAGGAATAGGGAAGCAACATGTAACTGGGCAGGCTGCATGCCTGACCAGCAAAGCCTGGTAGCACGGGATTGTAATCCCAGCTACTGCAGAGACTGAGGCAAGAAAATCATAAGTAGTGATTTTTTTTTTTGTCTCAAAAGAAAAAGTAAAAACAGAACTAGAGGTGAGCTCAGGGGTAGAGCACTTGCCTAGCATGTGTGAGGTCCTAGGTTCAATCCCCAGTAATGCAGAAATAAAGAGATAAAAATTGTTAAAGGCATTTGGCCAAGGAGGTAAGCAAGCAGAGGCTGAGACTGAGGCAGCACTCTTCTGGTCATGCCTGTGTTGTGGGCCTGTGTCCAAGGCAGCTATGTGTGAGCAGTTCACAGGAGCCTCTGAAAGTCAGGTGAACTGCTGGGCAGAGCGGCTGAGGGCCTGCCCCATCTATGCCCCACCCTCACGATCCAGGGACCTGCGGGGCAATGCACTCAACTGCGACTGTAAGGTGAAGTGGCTGGTGGAGTGGCTCGCACACACCAACACCACCGTGGCCCCCATCTACTGTGCCAGCCCACCCCGCTTCCAGGAGCACAAAGTGCAGGATCTGCCACTGCGGGAATTCGACTGTATCACCACAGGTAGGCGGGGCCTCAGGACTGGCTGAAGACCACCCGGCTCAGCACACAGCCTCTGCAGCCAGGTCCCCACTACCACCCGGCTCAGCACACAGCCTCTGCAGCCAGGTCCCCACTACCACCCAGCAGGCTAGTACCTTCTTCCTTGGTGTTGAGTGCACCTGCTTGCCCCTCTGGTCTCTGCAGATTTTGTGCTCTACCAGACCCTGTCCTTCTCAGCGGTGTCCGCGGAACCTTTCCTTTACTCCAGCGATCTCTATTTGGCTCTGGCCCAGCCAGGTGCCAGCGCCTGCACTATCCTGAAGTGGGACTATGTGGAACGACAACTTCGAGACTATGATAAAATCCCAGGTACCTGCATGCAATCTGCCTGTGATGGTCCAGACCAAGGAAGTGTGGCAGGAGGCTCCATTGTCCAACCCCAGTGAATAGGAAGAAGGATGGATGAAAAACAGCCTCTATCATAAAGATTTTCCTGGGTTTGAGGGAGGCCAGCATATACAAAATAATATCTAAAGAGTAATTAGTAGATACCCGGAAGACAATTGCCCCTGCCAATCAAGGAAGTTTTCCTGGGCTGGGGAAGAATACTTTGTACTGTATCAAGATCCTGGGTTCCACCCCCAACACTGGAAAGAAAGAGTGAAGGAAAGAAGGGAGGGAGGGAGGAAGGGAGGAAAAGAGGGAGAGGGAAGGAAAAAGGAAGAAAAGAAAGAGAACTTCCTGGTTGAAGCATGGGGGCAGGGGAGTCAGACGGAATGAAGAGATGTTTTAGCTCTACTGAGTATGTGCTCAGGTTTGAAGGCTGACAGATGCTTAGCATGCACAAAGCCCTGGATTTGATCCCCAGCACTGCATAAACCAGACATGGTTGTTCACATCTGGAATCCCAGGAGGTTCAGAAGTTCAAGGTCACCCTCAGCTACATAGCAAGTTTGAGGTCAGCCTGGGCTATGCGAGACCTTTTCTCAAAAAAAAAAAAGAAAGAAAGAAAATCAGCCAGCATAGTGGTGCCTGCTTTTAATACCAGCACTTGGGAGGCAGAGGCGGGTAGATCTCTGTGAATTTGAGGCCAAGCCTGGTCTATATAGCAAGCTCCAGGCAAGCTAGTGCTACATCATGAGACCTGTCTCAAAAAAAAAAAAAAAAAAAAATCCAATACTGGATATTATGGTTAAACAATCAGTTAACATCTGTGGACACCTATTTTATGCCCAGTGCATGCTTGTATTTGGACAGTGGGTGCAAGGATGGAATTCAAGTGATACCCAAACTGATGTGAGACCATTAAAAATTAAGGAGCACTGAGCCAGGCATGGTGGCATATACCTATAATCCTAATACCTGGGAGGCTGAGGCAGGAAGATTGAAACTTCAAGAGTAGATTTAACTATATAATGAGAGCCTGTCTCAAAGAAAAACCAAAACAGCACAAAACTTGCTGGGTATGGTGACTCATACCTGTAATCCCAGTACTTGGGAGGCAGAAAAGGAAGATCACTACAAATTCAAGTCGGCCTTGTCTACATAGTAAAAATCCAGGCCATCCAGGGTTACCCTATCTCAAAAAACTAAGAGGGGCTGGAGAAATGGCTCAGTGGTTAAGAGTACTGGCTACCCTTGCAGAGGACCTGGGTTCAGTTTCCAACACCTGCATAGTTGCTAACAACCATCTGTAACTCCAGTTCCAGGGGATCCAGTACCCTCTTCTGATTTCTGTGGGTATTGCACAACATGGGTGTACTTACATACATGCAGGCAAAACACTCACAAGTAAAAAGTAAATAAATGATAAATAAATAAATAAAACTAAGAACAAAAATAAAACAACAACCCAGAAATTATGGAGTCCTGAGCACTAGGTGAATGGATTTCTCTGGAGGTAGAATACTGTAGCAGTCTCAGCTATGGTCCACATGGGGGCTGATCTCCTATGGGAGGAAGGGGTGGAAACTGACTCTGCTTGACCCCACATGCTTCTGTCCTGGCAGCCCCCTCGGCTGTACACTGCAAGCCGATGGTGGTAGACAGCCAGCTGTATGTGGTCGTGGCCCAGCTGTTCGGTGGCTCGTACATTTACCACTGGGACCCCAACACCACGCGCTTCACCAAGCTGCAGGACATCGACCCACAGCGTGTACGCAAGCCCAACGATCTGGAAGCCTTCCGAATTGATGGCGACTGGTACTTTGCTGTGGCTGACAGCTCCAAGGCAGGTGCCACTAGCCTCTACCGTTGGCACCAGAATGGTTTCTATTCCCACCAGGCCCTGCATGCCTGGCACCGAGACACTGACCTTGAGTTTGTGGATGGTGAGGGCAAGCCACGGCTGATTGTGTCTAGCAGCTCTCAGGCACCTGTCATCTATCAATGGAGTCGTACCCAGAAGCAGTTTGTGGCCCAGGGAGAGGTGACTCAGGTGCCTGATGCCCAGGCTGTGAAACACTTTCGTGCAGGCCGTGACAGCTACCTGTGCCTTAGCCGCTACATTGGTGACTCCAAGATCCTGCGCTGGGAGGGTACCCGGTTCTCCGAAGTGCAGGCTCTGCCCTCCCGGGGCTCACTGGCCTTGCAGCCCTTCTTGGTGGGTGGCAACCGCTACCTGGCACTGGGCAGTGATTTCTCCTTCACCCAGATCTACCAGTGGGATGAAGGGCGACAGAAGTTTGTGCGGTTCCAGGAGCTGGCTGTGCAGGCCCCTCGGGCCTTCTGTTACATGCCTGCTGGGGATGCCCAGCTGCTCCTGGCCCCTAGTTTCAAGGGACAAACGCTGGTGTACCGACATGTAGTGGTGGATCTCAGTGCCTAGAGGGGCATCAAGGCCTCTGAGGTCCTTAGGGTTTCGTTGTAGGCTGGATGGGGGCCTCTGGCCCCAATTGAAGTCACATGTGGCTAACCTGTATATGTGTACACACACACACACACACACACACACACACACACACAGAGTGGTGAGCCGGGACACACTCCAGGGACTAGTCCAGGAGAGTCTTTCCCATCACTGTAATCAGCACCTGTATATGCACCAGGCACCCTGTGGCTCCCCCATTCAGAGCACCCCTAAGCGCTGCTCCCTCACTAGTGCATATGTGTGGTAGGGTACAGGAAGAGGGTAAGCCATGCCCTTCTCCTCTCTGCTTAGCCTTCCACCCTCTGGCCTTTCCCGTGGGTGCTCCAGGTTGTGTACCTGCTCAGCCTCCACAGTTGCAGCCTCAACCTACCTTCCAGGTATGCCCACCCATGCCACTCTCCTTCTGCATGCACATGCAGACACTGATGGACATGCTCAGTTACACACTTGCGCTCACCCTGGCCACACTGCTATTTCTACATATGCAGGTCCACACGTGCAGACCAGCATGGTGGGAACAGGCTCCCTTCTTACCACCTTGCTACTCTTCTTGGAGGGTGTCCACAGTACCCATGCCTCTTCTGCTCACCACAGCGTGCCCCCACCACGTGGCTGATAAGGACAAGAGCAGTGGTGAACCTGTGAGCATGGGCGTGGCCTCCTGGGACAAAGCCCCCTTCACCCTGAAGCAATAACAGCAGCACTGGTTTCTTTGCAGTATAATGTGCCTCTCATCTAACTGGAGTTGCCCCGAATCCTGCTCACCAGGGGACAGGTGAGCACCCAGATGAAAGCCTTTCTCTGGGTAGCTGTTGCTTTTTCAAGCTTGGGCCATCCCCTGGTTTCACCCTGTCTTTGAGATATAGATGTTGAACTGATTGCTCCTAGAGTAGAATGTAAGAACTGACTAAGGCAAGAAGCCCATGAGCCCCTAAGCCACCTGCACAGTGGCAGGACTAGAGCTTGGCATAGAGCTTCTTGGGGGCACTGGCACCCCTCCACTCCATGGAGGCCCTCTCCCCAGGATCCCTGCCTTTCAGTGGAGTGTGGACCGTGGGGGGACAGCTGGGAACCTGGCCTCTGCTGCCCTCTGCTGTCCACTGGGAACAACAGCTCTGAGGAGGAGGCTTGTGGAGGCAGACAGTGGCCAGGGTAAGGACTTCTTGTGGCAGGATGCCCAGGGGCATTTGGGGGCAATGCTATGATTCACCTGCTTCAAATAAAAGTTCCACCCCACCACCAACTCTCAGGTGTCATCAAGGTGATTCATTAGGAGCAGAGTCTGGGCTGTGACACCTGCCCTTGCTATATTCTATACACAGGGACCACACTAGCTTCCAGGCCCTCTTCCTCCTGGTTCCTTTCCCTCAGAGCAATGGGCACCTCCGAGGTCAGCTGGCACTGGGGTCAGGAGTTCACAGAAATGACACTCAGGTGCTGGGTCATATGATGAGTGTCCTCCACCTGGGTCTGACTTACAACTCCTTCCTGGAGATCACAGGCCTGGAACCCACTAGGACCTGGGCCTGTCCCTTTGTCAGACCAATTTTAGGTAACACAGCAAAGACACATGCAGCACTCAACAGTCATCTCCTCCTACCGCTCCCCAAGATCCCCACTGTGTAAATGTCCACCATTGCCATCAACCTCCACCTAGGGGAGGTACCTTGGATTCCTAGGTAAAATTTTGGTTCTTCTTCCTGATTTTTAATCAGTCACCAAGTCTCCATTCTTCATCACCAAGGATATCCAACTAAGCACTCACTCTTTTGTTTTTCCTCTTTTCCTGCTGCAACATTTATCCCAACCTACCTGATTGCTATTGTCTCTGGGTCCCTCTTGCCAACTACTTCTGAGATCTTCCTGGTCTGACCTCCCTGAAACATCTTTTCCATCCTGTCATCCACCAGAACCTGCTTTGGCTCCTCACTTTTCTGGAAACAAATTCATGGCTTTCTGCCTAAACACCAAGGTCCTCTGGACCTGGTGCCAACAGACACAACAGCAAGGGTCTCTTCCCACCCACCCCCATTCTGTCCACATTTGAGAACATAGTGAGAGCCGGTGGCAAAAGAAGGAGGGGAAAGGGGAGGGCCTAGGGCAGCAGTAATAGCCAGGGTCACCAGGGAAAGTGAGAGGTCCTGGGAAGAGTACACAGCACTGTGTTGCAAAACTGGTACGTTCAGCTGTGTAACCTCACTCTTTGTCACCCTGCTGCACCCCTGGATTTGAACAAATGGAAATCTTTTGCCATCTTATGTGGTCAGTAATAGAGAAAGGGATGCAAATGGTGGAAATGAAAATTCCTCCAGCAGGGGTTCCTGGAGATTAGAGAGAGAGAGAGAGAGAATCCCACCCCCAGCCTCTTCTCTTCTCCTGGTTTTCATTTGTTCTCTAGGGTTCCTTTTAGCTCTCACATGTCACATTGTGTCACACATGTGTCACATGTCACTGGTTTGCTCTTCAGGAACCACCTGTGGGCACCCGGAATGGAGACCAGGTCTGAGAGCTCCAGTGCTCTGAACTCAGCAGTTTGGACCACATGTGCATGGATATGGGCTCCTTTGCTCAGCTCCTGCCAACTGATTTCTCCGAACCTCAACTTTTTCTGCAAACCTACTTTACAGACTCACGATTTGGTTCACTTTCAGCAATTAAGTGAGATTTAAGCACATTAAATACAGATTAATGCATATCAGGCCCTTTGAAGAGTGTGTCTGAAGCTGGGTATGGCGGTGCAGGCCTTTAATCCCAGCATTCAGGAGGCAGAGGCAGGGAGGTCTCTGTGAGATCAAAGCTAGGACTACTTAGCGAGTTCCAGGCTACCTGGGCCTACAAGGAGATACTGTCTCAAAAACACAAAAAAAGAATCAAAAACAAAAACGACAAAGAATGTGGCACATAATTATGAGCTGTATTGGTCTGCAGGAGCAAAGTGAGATTGAGTCTTCAGAGAAGGGGAGGGGGTTCATGAGAGAGAAAGGTGATATTTGGGGACAGTTGTTCTCCAAGAGCTATGATTTCTCAGTTACCTGCAGTCTCAGAGCCCCTGTACCCAACCTCTCATCTGTGGCTACAGGCACCCAGCCCTCTCCACTGCCTCTGACCATACCTTGCAGTGACAGGTCTGAGTTTCCACCCCCTCAAATCACATTCTAGGCTCTTGGCTGAGCACCCATGAGTCCCCATCCTCCCATCCTGAGTCACCTGTCTCTCTTCCTCCCTTCTCTCCTTTCTCATGAGTCTCATGTAGTCCAGGCTGGCCTTAAACTTACTATGTAGCTAAGAATGTCTTTAAACTTCTGATTCTTGCCTCTACTTTCTAAGTGCTGTGATTACAGGTGTGCACCATCATGCTGGTTTTATGCAGTGCTGGGGATTGAACCCAGGGCTTTGTGCATGCTAGACAAGCACTCTACCAGCTGAGCTATATCCCCAACTACTGTCCTCCTTTTTCAAGCAGGAAATGAATGCACCCTTAACCATGCCCATCGAGGTTGCCAAGGGAAGTGGGTTGAGTCTCCCAGACACCTTGGCATTCTGTTGCCCAGTTGCAAGATAAACATCACTCTGACAGCCGCTTCCTCCAGTGGAGCACTTTCTCCAATGGTGGGAGACATTGTCTCCTTCAAACCTTGAATGCCCAGCTTTCTATAACATTGCTGCCTGGTCACCTGCCTGGGGGTGACCAGACATGAGTCCAGGGAACTGCATAGCAACCTAGGGTAACTGGGTGACTGTGTCAACAGCTCAGGACCAAAGGCCACAAGGGCCAGAATCGATTTACTCTGTCAAAGCTAAGGAGGGTGGCTCTCTTCAGTATTAGCCTCACACTCCTCTGTGAGGAGCTCTGCTCCCAGCAGCAGACCTCTGACTTCTTGTCCTTTAGCTTTTCAAGGTATAGGCATTATAGCCAGGAATCTCCATGTGAGAGGCTGTCCCAGCTGGGAAGGTTTAGAGGGCCCAGGGAACCTCTTCCCAGCAAATGAGAACAGAGGTAGGTTCTTTTCTTTTTGTTCCAAAACAGGTTCTCACTAGGTAAGCCAGGCTAGCTTTGAACTCAAATCCCCCTGCCTCAGCCTCCCAAGTGCTAAGCATGTGTCACCATACCCAGCTCAAAAAGAGGTTTCAGTGGGGCTGGGGAGATATCTAAGTGAGTAAAGTGCTTGCTTGCTGCACAAACATGAGGAGCTGAGTTTGGATCCCTAGCACCCACCCATAAAAAGCCTTAGCACTGGAAGGGTGGAGACAGACTCTGAGTGCCTACTGGCCAGTCAGTCTTGCTGAAATGGTGAGCTCTAGGCTTGGTGAGGCCTTATCTCAAAAAATAAGGTAGAAGCTGACTGTGGTAGCCCACACCTTTAATCCCAGCACTTGGGAAGCAGAGGCAGGTAGAGCTCTGTGAGTTGAAGGCCATCCTGGTCTACATAGCAAGTTCTAGGTCAGCTAGGGCTACACAGTGAGACCCTGTCTCCAAAAAAAAAAAAAACAATAAAATAAGGTAGAGAAGCAATTGAGAAAGACATCCTACTGGCCTCTACACATACCCCTACCTGTACATACACATGCACACACATGCATATAACACACACCATTTTATAAAAAGGAAAAAGAGCTGGGTGTGGTGGTGCACACCTTTGATCCCAGCACTTGGGAGGCAGAGGCAGGTGGATCTCTGTGAGTTTGAGGCCAGCCTGGTTCTACATAGTGAGTTCCAGGCCAGCTGGGGCTAGAGACCCTGTCTCAAAAAAAAAAAAAAAAGAAAGGAAGGAAGGAAGGAAGGAAGAAAAAAGGAGGCTCTGATGCTGGGGTCAGGTAGGAGGTTCTAGAAAGTAACCATTGGAGTAGACATAGCAAAGAACTTGGGTTTACATGGGCTTTCCAAGTGATGGATGTCTTTTCCTTCTATAGCTCTCTATTCTTCCCAAGTTTGTCTCCTGTTCTCTCAGTCACATCCTTCTCCCAGCAAGGAGATACCTGATACTCTTTTGCATAAAGAATTAGACCAGGAAACCTAGTAATGTGGCTCAGTACAGTGCTTGCCTAGCATACATGAAGCTGTGGGTTCAAGCCCCAGCACCACATAAGCATGCATGGTGACACATGCTTGTAATGCCAGCACCTGAGAGAAAGAAGCAGGAGGACCAGAAATCCAAGTCATCCTTGACTACATAGCAAGTTCAAGACCAGCCTGGGATACATAGGGCCCTGTCTTAAAAAAGAAAAAGGAAAGAAAAGAAAAACTTATGCTTGTGCCTCAAGATGGATCTCAAAACAGAAGGTGGCTGGGACCTTCCTAATTGGATTCTCAGCCCTTGGTGTTTTTTGTTCCTCCAAAACAGTATGGGGTGGGAGGCTGGGCAGGAGAAGTGAGGGAGAATTAAGGCATGGGGGAGTTTCTCCTGTGGACCGGTTTCACTGCTGGCTCCCACACCCAGCAATACCAATAAAATTGATGATAATAATTAAGACTGTATAATCATCATGTGTTTATTTACTCCAAGAAGGCTCCTTTCTCCGGCTCCCATCATTACTGATTCCATCCTCATAGGTGGTGGGTGTTAACTGTGGCTCTAATAAAAAGCAATAACTGCCTGTGCTTCTGCCCCCACAGCCCCAGGGCAGCTTGGCTTGCACCCTCACCTCAATGCAGTAGAGGGGGGAAACCGATCTCCCAGTTTTCAGAAGTAGCAACTGAGGCAGAAAGCAGATGTCACAAAGAATGAAAGTGTAAAGTCACAGAGGCAGCCAGGGTATTCCTCCCCCAGAGGATCTTCTCTAGTTCCACATCCCCTCCCAGGGCCACTTGCAGCTGACCGCTGCTGATCCTTAGGAAAGCTGACCACCCATAAATACCACTGGGTGACACTGGGTCATTTACTTTACTGAGCATCTCTCCTAAATGGTAGAAAAGGATCTTCGCAAAATGGGCGCAAAAGCACAGTGTATAATGACAAGAATGGTTATGAATTTCCCAGGGATATTTGTGTTCTTGACTTAGAAACAGGTGGAATTTCAAACGGGTGGTAAAGAAGGATCTCTATCCAGCATCTCCTGCAGTCAGACTGACATTGTGGTCAGAGTGTGTAGGTGTGTGGGTCCTAGAAAGGGGCTTTAGGGAGAAGTGGATACCTGAAGCCCACTGTTAGGAGGGCAGCTCCCTGATGCCACTCTTCCTTTTTTCTTTTTCTTTTTTTTTCAAATATTTTATTTATTATTTTTATTTTATGTGTATGCATGTATTGCCTACAGGTAGGTAAGTGCACCTGTGTCAGATCCCCTGGAACTTGCAAGAACAGTCAGTGTTCTTAACCCCTGAGCCATCTCTCCAGCCCCCTTTTTTTCTTTTTTTTAAAAAAATATTAATATTATTATTTTATTTCATGTGTATGTAAGTGTACTGTGTCATGCAATGCTCAAGGAGGACAGAACAGGGTGTCAGAGCTCCTGGAACTGGAGTTACAGATGGCTGTTAGCTGCCATGTGGGTGCTGGGAATCGAACCCGGGTCCTCTTCAAGGGCAGCCAGTGCTCCTAACCGCTGAGCCATCTCTCCAGCACACCCCTTATTCTCTTGATCAAATGGATTATTTGAGGTGCTGAGCCAGTAGTGAGATCAGAACTTGTTTCCTCTCAGGTAAGTGCGCTCCGGTGTTCTATGCTATGTTAACAGAAAGGGAGAAATGAGGCCACAGGGAAAGGACATGAGGAGACTCCAACCAAGAAATTCAACAAGTCTGGAAAGATGGTTCAATAGTTAAGAGCACTTGCTGTTTTTCCAGAGGACCGGGTTCAATTCCCAGTACCCACCTGGAGGCGAACAACCGACCTTAACTCCAGCTCCAGCTCTTTTAGCCTCCCTGCATGTGTTGCACTTACATACAAGCAGACAAAACACTCATACACATAATAAAAGTGAGTACGATTTGAAAACAAAAAAACTTCAAGAATTCCAGAGTCCAGATTTTTTTTTTTTTTTTTTTAATAACTTTTTGGTTGAGACGGGGTCATGTTACATAGAGCCCCGTACTATGTAGCCCAGTTTGGCCTGGACTTTACGATAATTCTACCTCGGTCTCCCGAGTGCTGGGATTACAGGAGGCACCACCACGCCCAGCTGGGAGTCTAGATTTTCTTTGTTGCCCTTGGTTATTCTCTTGTGACTTTCCACCTGCTAACCTTTCTGATCAGGAAAGGTTACTTGACCAGGGGGCCCCACGTAAGAGCCTCGCCCGCACATCGCCGCTTTAAGGGGTGGGCCTTGTGCCTCCGTGACCTCGCCCCGCCCCTCTGGGAGTTGCACTGCGCCTGCGCCAGCAGCCTGAGCCCTGGGGTTGGGCAGGACCAGGTTCCGTGCAACTTTCAAGTGAGTTACAAATTCCGCCCCGGAGGCTGCTGCAGGTGGTCAAGCGCGCCGGGACCCCGGCAATCTCGAGAGCGCCGGCCGTGACCTGCCACCCCCAGCTGGGACTAGCTGTGGCGCCTTGCAACGCCCGGTTCTCCGCAGCAGGAAGTGCGGACTGAGCCGCCACAACTCTGCGGCGTGGGGCGGAGGAACGCGCCCGCCCGCCCCGCTCCCCAGTCGGCTTCCTTCCTTGGAGGCCTCCCCTCCCACGTCCACTGGTTCCCGATTTCCAGGCTCCCCGCACTGCGGGGTCGGAGACAGGACCTGAAGATAAGTGGCGAGTGCAGCACCACTCGATCCCCTGCGTAAACAGCTCACTTGGTCGTCTTCTTGGGGTCGTCCTCCAGGCTGTCAGGATGGTGTCCTGGATGATCTGTCGCCTGGTGGTGTGAGTATAGCCACTCTGAAAACCCCTTCCCCCCTGTAATCCCCAGGTGCCAGCCTGCCTTTGGGGTGGAAGCTGGGAATGTTTGGTGGCGAAGGGAACTTCCTGAACTTCATCACCCCTCCCCCACACTCACTGCAATGGTTAACGGTCCTGGAGGTCTGAAGGTGGGACCCGGACACTGCATGCCTTGTTCCCAATCCCCTGCCTTCTGGACTGATGGGGACACTTCTTACACTGCACACGCATTGTAGACAGGTGCGGGACTCCGGGCCTTTGCCACCCACAGCCCCAGCAAACAGAAGTTGTTAGGTACTGCTGTGGGCGGATAATCCAGGTGCCTGCTTCCCATCTGAGGAGTCACATGACTCACCACCGTGGCCTTAGCCTCCTCGGCAGTACCCTGCACCTATGGGTACTCCAGCACCTGGCTCAAATGTCACACCGTCTGCATCCTGGTGGCCCTGAGCCTGGCTACCTGTGGTGGGAGGGGACAGCCTGGTGTTCGCACCCACCTTGTGGAGTGCTCTCACTCTATCCTGTACCCATGGGCCACCAGTGCAGGCCTGGACAGGCTTGGGATGTTTGTAAACAGCCGGGTGGGGAGGCAGCCTCCAGGGCACTGACTCAGGCACCTCAGGTTGTGCAAGACAAGCGGGAAAAACAGGGCAGACACTGCCACCTTGCACCCCAATTGGGGGGGAGGCAGCCACTTGGCAGGAAGAGGGTGGGACATAAGTGCCCCTTCATTTCCCATGGCTCCTCTTCCAGGCTTGTATTCGGGATGCTGTATCCCGCTTATGCTTCCTACAAGGCTGTGAAGAGCAAGAATATTCGAGAATATGTGAGTGCAGGGTGTTGGCAGGAGAGCTTAACTAATGTGGGGTGGAATGACAGCCTGAGGGGTGGGGGTGACTCATAGGACTTGGAGAGTGGGAGGACATCCCCAACTCCAGGGGCTTGATGGTGTGGCAGATCCTGATCGCTCAAGTGGGTATGGAAGGAGGGCCAGACATTGGAGTACCCTTGGACGAAGATCTTGTGGGTGAAGCATGCTGGGGTGGACACTGGAATGAAAGGCAGTTTCCCAAGGGTTCCTGTCTAGCCAGGCATGAGGAAAGCAATGCAGTGGGACTGGCTTTCAGGAATCTCTGGGTTGGGCCAGTGGGGGGCGGGCATTGGCACCACAGGCTCCCAAGCTGACCTTTGTGCACTCTGGCCTACAGGTCCGATGGATGATGTACTGGATCGTCTTTGCAATCTTCATGGCAGCAGAGACCTTCACAGACATCTTCATCTCCTGGTCTGGCACAAGTGTTGGCAGGCTGTGGGTTGAGGAGGCCCACCCACTGCCTAGCACCCTGCTCACCTGTCGTCCCCCTGTGCTCCCACAGGTTCCCTTTCTACTATGAGATAAAGATGGCTTTTGTGCTATGGCTGCTCTCTCCATACACCAAGGGGGCCAGTCTGCTTTACCGAAAGTTTGTCCATCCATCCCTGTCCCGCCATGAAAAGGTACCCCAGGGGAGGTAGAGGGGGACACAGAAGAGTATGTAAGAGAGAAAGCCTTGTATCTCAGGTTCAGGGAACCAGAGACACCTGGGTTTTAGTCCCTGTCTTGCTGCTGTTTAGCTGTGGGACCATAGTTGGGGGGTTGATGTTCCTCCTCTCCCTGGATGATCAAACAGAATGTGGGGTGCATAGGACTGACCTTTAGGGGTATGAAGTGCTGACCAGAAGTTGGTGTAGGCATGGAGGACTGGAAGGTAGCTACTCACTGAAGTGTAGAGTGGGCAAGTGGATGGGGAACTCTGTTCTTGGAGTGTGTTCTGGGCCTATATCTGTGACTTCCAGATACTGGGTAGGAGTAGACTAGGAGATTTGACAACCAGTGGCTTCTGGGAATCTGCACATGAGGGGCCCTGGCTGTCAGCCTGAGCTCTCTACCCTTGGATCTGCAGGAGATTGACGCATGCATCGTGCAGGCAAAGGAACGCAGCTACGAGACTGTGCTCAGCTTGGGGAAGCGGAGTCTCAACATTGCTGCATCAGCTGCTGTGCAGGCTGCTACCAAGGTGCTCTGAACCCCAGGGCTCACAGCCCCAGCCCAGCCCTACTCCTATTCCTAGTGCCTTTGAGCCAGTTCACCTCTGCCAGAGAGCTGAGAGCTAGCGGTTAGGGCTTTGGTGCTTGGCATAAGGTTGCTGAGCTGCTTTCAGTTCTGAGTCTAGTGCCACAGTGATTAGCTGAGGGCCAGTCCTGGACTTCCTTGCTGGTCCCTTTCCCGCAAAGCTCCTTCCCCTAATTGATGCAGTCCTCCCTTCCCTCACTTCACAGAGTCAGGGTGCTCTGGCTGGTAGGCTGCGGAGCTTCTCCATGCAAGACCTGCGTTCCATCCCTGACACCTCTGCCCCTACCTACCAAGATCCCCTCTACCTGGAGGAACAGGTAGCCCGCCGAAGGCCGCCAATTGGTGAGTGGCAGTGGGTGCAACAGTGTCCTAGGTGGACCTCTCCCTGGACTGAAAGAAGGCCTGGAGTGGCCCCAGACTTGTATAAATGTTCAGCTTTGCCTTCACTGGCCTCTTCCACAGGTTACCGGGCAGGTGGCCTACAAGACAGTGACACAGAGGATGGGTGCTGGTCAGACAATGAGGTGTCCCCCCAGCCACCTTCCCGGCCCCGAGAGAAGCCCCTGAGCCGTAGCCAAAGCCTGCGGGTGGTCAAGAGGAAGCCACTGGTTCGAGAGGTCAGTATGTGGGGAGCACAGTGTGAGGGAGGTAGGTTGAGTCGCCATACCCACACTGCTTATGGTATGTCTGTTTTCTCCCCCAGGGCACATCACGATCCCTGAAAGTTCGTACTCGGAAAAAGACCATGCCCTCAGACATGGACAGCTAGAGTGTGCAGAATTAGACCATCTTACCTCAAGCCAGCAGGGGGCCTTTGGCTGCACATCAGGTCTGCCTGCACCAGCTGCCTGGGCCCCACCCCTCTGGCCCCTGCAGCTGCCCAAGGGCCAGGGGCAGATGGTGTGGCACCCTGCGTGGGGATGTACCCACAATATACCAAAGCAGGTCAGGCCCAGGGGCCTATTTATTGCCTTCCTCAGCCCTCCACCTTCCCAGGTGTGGGACCACAGCCCCATGAGTCCCTGCAGATGAAACCAAAAGTCCACCCAATGTGCTCATTCCTTCCTGTCCTTCAAAGTACTTGACAGCCTTTCCAAGGCCTGGTGTGTGTGTCCTGGTTGTGTGTTTTGTGTTGGTGAATGAGGTCAGGCTTGTGAATGTTTTGATAAATAAATACCTAAAGGTGTTTGGCTTTCCCTGATTTGTCTCCTCCTCACAACTCACATTGTAACTGAATAGCCCACAGCAGGTTGGCCTAGCTGAGGCTCTGGTGAAAGGGCAGGCACACTGCCAGAGAGGATCCCTGTGCTTAGAAAGAAATGGCCACTGACAAATTGTATCTGGGCAGCAAGTGTTCTCATGGTTGAGCCCCTGGGGAGCTCTGCAGTCATGGACAAGTCAGGCCGGTCTGGAAGACTCAGTCTGAAACCAGTACTGGCCCTTACAGGAAGGGGCAAAGGCATGGAAGGGGTGTGAAAGCTGTGCCCCCGGTAAGCCTGAGAAGGCGGGGTTATATCTTCTTGGAGCGTGGTCCCCAGGCAGCTGAGGGACACAGCTCTGTAAACTTTTAGGTACCATCAGGGTGAGCTTGCATTCTAAGGAGTAGCCACGAGAGGGCAGCAGCTGCCAGGAGCCAGACTGCCCCCACCTTCCAGGTCAAGGTGGGCGGGACTCGGAGACTAGCCAGAGCCTCGCCCTGCTGGGGCCTGGCTGCTGGTGGGGCAGTTGGCCACTGGAATGATGCAGAACTCCCAGCAGGGCCAATGATGGCCCTTCTCCGCTGCTTGTTGCTAATCTGTGGCCTGCCCCATCCACAGGGCCTATTCTGCTGCTGAGACCCAGGCTTGTGGCCTGGGCTGGCTCCAATTCATCTCCTTTGGTCCCTGGGTCATCTGTCCATGATGTTGGTATCACACTAAACCCAGGGCAGCTCCCGTCTCCCACTGCATCTGCCGTTCCCACTTTGGAGTAATTAAAGAGGGAGATTCGAGCGCACTGGTTGGAGGAAGGATATGGGCAGCTAAATTGGAGTGAGGATTAACTCTTGGTGTGGGGATTATCTGGATTTTATTGGAGGGACGACATTTAATCTGTGCAGCTGATTTAGCTCCTCACAGAATGGGCCTCAATGGCTTCCTGTATGGCATTCCTTTGCATTGTGATGCTGTCTTACCACCTCATTAAGTCACTCAAAAGATGTGTTGCTAGATACTGTAGGGATGCAAAGACCAAGGAAGTAGGTATTATTATTATAATCCCCATTTCCCAAACAGCATAAAGAGCAAATGATTTGCCCAAGGTCACAAAGCTAGTAAGTGGCAGGATTGGGCTTTGGACCAGGCAGTCTGGCTCCAGAGTTGATGCACTTAATCACTATTCAGTAAATGAGTTGTTCCTTGCCTGGGAGGCTGGGGAAGGAGCCTGATGTGGATGGAACATTTGTTGCCTGCCTGACCTTGTGGCCGGGCATTTCACAGAGATAGTTTCCATGAATCCTCCCAAATGGGCTATTAAGGCTGTACCTACTTTACAAGTGAAACAACTCCTCCACACCGGTACCACCTGAGAGGTGGGCAAGGTCACTTGGTCCCCTTTGCAGAACTAGTATGCTCAGAGCCCCCAGACTCTGCACAGCCACAGCCTGTGAATGCTCTTTCCTCTCTCTGCTCCCCTACCCCAACTCTTGGTCCTCTTCATCTTCCAATCCCACACAGACATCTTCTGGGAGCCCTCTGCAGGCTTGCCTTATCCGGACTTCTTGCCATCTCTGTTCACAAAGGGATTTCTGATCTTACCTTGAGCACATCATATTTTTGTCCCTGCTGTGTTGTGACTTCATAAACAGACTTAACTTACTGTTGTATCACAGCTCAGAACAAGTGATTGAACCAAACTGAAGGATCTTGATAGCTGTGTGATTTGGTGGTAAAATCCTGCTTATTGTCTGACTTCTGAGCACAAACATCACCTCCTCCTCTGTGAAGTCTCCCCAACTCACCAGCTCAGTATTACATATAATCATTTATTAGCATGTCCCTATCTCCAAGAGTCATTCCCAGCCTCAGCCTAAGGCCTGACACCTAAGAGGCCTGAAGGAGGATTTGCTGCTAAACCAACAAATGCATCAAATGACTATAAACCTCTCCAGGGTAGGGACAGACTTGGGCTTTCAGTGTCTGTGCTCTCTGTCACCTCAGGCTCACCACACAGCTTTGAAACTGCCAGTGTCTCTGTGACATGGCTTGGTGAATGGCTGGTTGAAGAATTGCTTCCAACACATTCTGGGGCCAGAGGGAAAGGAATGCGAAGTCCATATTCTAGGGCGTTTCTGGACAAGCATATGTGTGCTCCTGAGACTTGGGGCACTGAGTATCATAGGCTTCCCTCAGAGCAGCTCTGCCTCTCTGAGAAACACCCTCTGCCCAGCACTGTCCACCTCTGGATAGGATCCCCAGCCACACCCTTGATCCTCTGACCTGCCCTCTGAAGGAGGACCAAGCTGTGTTTCTCCCTTCCAAGGGCCACCAACCTTCTGCATGATGCTAGTGTGCCTCCCTAGGCAAGAGCAAAGTTGGAAAGAACCTGATACCATCAAGGCTACCCTTAGAACTACATACCCTCTGTGGGTCTTGGGCCCATCCCCAGTTCTCAGACCAACCCCTTCCTGGACTGTAACCAAGGAAGCCAGGGCTTCCTTCTTAACCTTCCTTTCCTCCCTCCACCCTACTTCCTACCATCCTGTATCCCTTCAGGTGGCTCCTCTGCCTCCCTGCCTCTGGCTCCATTATTCTCTCTGACTTATGGCCCCTCACTGTCCTGGTCTCCTTCCCTCTCTCTGGCTTCCATGTCACAACACACAGGAACCCATGGCTGTATTTTTAGCTTCCACTCTCAGTAGCAGGCTAAGCTTCTAGATCCCACACAGCCCTGGGCCAGGCTGAGTGGGGGGTCCTGGCAGGTACTGTCCCCCCACTGGATGGGGCTCAAGGGGCAATTTTTCAGGCTCTTGCCCCCATTCCCCACTCAGCATCAGGGGTGGAAGCCCACTAGCTGCTGAGGGGACATGGCAGGAGGCTGGTGCATGCTGCTAGGAGACCCTTGGGGGCAGAGCTGGTATACAGGTTCCAAGTTTAGCCTGGAAAACAATAGAGGTTAGATGACAGTGGTGGGGGAGGCCTAGGGGGAAGGAGGTCTCCAGAAGAGGAATTAGGTCAAGGATGTGGGTGGGTGGGCGAGAGGGGAGGGTAGCATCTGCCACCAAGCTTCCTCCTGGCTCCAGCAGCATCTCCACACTTCCCTTCCCTGTCCCCTCCCCCCAGGTCCTGGGAGAATTCTCCCGATATTCCCCCTCCTCCGTGTCCCCCACCCCAAGCATGGCCACAGGGGTGGGGGTGGGGTGGGGGGAGGCCAGCCTCAGCTGTCTGAAGGATGGAGGGGCTGGGGAAGCAGGGCTAGGTGCCCAGACGGCCGCGTGTGTGGGAGGGGATGTCCTCAGATGCCCTCCACCCGGCAGTCCCCGCTCTGACGTGGGTGCCCCCCCTCTCCCCGCCCGGATTAGTGGCAGCTTGGCCTGACTCTCCGGGCTCCTTCCCCCGCCCCGCCTGCTGCCCACCCCTGGGCAGGGGGCTACTCTGCCTGAGGGGCACTGTGCTTGCCCAGGTAAGGGGCTCTGGGTGGAGAGAGGGCAGCCGGCTTTGAGTGAGGCTGTGCTTGTGGGTCTGTGTGTGTGTGTGTGTGTGTGTATGTGTGTGTGTTAGCGTGTGCGTGTCAGTGCATGAGGGTCGGTTGTGAGCTGGGGCTGGGCCCACGTGAGTCTGGGGGTGCTGGTCAGCTTGCCACGATCCATGGTCTGGCATTGTGTACACGCTCTGGGTGGCTTTCCCCCCGTGTCTCTGTCTTTTGTGTGTCCTCAGCTCTGCTCCATCCTCAGGCATAACACAGTCAGCTACAAGGACTCTGGCCTGTGGCATAGACTCTGAGGCAATGATGGGGGACAGAGTGGGGATGGAAAAGGGGTGCTTTCCCCCACTTTCACCCCATTAGCCTGTGGGCTTTCCAGAAGATTGTCTTGAGAGCCCTGGTTGGGACCAGGTACTAAGATCTGACAGGCAGATATGGCAACTTGAGGTAGGATGGGGGGGGGGTATCTGTTCAGCTCCCCTGGGACAATCCCTATCACCTTAGAGGAAGACAGTGACAAGTCCTCAGGACTCTGAACAGCCCAAGCTCCCACTTTAGCATCTTCCAGGACTCAAACCACCAGACTCTCCCCTAGTCTTGACTCTCCCACAAATCTCAGTTGCTAAGGCAAGCCGGAGGACTCAGAACCAAGAAGGCAGGCACACCCCGGCCTGTCACTTTGCACTGGAGCCAGGCTGGGAGCTAGAGGCCAGGTTGGATCCTTGGGACACCAGTCCCTGTTAGACCCTCCTCAATCATCTCCCCTGGTACACTCAGAACAGGCCGTCTCAGGGGAGTGGATATAAAGAAGAGGGTATGAAAAACTCAGCCATGTAAACAACCCCTACCAGCCTGACCTGTCACAGACCAGGCCTCTAAAGGTAAGAGGCTAGAAGGATTTATGCCAACATGGCCCAAGTCTGAATGGTGTCCACTCTTGAGGACCTCCTCTTCCCAGGACCTTCAGTTCTCTGAAGTTGGTGAAAGATTCCCTGCTTCCACCCTCATCCTTTGGGAGGAACTTCCATCGTTGTGGGCATCTCCATGCTGCCCCTCTCCAGAGGTAGTGTGACTTGGGACCAAGCTGTAACTACCAGAACCCACCCCTTCCATGGGATAGGGGAGTTGGGGATGGGGGTTGCTTCTGTTTCAGGCCAAGCACAGGGAGGCAAGAGAGTAGAGGGGCAGGAGGTGGGTGCCTTTGGGGAAGGGAAGCGCCCTTTGGGCGTGTGGGTTTCTGTGTGTGTCTGAATCTGTCTGTGTGTGTTTGAATCTGTCTGTTTGTGTCTGTGCTCTGGAACCACCCCCGCAGAGGAGCCAGGATGCTTCCTCGGGTGGAGGGTGCCCTGTTTGCCCATTTCCTCTCCTACTCGATGCTCCCTCCCTGGAGCCACTCCCATGGGCTCCTCTCCAGGCTGGGCCTGGGAGCACCAGGAACATTGGGGATGGGGCAGCCCCGCAGAAAACCTCAGCTGCAGTTTGGTGGAGCTCCTCTGGTCCCATCACCTCTCTGGACACTTAGTGAAACCAGGGAGCAGACTAGATCACAGGCCCTCTCAGATTCCACTTCTTAACATTGGGTTCTGGGAGGGGAACCGGGAGGGGGCTTAGATTAGAGACCATCAAAAGTAGTTTGGCCAGGTGAGGATAAGGAATGAGGCAGGGCAGACACTGGTCGGTGGGGTGTGCCCTGTGCCAAAGCTGGAAAGGACCGGGAGAGAGTGGTCCAGCAGGCACGGGCCTGCTGGCGTGGGTCGCAGCACCCATCACTGACCCGTGAGAACCCGACTGCCCCTGCCAGCTCTGGCACTGACCCCTCCCAGCCGCCCCACCCTAGCACCCCGGGGGGCACCCCGCCTCACCGTGGCCTGGTCCGGCCCCTCCCGCCCTTTGCTCCAGTTCCCGGGCTTGGCACCTATAGTGGGGGTGCTGCCCGCCTGCCAGGCTCCGGGCCGGGCCCACGGGAGGGTGGGGCGGCTGGGAAGCTGGCACGCTGCCCCGGGGGAGCCTCTCTCGGCAGGCGCCCGGGTGCCGCGGGGGGGAGGGGGGAACAAAGGGCTCATTCTCCCTGTGCGCAGCCGGTGGCATCGCCGGGGCGTTGGCGGAAGCCCCCGGGGCTCAGGAGGGGGCAGGCCCAGGCGGGGCCGCCGAATCACGGGCTCCTGTTTCCCGCAGGGTGCTGGAGGAGGAAACCGGCGGAGCAGCTTCCCCACTCTCAGTTGCGCGTCTGGCGATGGCGATCAGAGGTCCTGCTGCGCTCTCCGCTGCGCTCTGCCTCCATTAGCCGCGCTGCGCGGTGCTGCGCCCTCGCTGGTGCCTCTCTCCTGGCTCACGGGATCGGCCCCCCACTTCCACGCACGACCCCCTTCCCCGGCCCCTTGGCCTTTCCCCCCATTCAGCCATCTCCGACCCGGGGCGCGCGATCCCCCCGGCCCGGCTCCCTCTCTCTCTCCGGGGACACCCGCTCCCTAGCCCCGGCCCGGCCCTCCCCAAAGCGCAGCACGGAGTCTCGGCGTCCCATGGCGCAACCCACAGCCTCGGCCCAGAAGCTGGTGCGGCCCATCCGCGCCGTGTGCCGCATCCTGCAAATCCCGGAGTCCGACCCCTCCAACCTGCGGCCCTAGAGCGCCCCCGACGCCCGGGGGAAAGGAAAGCGCGAGCGCGCTGAGCTGAGAGCGGGAGAACCCGTCTTCGCTCGCCGGCCGGGAGGCCCCGAAGCCGGCCCATGGGTAGCGAGTGCCCGGCGCCGGCCAGCAGGACCGCCGCCGCCCGCACCGCGCCCGGCCCGTGAAGCCCAGGTAAGCGCCGAGAGGGGGCACCTTCTGGGGATACTTGTAATGAGGGATTTCTGAGCCGATTCCGCCGTGCAGACCTGGGGTGAGGTGCCGGTGCCACTCTGGGCCACACGTCTTAACATCGAAAAATTAGGATGCCCAGCTAAGGAGGTTGGACCGCGTGCGAAATGCGGCTCCAGAAAATCTGGGCGCCCCCCAACAAGGCTACGGTACCCCCCTCTTGGGGCTTCATTGGGGCTGGCCAAGGGGACCGCTCCAGGAGAGCGTGGCGGATCTCGTGCCACCTGTCATCCTGATCCCTCGCATGCAGTTCAATTTTCCCTCGCTTGCGCTTGCGTCTCTCTGGGGCCCAGCCTGCTTTCCCCGCCTTCTTCCCTCCCCCCTCAAGGACGCAGTTAGCAGCTGCGCCCTGGCATTGCCACTGGGCTTGGGCAGCTAGACCTACCCCAGCCTGAAGCCTCTTACTCCTCTCTCACATGATGGCTCGCTCCTCCCTCTGGGGGCCAAGAGCCTAGCCCCCAGCAGTTGTCTTGGTACTCTGCTGGAGATGCCAAGAAACCAGAGCCTGGGAAGAAGCAGAGTGGGGCAGCCCAGGTGTAGGGAGAGACATCAGCCAGCAGCTCTGGCTAGCTGCCCTCCTCAGTGACTCCAGCCTGCCAAGCCTGAACATCCAGGTCTTGCAAGCCTGGCTGAGGCTGGAGATGCAGGTGGGGAAGCTGCACCCCTCCCCTCAAACTGCAGACTGCAGTTTGGAAAGAGCTCTCTGCATGGAAAGCCCTGTTTTTACACAAGGGTACACTGAGGCCCATAGGAGCCATACCGAGCAGGCAGCTGCAGTGTCAGGGCCAGGATCCAGCCTCCCTCCCCTCTCAGTTGAGTGCTCACCACTGAGCTAATCTTTTGCACTCTTGCTCCCCGTCCTTTCCAATGGCTTGTAACCAGATTCTTAGCTCCATGAGGGCAGAACATGCCACCCTAGAATTTGGACCTCCAAACTCAGAGAGGGCCAGAACTTGGGAAAGGGGTGACCGCTCATGATGGAGCATCCTACTCAGGCAGGATCCTTTTGGCCACATGTGGAAGGCTGCATGATGCCCTGCTGTGTGTGTCCTGGTACTTGCTATACTGGTTTGAGCCACTTTGGGGCTACCAGGGCAGTATCCATGGTAAGGTGCTTGGGATATGTGCCCTAAGAGTTCATACTTTGGTCCTTATGCTCCAGGGTCCTCCCTGGGAGAGCCCCATGAGGGCAGGAGAGTGATGGAGAATGTGCCCAGCTTCCTGAAGGACATCCCAGCTTGGGAGAAGACAGCCTCTGAGAACGGCATCATAGGACAGGAGCCGGGTACCCCACTGCAGGATGGCTTGCACCATGGGACACTGTGCCTGGGAGAACCTGCGCCCTTCTGGAGGGGTCTCCTGAGTACCCCAGACTCTTGGCTTCCCCCTGGTTTCCCCCAGGGCCCCAAAGACACTTTCTCACTGGTGGAGAGTGAGGGCCCACAGAATGGGGAGAAGACCAGCTGGCTGGGTAGCAAGGAAGGACTGCGCTGGAAGGAGGCAATGCTGGCCCATCCACTGGCCTTCTGCGGGCCAGCGTGCCCACCTCGCTATGGCCCCCTGATTCCTGAGCATAGTGGTGGCCATCCCAAAAGTGACCCTGTGGCATTCCGGCCCTTGCACTGCCCTTTCCTGTTGGAGACCAAGATTCTAGAGCGAGCTCCTTTCTGGGTTCCTACCTGCTTGCCACCCTACCTGGTGTCCAGCCTGCCCCCAGAGCATCCATGTGACTGGCCTTTGGCCCCACGCCCCTGGGTATACTCCGGGGGTCAGCCAAAAGTGCCCCCTGCCTTCAGCTTAGGCAGCAAGGTGAGTGATGGAGTAGAGAGGGTATATGGGGTTCAGGTCACACAGAGTAGCATAGTGCTCCTCAAGGAATGCTTCTAAGACAGCACTACTCTGCCCACATTCTGTTGAAAAATTAAGATAGAGGAGCCCTGTAGCTCAGAGCTGTCCCTAGCCCTGAAGTCAACACAAACAAGAGCCTTCTGAGTAGCTCCATCTCCCTGGCCCTCCCCTCCCCTGCCCTTGGGCTTCTGTAGCCACTGACTCACCCACTGTCCACCCAGGATCAGGCCTTGGAAACTCTCCCCATGGAATGTGCGGCCTTATCCTGGAGCAAAGAGTGGGTAGGATGTGCAGGCAATTTCATGCCTTGTATCTGGGCTTTTGCCCCATAGGACACCAGCATGCCCAGAATGAGATATTAAAATATTTAAAAATTAAAGACAGGCATGTTTATAATCCCAGTACTCGGGAGGCAGAGAGAGTTCCATGCTAGTCTAGACTACTTAGTAAAGCAAGTAGTTTTTTTCAAAAATGAAAACAAACAAAAACCCAGCACGGGTCAGGGGAGCAAATAATCCAGTAGATCCTGATGCCCTTTGGCCAAACCAGGCATTAACCCTTCAACTACTGGATGATGGGGGAATCCTGAGAAATCCCGGGAGAGAATATGGGGGACAGGGCAGTAGGGGAGCCACTTATCTGCCAGTCTGTGTGCTCCCCAGTGACTCCCTATAACTGTATTTTATTTATGACAACTGTGGCTGTCAGTTCCACCTGCCCTTTTAAGTGCTGGAAACTGACAGCAGCACTAGATTCAGCATTAGATTAACACTTTCTCTTCTCTTAGGGCTTTTACCACAAGGATCCGAATACTCTCCGGCTGGCAAAGGAGCCCTTGGCAGCATCAGAGCCAGGGTTGTTGGGCTTAGCTCCTGATGGGCATCTCCAGAGAGCCTGTGAGGTGGAAGGCTCTTCACGTCACCAGAGGGATGCGGGGACAGGAGCTGGCAGGCAGCAGAATCTTTGCCCACTTTTCCTGGGGCACCCAGATACTGTTCCTCGGACCCCCTGGCCCTCTTGTCCCCCAGGGTTGGTTCATACTCTCGGCAACATCTGGGCTGTGCCAGGTAGTAGCAGCCTTGGGTACCAGTTGGGATCACCAGCCACACCAAGGTGCCCCTCTCCTGGGCCTCTCACTCCCCAGGAGGGCTGTTGCTCATCCCACCCACCCACCAGAGAGGAGGATCTTGGCCCTTGCGGGAAGTGCCAGGAGAGCCTGGAGGGAGGTACCAGCAAGCCAGGTGAATCCAGTGAAGAAGGGAACAAGGCTGGCTCCAGGGCCTGTCCCCCAAGCCATCATACCAAGTTGAAGAAGACCTGGCTCACCCGCCACTCAGAGCAGTTTGGATGCCCAGGCAGCTGTCCTGGAAAGGAAGAGAGCCCAGCCCGGATCTGGGCACTCAAGAGGGCAGGCAGTCCTGAAGTCCAGGGAGCAGCAGGGGGTCCAGCTCCCAAGCGCCCACCTCACCCCTTCCCAGGCACTGTGAGGCAGGGGACCAGGACTTGCCAGGAGGTGCCAGACACAACAGGAAGCAAGGCAGAGGCAGAGCAACACGCGGAGCAGAGAGGTAAGGGGGTGATAGTGGTGGCAGGCTTCAGGGGTCCTGCTGACAAGAGGCGGTAGGGCTTGGGCTTTGCAAGGGTCTGGGGTCTGTAGGCCTTTGTGATAGGGCAAACAGTTGGCAGGTTTCCTACCTGGATCACCCTATCTCTCTGCCCCTCAGTGTCAGCCGCCATGGCCTTTTATTTAATGGCTTCCACCTCTTTGTCCTTGGTGTGTTGGTGGCAGTGTGGTGACATGGTTCAGAACACATGTTCTGCAGACAGAATCTGCTTCCTGGCTTTGCTGATTAGTAACTGACCTTGAGTGAGTTATTTCACCTCCTGAGGCCTTAGTTTCTTAATCCATAAAGTGGAAATAAAGATGGTTCCTACCTCATGAAGACTGTGACAGGGATTAGATGGCTTATCAGAGGCATTGAAGAATTCATGGCACTTAGTAAACACTCCGTAAGTGTTCACTGCCATGATTATTTGTGCCACATACCCCAGTATGGGTATTACCTCTCATGAATGACTACTGTCAGCCTCTCTTGGCTGGCTGAATCATGGAGATTCAGTTTGGACTCTCCAGCATGACAGCTTTTTGGGTACATCCTGGACTTTAGTGCCCCACTGTGTCCTTCATGGAGGGTTCCAGTACTAATGACACCAGACTGGGTTGTGCAGGATTACCTCATTCTCAGCTTCTTGGATTGCTGGGCCCAAAGGACTGTCTCTATGACCTGGCCCCAGAGCCCCTGCACCTGGCATGAGTTTGTCCACACCCTGCACGCCTTGGTCTGGGCTGGGAAGTTGTTGGCTCCTCTTCCTTCTTGGGTTACAGCACCTGTGCCCTGTGTTGAAACTCCCTGGCCTTCTCACTTTCCGGTGCTCTCCATCTGCCCATCCGTCCATGTTGAGATCATTTTATGTTGTCATATAGCCAGTGCTACCGCTAAGCCTTCAGCAGACCTATCCAAAGTCTATACTGGCTGGATTCTGCGTGTGTGCAAGGACCATTGCCCAAACTGCCCAAGCCTTGGACCAAGCATGCTAAACAACCCTTTCTCTCAGCCTCCGTTTCTGCCAGGGATGTCTCCAGCCACTGCTTAACCTTGTGTGTGAAACTTCTACCTGCCTAGTTCTCTTTCGGGTTCTGAATTAGTCCTCACAGGCCTAGGGGTCAGGGGCTGAACTGGCTGGGTGTGGACAGGGTGGGTGCTAACTCAGAGGCTTTGGTTGGCTTTATCCCAGAAGCCAGACCTCCTGAGCATCTGTATTGTCTCCTCAGGACACAGAAATGGCAAGGTCAAGCTCCAGGAATCCAAGCATCAGGACACATCTTGCCCAGCTCTGTTGGCAGGCACTGCCCAGTGCCAAAACTCTACCCGGGTGGCTGGAAAGATGGGAGGGCTGGCCAGTCACTCCCAGCAATCAGGGAGGTAAGAGTTACTCCTGACTGCCCCAGCCAGCAATCCCTCCACCCCAAACCAGGGTCTCCCTCCTTAAGCCCCTCTACCCTGTCTCTAGGTTGTCCCTGGAAGGGGAACAGCTGCAGGAGGAGGACTTCCCAACCAGCTCTGAGGAGGGAGGAGGATCTGCCCTGGAAACCCCACTCAGCAAAGGCCTGGCCAAGCACCTGCTGAGTGGTTTGGGGGACCGACTGTGCCGCCTGCTGCGGAGGGAGCGGGAAGCCTTAGGCTGGGCACAGCGAGAAGGTGAACCATCTCTTGTGGGCCTGCCCCAACAAGACCCTCTCAACCCACCCTTACTAATGCTTTGGGGTTCCCAGACCTACCCAGAAGAGCTCTGTCCTTTGTGTCTATTCCTAACTTGGATTTAGCTAGTCCTGAGGTTTCTGGTCTGGGTAGAGAATCCTGGGAGAAAAATAGAACTTGTGGGGAAAACAGAGCTTAGGAGGTGGGAGAGCTCCAGGGGGTTGAGGCCAGGGAAGGCTTCTGTAGTGGTGAGGCTCGTAGGCCTAAAAGGTTGATGGGATTGGGGCTGAGGGTCCTCAGTTCTGGGCCATGCCTCTGTAATTCTTTCCACAACTGAAAGTGGTCTTTGTAAACCACACTGCCTGCTATTTCCTGGATAGAGGTCACTCGTGGCTTCATCTTGCCCCTGAGAAGGCAACCCCTAGTTTCTTCAGTCACAAACTAGCTCCTGTGGGCTCCCAACCTGGATTCCCGGAACACATGCCACCCATCCTTCCCTTCCCGGATCACCAAGCTTGTCCATCCCCTGGGGCCTTGGCACTGGCTGTTCCCTCCATCTGGATTGCCTTGCTCCTCCCTTCCTACCTGGTGGATGAGAACTTACTCATCTTTTGGGGCCACTGTGAAGTTCCCCTCCACGTCATCCTCTTCTTTCCATGCCTTTTCAGCTAGGAGCCCTGAAGTCATCATTGTGTCTGTTGGTTGTCTCCAAGAGTTGGGTGTGAGCACTGGGGAGGGCTGGACCTAGTCCTGAGAAGCTCTGAGTGCCCTGTACCCACCTGGGGCATGATCAGGTGTCTTGAATGTGTGATCAGTGGGCCTTTTCCACCTATGAACCATGGCTTAGTCTAAACCTTGGCTCTTTTTCTTTTTTTGAGACAGCATTGTTTCCCTGTAGCCCCCAGCCCTCCTGGATCTCTGTACATAGACCAGGCTGGCTTCCATCTCAAGAGATCCGCTCACCTCCGCCTCTGCCCCCTGAGTACTGGGATTAAAGGCATGTGCCACCACACCTGGCTTGAACCTTGGCTCTTTTTTTTCGGGGGGGGGTCTTTTTGAGACAGGGTCACCTGTAGCCCCCCGAGCTGGTCTGGAACTTGCCATGTAGACCCAGGCTGGCCTTGAACTCTCAGAGATCCACCTGCCTCTGCCTCCCCAGTGCTGGAATCAAAGGCATGAACCACCATGCCTGGCATACCTTGGTTCTTTAAAAAAATAAAATAGGGGCTGGAGAGATGGCTCAGCAGTTAAGAACACTGACTGTTCTTGCAGAAGACCTGGGTTCAAATCCCAGCACCCACATGGCAGCTAACAACTGTCCATAATTTCAGTTCCAGGGGATCCGACAGCCTCTTCTGTCTTCCACGGGGATTGCATGACACGGGTGCACTTACCTACATGCAGGCAATACACGCATACACATAAAATAATAAATAAAATATTTTTAAGGAAAATAATAAAATTAAATCCATTTATTTGGGTAAGGGCAGGAGTGACCACTTCAGATTTACTCTTCTAATCTACTAAGTCCCCTGGAGGAAAGGCCACCTCAGTAGCTGCCATGCCTTTTCCATTTCTGGTAGCAATAGGGCTTGTAGGGGGTGACTGGAAAAATGTGCTGGAAAGTAGTGTGGATTAGTAATACAAGGCCAGTGGGGAAATCCCTAGGGCAGGTCGAGGGTGGGGCAGGCTGGGGAGCTGAGGCCACGGCAGTCCTGGGAGGGCTTGCTGGAGAGGGTGGCTACTGCCAGGCAATCTGTTGAGTAACGTCCTCATGACAAAGGGGCTGGACTCCCTTCTCCCAGTGGCTCCTCTCAACTGCTTCCTGTTTAAGGTCCTCCAAAGGGGGCCATAGCTGTGAGCCCTCTGACCCTATTCTTTCCTGTGCTCAGCAGGCCAGGGGCCATCTGTGACAGAAGACAACCCAGGAATTCCACGCTGCTGCAGCCGTTGCCAACACGGACTCTTCAACACCCACTGGAGATGTCCCCGCTGCAGTCACCGGCTATGTGTAGCCTGTGGTCGCATGGCTGGAGCTGGGAGGACCAGGGAGAAAGCAGGTAGGGAAGGAGGCAAGGGCCAAGTGTGCGTGGGGGGAAGTCTGGTAGGATTACTCTAAGATAGCTGGCCCTTTCTTGCCTGCCTTACCATCTCTGCTTAGCCTCGGCCACTTCTGCCCATTGCCCCTTAGAGTAGACCTTCCTCCACACCCAGTTAGGATTATGCCCAAGTCCTTGCCTATTCTTACCTGGGAACTGGGGAAATGGGTTCAGTCAATAAAGTGCCTGCTATGCAAGCATGAGGACCTGAGTTCAGATCCCTAGTACCCATGCAAAAGCTGGACATGGTAACATGGGTCTATAACCCCAGCACTTGAGAATTGGAGACAGTCAGATTCCTTGGAGCTCATTGGCCAGTCAGCTTACTGAATAGATGAGTTCCAGGTTCAGTGAGCAATTCCTACCCAAAACTAAGGTGGATACATGCATATGCACATGCACCCACATGCACAGCACACATACACACACACACACACACACACACACAGAAGTCAAATACCTACTCTATCCCTCTCACTTTGGTTAGCTTCCACATAACATGGTGTGTTATTGTTTCCATTTTCCAGATAAGAAAAACTCAGAGAGGTTCAATGACTTGTCCAAAGTCACAAAGCAAGTTAATGTTGTGAATGGCCAAGATTTTAGGCTCAGGTCTTACTCAGCTCCGTCCTTGCCATGGTTCTCAGCATTTACTCCTTTGGTTCAACTTGACCACCACAGGTCTTGAAGTTTTTCAGTGTCCCACTAGACATGGCCAAAAAGCGTTCTAAAATTAGATCTGGGACATTTTCTTCTATATGGCCATCCTGATCGTCATATACTAAAAAAAAAAATTATTTATGTGCATGTGTGCGTGGTGTGTGTGTATGTGTATGTGCACACTTGTGTTTTGAGAATCAGTTTTCTCTCTCCACCATGTGAGTCCTGAGAATAGAACTCAGGTTATCAGGCTTGGTGGCAAGTGCCTCTACCTGCTGTACCATCTCCTAGGCTCCCACTTTGGGATCTTGCAAAGCATTTCAACATATGAAAACCTCCGTGTTCCAAAAGCAAAGAATTCTATGTCCTTATGTATTCAGGTTTCCCAGCAAGCACATGTTTTGTGGATTGATGCACTCCTGATTTAAATATCATGTACTTGGCCTTCTTCCTTGACCTTCACCTGTGGTTACCTTGCTTTCTGGACCTGCAGCTTCTCCCTTCCCACCCTATAGGCTCTCAGGAGCAATCCACGGAGGAGTGTGCCCAGGAGGCTGGGCATGCTGCCTGTTCCCTGATGTTGACCCAGTTTGTCTCCAGTCAGGGTGAGCCATTGTGGAGGGGTGGGGCATGCAATGGGTGGGTCCTGAGGGAGACAGTCATCCTGTCTGGTTGTCCCTGACCCTGGTGACATGGCCTCCTGGTTGGTGTGGCCAGGCTGCTCCATCTCCATCCCTCTTCTGCATCCCCAGTGCTGGCAGAACTGAGCACTGTAATGCACCAGGTCTGGGCCAAATTTGATATCCGTGGACACTGCTTCTGCCAAGCTGATGCTCGTGTGTGGGCCCCTGGAGATGTGGGTCAGCAGGTAAGAACCAGGGATGGTCTAAGTGACAAAGACTAGTTGGTGGGCCCCAAGATTGAGCAGTTTGCCTGTAAACGACTAACCTTTACAGGGGTTTGGCCCTTCTCTGTTGGTGGGGATGAAGAGGGTTATGGAAGCTAGTGGGATTGATTGATTTATTTCCCCCTTCCTTTGAGGAGCAAAATTCTGGAACGTGCCTTTCCCCTCCACCCCCACTACAAGTCCTCTCTCCCTGCCTCTTTACCCCACTTTGTACGTCTTCTAGCTCAGCACCTGCCACCCCACCTTACTGTGCTTGTAGTCGCGGCTGCCACTCCAGCCATGGATGGAATCTTTCCAGTTCCATGTCAGTCCACCCTCCCAGAGTTCCTAGCACCTCTCACATGACAGGTGCTCCATATGCATTGTGTAATTTTTGTGTGTGTGTGAACTTTGTGATTTTATGGTAAAAGTTATTCACTTAAGAGTTAAAAAAAATCTAAAAATTTTTACATTTATTTCGTGTGTGTGTGTGTGTGTGTGTGTGTGTGTGTGTGTGTGTGTGTTGCGGGGGGGTTTGCATGACACAGAGCACAAAGAGCTGTGAGGACACAACGTGTGGGTGTGGGCTCGAGGGCACTGTGTGTGTGTGTGTGTGTGTGTGTGTGTGTGTGTGTGTGTGTTGCAGGGGGGATTGCATGCCACAGAGCACAAGTAGAGGTCAGGACACAACTTGTGGGAGTGGGTTCCAGGGACCGGCCTCAGGTCATCTGCCTTGGCAAGTGCCCTTACCCTCTGAGCCATCTTGCTGGCCCTATTAAGGGTATTTTATGAGCTGGGCATGATGGCTCATGCCTTGGGAGGCAGAGGCAGGAGAATCAGGAGCTTGAGACTAGCCTAATCAGCACAGGAAGACGGTCTCAAAAATATAAAAAAAGCGTTAAGTTGTAGCTCACTGTTAGATTATGCCTAATGCCTTGGGTTCTATCCTCAGGACTGAAAAACAAGGTGAATTGTATTGTGTTTTGCTTTGTTTTTGCCTTTGTTTTTTGAGATAGGGTCTTTCTATAAAGCCCTGGTTGGTCTGAAATTTACAATCCTCTGCCTGCCCCAGCCTCCTGTGTGTTGGCAGTACAGATATAGGCTACTCCATCTGGCTGACAAGGACATGTTATATACCAGACACTGTCACATATCCATGGTAGACAACTTGGAAAACATAGACAAGTATAAGTAAGAAAATAACAATGGTTTCTCATGCCGCCATTAACATTTTGACATTTTCCTAGTCATTTGTCTATGTGCTTATTTGCATCTATTTTAATACACTATTTAGACCATGCCCTAGGGAGAAGTCCATAAGCGGTTTTATTTTCTCTCCTTACTCTATGTACTGTAATATCTCAGTCTCTTGTAAACAACTTTAGGACTTAGAAGAGCCCATTGTTAATTCTTGTACTTTGAATTCAGTTGTGTCTGCCCTTTGTTAAATCTCTGCTTGGATTGGGGGGGGTGGTGGTGGATGGATTTGACAGAAGAAGCCAACAGAGAAAACTCCCCCAGCTCCACAACCTTCCTGCAATGGGGATGCCAACAGGACCAAGGACATTAAAGAGGGTAAGTGGTTCTATGTGCATCTTGGACTGAGGAAACAGGAGGGCAGTGGGCAGTAGGACTCTCCAGGAGATACTTGGCATCACTTTGGCAATCAATAACCCCCACACACCAATAGTCTTCATCCTTCTTCTCAAGACCCCTGATCCCTTCTTTACCAGACTCTTACATTTATTTATTCATCCATTCATTCACTTACTATATATATGTGTATGTGTTCTCTCTCTCTCTCTGCTTCTATCATTCTCCCTTGAGACAAATTCTCTCATAAACCTGGAGGTAGGTTCAGAAAGCCCAAGTGATGCTCCTGTCTCTCCCCTACTTCCTGCCCCCAAAGTTCTGAGGTTACAGGTATGACCACACCTAGATTTTTACATAGATGCTGGGGATTTGAACTCAGATTCTCATGTGTGCACAGAAGTGCTTTGCTCTTACCTGCTGAGCCATCCCCCCAGTCCCAGACTCCCCTTCTGAGCCCCTTCTCTTAAAGGCTATGTAGCTGCTTTTAGGAAGGCAGTGGGAGAAGACCCAGAGCAGGGGTGCTGCTGAGGAAAGAGCTTGATCAGGAGAAGAGGGGTACCCTTAAAGCCAAGTGGAAAGCCCCCTCACCATTTTCTTCTTTAACAGAGACCCCAGACTCTACTGAGACCCCAGCAGAGGACCGTGCTGGCCGAGGACCCCTACCTTGTCCCTCTCTCTGTGAACTGCTGGCCTCTACTGCTGTCAAACTCTGCCTAGGGCATGAACGGATTCATATGGCCTTTGCCCCTGTCACCCCAGCTCTGCCCAGTGTGAGCTGGGGCTCAGAGGGAGGGCCAGAAGTCTGAGGACCAGAGGCTGGGTGGACATCCCAATGTGACTGGGTGGGTCCTAAGCCTTCCTGTCCCCCCATACCTCCCTCCCTCTAGGACGACCGCATCACCAACATCCTCGACAGCATCATTGCACAGGTAGTAGAACGGAAGATCCAAGAGAAAGCCCTGGGGCCTGGCCTTCGAGCTGGACCAGGCCTACGAAAGGGTCTGAACCTACCTCTGTCACCAGTACGGCCCCGGCTGTCTCCACCTGGGGCTTTGCTGTGGCTGCAGGAGCCCAGGCCACGGCATGGCTTTCACCTCTTTCAAGAACACTGGAGGCAGGGGCAGGTAAGCTGGCCTGCCTCTCCCTTCCTGGTGCTCTGCAGCAGTCCTGTCCCAAGGTTCAAGCTGTCCTGGGGCCCTGAGGAAGTTCTCTACGCTATTCTGGAGCTGTTACAGTATGCCCTAGCCTGGCTGCCATGGACCCCCTCACTATTCTCTGTGTCGTTCTTCCCTCTGCACTGCAGCCCGTGTTAGTGTCAGGGATCCAGAAGACACTGAGAAGTAGCCTGTGGGGGATGGAAGCTCTTGGGACACTTGGTGGCCAAGTGCGGACACTGACTGCCCTCCGGCCTTCCCAGCCCACAAGCCTGGACAGCACAGCATTCTGGGAGGGATTCTCCCGCCCTGAGAGTAAGTATTCCTAATGTTGGATGGAGGTAGCTGGGAGCATGGCCCTGAGGGGCTGGGTAGCAAGGGAACCCCAAAGTAGCCCTGGGGCCGCTGAACGTAGGCTCAGGGTAGAAACTGAACTCCAGCGTGGCTGCCACTGGACAGGAAGAAGCTTCTGGGCCGAGAGGCTCCACCTTGGGTCAGTGACACCTGTCTCTTCCTCTAGGACGTCCAAAGTTAGAGGAGAGCTCTGTTCTCCTGCTGCACCGAGCCCTGGGAGATGAGGATGCCAGCAGGTATGTGCAGTACCAAAAGCTAGCCCTACCTCCTGGCCACCATCACTCTCCTCCTCACCCCCACCCTTGGTGCTCAGCCCCTCTAAAGGGGCTCAAAACAAGGTCTGACTGAAGCAAGGGATGGAAGGATTGTCTTGTGGGGAGTGATGGAGATTCCTGGTTGGCTGTGTGGATTTTGCCCTCTGGGAGTTGCCCCAACAGTAGGAAGCTCTGAGGGGTCTCAGAGGCCTGATGTGCTCTGCATGACTCTGCTCCCCACCCCCAGGGTGGAGAACCTGGCCTCCAGCCTTCCACTCCCAGAGTACTGTGCCCATCACGGGAAACTCAACCTGGCTTCCTACCTCCCTCTGGGCCTCACCCTGCATCCCCTGGAGCCGCAGCTCTGGGCTGCCTATGGTGAGTGCCCTTCCACTCCTGTCCATTCCCTACCCCTACTATACTTGGCATCTTAGGGCATGTGGGTATCTGTGCCTAGGTCTTGGGATTGGGAGTATTTCTCTTATTCAGTTCCCAAATGCCCTTGCTCTACCTCCATGCAGGTGTGAGCCCACACCGTGGACACCTAGGGACCAAGAACCTATGTGTAGAAGTGACTGACCTGATCAGTATCCTGGTGCATGCAGAGGCACAACTGCCTGCCTGGCACAGGGCACAGAAAGGTAAGTCAGCTGGAGACGCCAGAGTCAGACTGTCAGTGGCTGTGTCTACCTCTGCCTACCCTGGGCTCACATGAACAATCTTTCTCCTGCAGATTTTCTCTCAGGCCTGGATGGAGAAGGGCTCTGGTCTCCAGGTAGCCAGACCAGCACTGTGTGGCACGTGTTCCGGGCCCAGGATGCCCAGCGCATTCGTCGTTTTCTCCAGATGGTAAGGAGGGGTGGAACCCAGAGTCCACCCCTTGCCCCTGCCCAGGCCAAAAAGTTCATGACCATCTCAGAGTGTGCTCCCCTCCCCCGCAAACTTGATGCTTACCCTAGTCCTGGAGGTAAACTAGCCAAACTAATTCAGGTTCACAGGTGCAGAGAAGGCAGACTAGGACCCTGATTCTATAGTGAGGCTCAGAGAAGGAGAGAGAGAGGGTGTGCCAGTGCAGTCAGAATCCATGGGGGAGATGAGGCAATAGCTGTGCAGAATCTGGCAAAGTGTTAAGGGCCTTGGTACATTATTTCAGTTAATGGGCAACCTTCTCTTGAATCCCAATTTAGGCAATGACAGTTACTTTCCCATTTTATGGATGGAAAAACTGAGGCTCAGTGGTAACAATGGGATCTAAGCTCATGTCCGTTCCAACTAGGTCACTCCCCTACACTCATTCCTCTTGGGAGCAGGTACCCTCCCCTTCCTGGGCTCTGGGGCTGAGGAACTGGCAGACAGCTGCCCCCTTTTCTATAGCTCATATTGGGAGAAGAGACTTCTAGGGACACACTAGCACAAAGAGGGCTAATGGAGGCAGGTGGGGGCACAGTATAGGATACTTAGAAGTGGAGGTGAGGGGGGTGGGAAGGCAAGAAGCTTCAGAAGGATGGGGGAGGTGGGAGACCAAAGTTAAGGTTATGACAGGAAGGGTATGGCTGTGCATGTCTGCAATCCCAGCAGTCAGCAGGCTGAAGCAGAAGGATCATAAGCGTGAGGCCAGTCAGGGCTACATAACGACTCTCAAAAGACTCAAAAATAAATAAATGAGCAAGGCATGACACCGCATGCCTATAATCCTCATACCTGAGAGGTGGAAGCAGAAATACCAGGAGTTCAAGGTCATCCTCAGAGTTTGAGGTCAGCCTGAGCTACATGAGACCCCTGTTTGAATGCCCCCCAGCCAAAAATAATAATAAGTAAAATAAATAAATGGTTAGGGTGGGCTGGTGGTTCCAAAGTCCAGCAAAGCCCCAACTGTCCTGGAGAAAAGACTCCAAGTATCACACCCTCCCCCTGCACAGCACACACATCTACAGATGCATACCCAGATGCTGTGACATGCAGAGGGGAGCATGCCGTCATCAGCAGATGGCCTCGTCTGGTTTGGGTGCGGTTGGCTGTGGGCAGTCCCATATGACCCAGTGCAATGACTCATGGGGAGGTCTGAGGGGTACTTTCTCACTGGGTGGCCTGGAAAACACTGCTATAGCCCAGGATGGACTTGATTCTCTGCTTGGGACTGCTCTAGTGAATTCAGTTCACAAGTCTTCCCCTCTCCCCTTCCCATCGTCTCAACCCAGGAACAATGGCTGGGGTTCTAGCTGAAGGGGGTGGATTTAGCTGGTGGCCAGTTGGAGCATGATGCTGGTGCTCACTTCTGCAGGTGTTCCCTGGGCACCTCCTCCGGTCTCCACGAGTCCGTGCCTGCCCAAGGAACTCTGACTCTGTCTGGGCTGGTAATAGCCCCCATAGCTATACCTACTGCAGAGGTCTCAGCCTGGATAAGCAAGCCTGTCCACCCACTGGGAGTCAGAACTTCTGTGTGGATCTAGGATCTTGGATTGTCTACCCAGGGACACATAGCAATTTATCCACAATTTAGCATACAATGCAGGCTATTTACAAAGTCTCAGAACCCTTCCTATAGAGAGTTATGAATGGGGATGGTGCAGAACATCTTCCTGGGTTTTGGAGAAGAGATGCCACTGAGAGAGGGACCAAGGGATCAGGCCAGGATTACAGAGGCTACAAAAGATACCCCAGGAAAAGCAGAGATTTAGACCCCCAGCTTGAATACCCCAAATCCTTTATTCTAAGGTCCTTCCAGCCCAATATTTGTTCTACCAACCTGAGCTACCCACACATCCTTTTCCACCAGTTCCTCTCTCCCTACCCCCTCCTCTGCCTGCCTTTCAAGACTTGACAGCTTTGGCTCTCTACTTCCCCTGGTCCTCTGTGGAGACCCTGCCCCTACCTCTCGAACCCCTGCCTGTATTCCCATGGGCAGTCGTCTCCTTTTCTCTTCTTTAAGGTGTGCCCAGCTGGAGCTGGGACCTTGGAGCCTGGTGCCCCAGGCAGCTGCTACCTGGATGCAGGATTGCGGAGGCGCCTGCGGGAGGAGTGGGGTGTCAGCTGCTGGACCTTGCTGCAGGCCCCTGGAGAGGCAGTGCTGGTGCCTGCCGGGGCACCCCATCAGGTGCTTCCCTAGTGGGCAGAGCTTAGTAGATCAGCCTATCAGTAATCGCAAGAACACCATCTCACGATCATGGTCATACTGCATTTCCTATAACCAGAGAGCTAGGCAGGGCAGGAAGCCGTGGAGATGGAGAAGCTGAGGGTCTTAAAGTCTTCAAGGCTAAGTGGGACTCTCTCTGGAAATCTGATCTAGTCTTGGCCAGCTCAGCTCCAGCATCCCTTCAGTCTGGTTTTGGCCACACCCTGTGGAATGCTTGGTGCTGAATCCTGGGCCACTGTTCTCTGAAAGTTGGATGGAGGCCATCAGAGGAAGTAGACTTCAGTGACGAGAGGGTCAGGGAGAGGTTATGACTTGGGCCTCTGCTGATCCTGTTGCCCTTATCCCCTCTGGCACAGGTACAGGGCCTGGTGAGCACAATCAGTGTCACCCAGCACTTCCTGTCCCCTGAGACCTCTGCCCTCTCTGCTCAGCTCTGCCACCAAGGAACCAGCCTGCCCCCTGATCACCGCATGCTTTATGCCCAGGTGAGTATGACGCTGGCCCTTGAGGTACAGCTGCAGTAGGGCAGGACAGATCTATCTCTGAGCTGAGTGGGCTACCGGCCTACCAGTACAGAATAAATGTGTCCTTGAGAGGGTCAAGGGGTCAGGGTGAGGGTTAGAACATGATGGAAAATTCTGTGTCCTTTTTCTTTTTCTCAGATGGACCGGGCTGTGTTCCAAGCAGTGAAGGTGGCTGTGGAGACTTTGCAAGAAGCTAAATAGGGGATCTTGGTGTCTAGGGGAAGAGGGGTGGTGGACAGGTAACCAGGTGCTCAGCTCAGGCATAAATTTTATCAGGGAATGGCACTGGGCGCCTTGGGGACTTTGGTCCATCCCACAAATATCACTCTGGGTACAAGCAGGGAACCCCATTCCTACCCTTGCCCTGGCCCTAAAAGTAACAACCAAAGTGCCACTGAAGCTCACACCTGCCCTTCGAAGGTTAACACCTCTTCTGAATGGTATCCCTCTCCATGGTATTAGGCCCATACTAGGGGTGAACAACTCCTTCCAACCGTTATATTCCAACCCAGGGGACAAAAAACAGCCCTTCCTTGGGGGACTTTGGGAATTGTTTTGGCTTAAGCAAGACTTCCTTCTGCTGCTTCATCCTGTACCGTCCCACCCGGGGCCCCCAGCTCTGCTACATCTCAGCCGTGTCTACACTGGGCTCTGGGACAGCCTTTCCCACTGTAGGCCTGCTGGGTTAGAAGCCATAGAATTCTGCCCTCATAGAAGAGTGTGGAGTGGGAGAGATGGCCTCAGGGATGGTGCAGGCTAGGCTGGAGGGAGAGACATGGGCAGTGCCACTGTGCCCCTGCTCCCATTGCTCTCCTTCCTAGTCCCCATTAAAATCTGTTCTTTGGTGACTGCTGCCAGCATGGTTGACCCTGCTTCTACCAACCATGTGGTCTGGGGAGGGAAGGCAGACACAGAAACCGATTCTCCAGGAGACCAAATGGAAAGTGTAAGCAGGGACTGAGGACCTGGTGACAGACTCCTCAAATACCACTGCCTGATCTATGGGAGGCCCGGACCCCTGAGCCTTCTGGGGACTGCCCCCTGAAGATGCTCCTGACTGTGAGAGCAGACAAGGCAAGTTCTAGGGTACTGCACTGAGATGTCCTCCCTGGGTGACATCAGCCTGTGGAGACTACAGAACCCCCTGCTTCTAGCACACTCCAAGCTATTCTGCCCCTCCTGTGTGCTTTGACCTGGAGGGAGATCCAGGAGAACCCTTGGCCAGCCCAACTGCTCTTGGTGGCCAGGCCCCTGGGACAGAGCTTCACCGCCCCAGACAGCTGCACCCCTACCCCCATGGCCCTTAAGGTGCCGCTTTGCCCTCTACCTCTTCCCGTGTATCTCAGCCGCACAAATGCGCCAGCTCTTGTTATACCTAACTGTTCTGCTGTGGTTTGGGGAAATTTTTTTATTAAATAAAATTTTTTATTATAAATATAACATCTGTTCAGAGCATTTAGAAAACGACAACATCACCTGCAAGTCCCTCTCTCTTTCACCCAACCCAGGCACCATGAATATTTGCTGTATTTCCTTCTAGTGTTTTCGCCAGGGAATCTGTTATGTACACAGCTGAAGCAGTAGATTTGTTCTTGGTGTTTTTCTCCTAAGGCTGTTTTGAGGCTGGGTATGGTAGCACATATCTGTAATCCCAGTATTTGGGAAGGAGAAGCAGGAGGAATGAGGGTTCAAGGCCAGCCATTGTGATTTTGAGGCCAACCTGAGCTACATGAAATTCCATCTCAAAAGAAAAAAAAGTTTCTTTATTGGAGAGCAGCTATTTTCATTTTTTCTTGGGATTAAAAAGAAAAAATCAAATCCCAGAAAACAGCTGTGTTACTGTGTCCTTTTAATTTCATTTAAATGATCTCATTTAATCTCTTATTACAATTTTGAGGTAGATTTGATCTATTTCCATTGTATAGAAGAAACAGGCAGGCTAGGGGTTAAATAAGTCACTCAAGGTTACATAGCCATTTTAGTGGCAGAATGGGATTTGAACCAAGTTTGCTGACTCAGGCCACCTCGTTTACATTACAGCCTTTGTGCTTCATGGAATTTAAAGACAGGCTTGCCCGCTTCTCTGTCCTCCTCCCAATATATGCACTTTATAGCTGATTGTGTTCCAAGTGGCACTGAATGACACATTCCTACTTATACTTCACCTTCTATAGCCTAATGTCACCGTGAACCCAAATACAGGACCTTTCTGGGGAAGATGTGCTACTGAACTTTGTCCACTGGGGTGGGATGGAGGAGTTGCTCTTCCTGAAGAAGGCCTCACTCTTCCCTGAATACCCTTCTCCCATAGTCACAGTCTCCTTGGATAGAGCTGTCTGGCCTTTGTAAATAGCAGCCGCAGCTGGACTAAAAACAGTTAGTCCAGGTAGGGACTGACTGTGAGACTTGGTCTGGGGCACTGATCTCCACAGTGGCCCTCTGCTGTGGCCAGGATCAGTGGCTCATTGTCCATCTGCCACTTGTAGACCTTCTCTTAGGCCCAAACATGGTGACACACAGATATAAGAGCTGGAAATCAGTTTGAGTGTGTATATCCATCGGTTGGGTGCTTCTCCCTTTTTTCTCATAGAATTCTTATACATCTTCTGTTGAAATAGAGATTTACAATCAAGTCACAAAGTCAGCACATACAGCTTCCCAGCACACTTTACCCAGTGCTTCCTAATGAAACATCTTACACAAACAGGGTACTGCTAATCAAAACCAAGAGCTTAACATTGATAGAATTCTATCAGAGAAGCCACAGCATTTTACCAGCTCTCCAATAGCTCTTTTCTACCCAGGGTCCAGCAATGCCTATGTCTGATAGATGACATCCATGGTAGCTGTGACTCCTCCAAAGTTACTCACGGAGCTCATGGTAGAGCCCAGACCCTATCCTCCTCCCACTTAGCTTGGCCTACCGCCCTCTCACCCAACTCTCCTTTGTCAAGAGACAAGATTTGCTGCTCTGTAAATGACTCTAGATCCCAGGCAGACTTGCCCCACCCTGCCTGCCCATCCCTGCCCATATCCTTGAGGCTGCTTACTCCAGGCCTCGCTGCTCACAAGCACCTATACACCTGGACATGCACACACCCCAAGATGGCCAGCTCAGGTTTTGTGCAATGGGTACTGGGAGAGCTGTACTAGTCAGGCTATACCTGTCCACACAGTGCTGCTACCTCCCACTCCAGAAATATTCTCTCCCTTCTTAGAACAGAGGATATACAGAAGGGTCTGTGTCAGCTTCCTTCCCTCTCCCATGGTCCCCTTTCTGTCTCTGGGGCTCACCAGTCTCTGACCACTACTCTTTTTCCCAAGGCCTTGAGAAATTCACCCTCTTTTGTTGCCTCCCTAGGCACTCTGGGAAAGGCGGTACCTGCTTGGAATGCCTTCCCTGTGTCCCATTCACAGTTTACAAGGGGCTTTTCCTGTTCTGTTGCTTCAGCTTGGCTCATGACAAGGTAATTAGGCCCTCAACAGAAAAGGAGTGCTTTTCTCTTCCCGCCCCCCATGATAATGGGGGAATGGAACTGCGGTTTGTGGCAGCCTTTGCTCTTCCAGGCAGTTAGGCTGTCTGCTGTTTATCTTAGGACGCCTCTGCAGCTCTCCCAGCCTTGCCCAGACATGACCTCACCTTCTCCAAATCATCCCTGGGAGGCAGAGTCTGTAACCAATGATGCCCCCACTTCACAGATGGGAAAACTGAGGAAATGAGAGATCTAAGCAGAGAGAGAGAGAGAGAGAGAGAGAGAGAGAGAGAGAGAGAAGAGGGGGAAGATGAAGAGAAGGTAAAGAAAGAGAAGGGAAGGGAAGAGGTTAACAAGTGGCTCTATAGCCCTGAGTTGTGGTCCTACCTCTCTGTCAGTGGGTATAGTTGCTTGGAGGTGAGCAGTCTTAGATGGGCTTGGACCAGCAGTGTTGAACAAGTGCCTTGAAACACTGTGGGCCAATAGATGAGTCCCACAACCTCCCACAGAGCTGGTCTCCAGGGAGCTTGCAGTCAGCATCAGTATCCAGGGAAGGGCCCAGGAGGCCAGTCCCATGGGCTGAGATTCCTAGGATCAAAGTCCCAGGAGCACTGAAACTTGTTTTGTTTTTGTGGTGCTGGGGATTGAACCCAAGGCCTCACACATACTAAGCAAATACCCTATTAGTGATACAGTCCCAGCCTCAGTTCCATAGGGGCTCTATGGGCACCTTTCAAATAAGGGCTAGCCTTTGTGTGGTAGCAATAAATGCCATGGCTTCCATAGTCTAGCCTGAAGTATGGGTGGGCTGCCTGGCGAGATTGCCCAGTGCCGCATAGTCCACACAGCTCTTTGGAGGTCATCTTAGCTACCCAATAACCATGGAAAAGGAGGGTTGTTAACAGCCCTGCTCCACAGATGAGGAAATTGAGGCCACAGCTTACCCCAGGGCACAGAGCAAGTCAGCCAGCAGTGGCTAGATGTCTGGCTTGAACTCCAAAGCTTTGTCAGCACCACCAAGCCACTGTCCCCCAAAGGAGGTACACACAGCCAGCAAGAGGGAGGAGGAAAGGGAAGGCTGGGATGGGGTAAGGAGTCCAGACTTGGCCTGCTCTGTGGATTCCTCCCAGCTGGCCCTGCCTTCCTGTCCTGAGCAGAGGTTAAAGCAGCTCTGAGGAGGAAAGGTCAGGCTGGGAGAGAAGCAGGAGTTGGCCAAAACAATCCACACCCTGTTCCCCACGGCCAGGCCCTGCATGTTGGGTGGGAGGGCGCCACCCCTGCCCTTTAAGGGTGCAGTCTGCTGCAGAGGCCCTAAAACTGCATGGGAAATGCGGTGGGCAGGGGGACTCTGATAAAGGCTGGGCTGCTGATTCCAAGCTTCTTTTCAGCCTCCAATCCCCTCCTCCCATCCCCAACACTGCCCCACCTTGACTATTGCAACCCTGCCCCTTCTCTCCTTTGAGCCTTCTGTGTCACATCTTCTGCCCAAACCAATCGTTTAGCACTTAGTCTACAGACCGCAGCTGACTTTTTAAAAGGTCTGTGTCCATCTATACAGATCAGAATCTGATCTATACAGATCAGAATCTCCAAGGCAACGCTGTATGCCCCAGCCACATGACGTTCAGTACATTTTAACGAATTCAGAAAGTTATTTGGGATGTGACATCTCTGATACTTCCCTAGTTTGTTTATGATAAAAGCTGGATAGTGGGTGCAAACGGCGGGGCCTGGGCTAGGCTTCCGTGATGTCATAGGGCGTGTGACGCCACCGACCCCGGTCGCTGTGGTATGCAGCAGCACCCTACGGGCAGGATGACATCACCGTCGGAACCCGTGCGGACAAGGGCGTGCTGGGTGAATTAGCAAAGAGCTGGAGAGAGTGAGGAGTGACCAGCCGCCGAAACCCGGCAGACGCAGCGGGCAGGGGAGATGGTCCTCCAATCCCGGCCCCGGAGCCCCGCCCCCTAAGGGGCCAGGCCCCGCCCCTTCAGTAACCGACGCGAGCCGGCCAATCCTGGCAGGCCGCGGTGACGCGCAGCCAATCAGCGGCCGGAGTCGCTGGCAGCTTCCGCGTCAGCGCCGGCCCGCGGGGCAGGGGAGGGGGCGAGGGCCGGTGCGGATGCCCGCTCCGGGGGCTCTAGGGCCGGTCTAGCCTCCTCCCAGGGGCCCTGATGGCCGAGGAAGGTCTGGCGGGGGCGCTGACCACTGTACTGGGGGGCAGTGGGCTGCTCGTGCAGAGCTGTGACTCGGAGCCGGCCAGCAAGCCGCTGTCGCCCGTGCGGCTGCGGAAGAACGTCTGCTACGTGGTGCTGGCCGTGTTCCTCAACGAGCAGGTGAGCGGCAGGCCCTCGGCCGGCTGCCGGGCCCGGTTCGAGGCACTTCCCAGTGTTGCAAAGCACTCCCACACTTGCAGCTGAGCTCTGCGATTGCCCTAATCGAGGAAGAAACTGAGGTCCCCGGGGGCGGTTTGTCTCGTGCGCCAGACTTTACCTCCTTCCTCCTGGAGAGGGGCCTGTAGCTTGCCTTCTCTCTTTCCAGGAGTCTGGCATGATGCCTGGCCAGGCACAGGAGTTTCCTAGACCCCCTGTCCACCTCCCACTTATAGTGACCGGGAACTTAACACGCAGGCCTCTGACCCGCAGACCTCTATTTTGGTGCTCATCTCTGTAGAAGGCGATGTAATAACTATCAGGGGCCCTGGCCGTGGGAGGTGAGGTTGCATGGGGGTGGGATGAGTTTCAAAGTTTAGACCCCAGAGTGGGGACCTGCCACAAACAGTTTGTAAGCCCAGTGGTGACAGATATAGGTCAGTTTAGGGCCCGAGGCAACTCTGGGAACTCATCCTCAGTTCCTGAAACAGCTGCCGGGGATCTCAGACCCTTCCTACAACAGAAATCCCTCTGAATCCAAAGGTGAGTTATTGCAAGGAGGAAGCAACTACCAGCCACACTAAGACCTGACTCCTGAGGATCTCAGCATCCTGAAGATGTCCACCAGGAAGGGAGCTTCGGTCACCAGCCTTTGAGACTGGGCCCCACACAGTGGCTGCTAATGGGGCTGCTCTCCTGGAGCCCCGAGACTGGCCAGATGGGTCTGAAGATTCTCTTGCCTCCTCCTCAGGATGAGGTGCTGATGATCCAGGAGGCCAAGAGAGAGTGCCGAGGAACATGGTACCTCCCCGCAGGCAGAATGGAGCCAGGGGAGACCATTGTGGAAGCTATGCAGCGGGAGGTGAAGGAAGAGGCTGGGCTGCTCTGTGAGCCGGTGACACTCCTGTCCGTGGAGGAGCGGGGTGCCGCCTGGATCCGCTTTGTGTTCCTCGCTCGCCCTACAGGTACAGCCCACCTGGAGGCATGTGAGCACCTTTCCCCCAGTTTTTTTTCTGGGCACTCAGCAGCCAGCACTACTGTGGCTGCTGCAAGTTGACACTGACCTATTGCAGTCTTAGTTTGGGGTCTCCCCCTGGGTCAGGCTGGGATACTTGGGTGCTGGTTTGTTTAATCAGACTCAACACTTAACATATTGTCCCTCTCCCCATCCTCCAAATCTCCCCTAGGCGGAGTTCTCAAAACTTCCAAAGATGCTGATGCAGAGTCCTTACAGGCTGGCTGGTACCCACGGGTCTCCCTACCCACTCCACTTCGAGCCCATGATGTTCTGCACCTGGTAGAGCTAGGCGCCAGGTTTTGCCAGCAAGCCATGCACCCTCTCATTCTGCCCCAAGAGCTTCCCTGTAGTGTGGTCTGCCAGCGGCTGGTAACCACCTTTACCAGCCTCCAGGCGGTGTGGGTGTTGGTGGGCACAGTGGGCACTCCTCATTTGCCCATCACTGCCTGTGGCTTTACCCCTATGGAGCAGAGGGGTGGCATCAAGGTGGCCATCCTGCGGCTGTTACAGGAGTGCCTGACCCTGCACAATTTGGCAGTGGAGACCAAGGGGTTGCTTGGCCTGCAACACCTAGGCAAAAACCATGTAGATGGTGTCTGCCTGAATGTGCTGGTGACAGTGGCTTTTCGGAACCCAGGAATCCAAGATGAGCCCCCAAAGATTCGGGGTGAGAACTACTTTTGGTGGAAGGTGATGGAGGAGGACTTACAAAAACAGCTCCTACACAGACTCCAGGAATCTTCTGTCATCCCACTAAACAGATAGTTACCAGCAGTGACACAGCCGAGCAGCCATCCTCCCTGAGCTTTGCCTCCCTCCCAGAGGCAGGCAGGAGGCTGGCAATCAGAGATCTCACTGCGGTGTGTGCAGGGACCCCACATTGCACCCAAAAGGACAGTGCCTTGAATCCAGCGCTCAAGGGCCCATTTGTCCTGTGGGCACAGATGCCTCTAAGAGGATGAGGGAGTTTTTGAACTCCAGATGGCGTCTTATTTCTGTACCCACCTTGATAAAGGCTGTATGTTGATCCTTTTTCAAGCTCCTAGAACATGGAAGGGGACATGCCCAAGGCAGGATCCTCACTGCTGAGTAAAAAGGTGTTGCTTACCCTGCCTTCTTGCTTAAATGTCTCTGTGGGAGGATGTGAGGTTTGCTGCCCCACCACAACTACCCAGGGCTTTCTCACCATGTGCAAACTGCTGCTGTGCAAGGGTGTAGGGCTGCTGGAGCCTGGAGCTCCTGCCCTGCACCAAAGCCTCAACCCACCCAGGCTTTCTCTAGCTCCTCTGTCCTGTTGGGGTGGGATGGGGCTGTGAAGTGAACATACCCCTAATGAAAACACAGCTCAGATCAGGTGTTGAGCAGTGGAAGCTGGAAATGACTCCCTTGCCTCTCTGCCCAAGTGTCTTTCTCTTTGAGCTTCCCAGGCTCTGATCTGTATCTACTTGCTCTCTTGACTTGTTTTTCCCCAAGCCCAGCTATATCCTTTCCTCAGCCTAATTCATGTATCCTGGGCTAGCCTTGAACTCTATGTAGCCGATGACCTTGAATTTATGATCTTCTTAGTCCTACCTCCTGAGTGCTAGGATTACTTATAAATGTGCTACAACATCCAGTTCTATGTGGTACTGGTGATCAGACTCAGGGCTTCATGCACACTAGGCAAGCACTCTGCCATCTGAGCTATATCCCCATCCCATAGCAGGATTTTTGTTTTCTTGCGACAGGATTTGCCTAGGTAGACCAGGCTAGCCTCATATTTGTTGCAGTCTTCCTGTCTCTCCCTCCTGGGTGCTGGGATTACAGATGTACTACACCAAGCCAACACCAAGCTTTATTATTATTAAAAACGTGGGGGGGTGCTCAAAAGATGGCTGTTAAGAGTACTGGCTGTTCTTGCAGAGGACCTGGGTTCGGTTCCCAGCACCCACATGGTGGCTAACAACTGTCCCTAACTGCAATCTAGGACATCTAACATCCTCTTCTGGCTTTCATGGGCATTGTATGACATGGGTGCACTTACGTCTTACATATATATGCAGGCAGAGCACTCCTACACATAAAATAAATTTAAAAAAATTAACTTTCCAGAGGCTGGAGAGACGGCTCAGCAGTTAAGAATTTGTGCTGTTCTTGCAGAGGACCCCAGTTTGGTCCCAGCACCCATGTGGGGTGGCTTACAACTACCTGTAACTCCAGATCCAGGGAATCCGACACCCTTTTCTGGCCTCTGAGGATGCTACATTCATGTGCACATACAGACATGTATGCACATCATTAAAAAAAATTTATTTTTGGTTTTTTTTTGGGGGGGGGTCTTTTTCGAGACAGGGTCTCCCTGTAGCCCCAGCTGTCCTGGCCCCATCCCCAGCATTTTAGGCATTTGTTGAATCATTTGGGGTTTTTCTTTTTTTGGTCAGAGACAGGGTCTCCCTGTAGCCCCAGCTGTCCTGGAACTCTGTGTAGACCAGGCTGGCCTTGAACTCACAGAGATCTGCCTGCCTCTGCCTCCCAACTGCTGGGATTAAAGGCATGCGCCACCACGCCCGGCTAAAAATAAATTTTTAAATAAGACTTTTAATGGAAAACCAAAGCAATGGAACAAAGAAAATGTACTGAGTGCTGCTCATCACCACATCCTAGTGTGGCTGGCTTCTCATGTGGTAAGGATACTCCCTTACCACTCTAGCTTGAGAAGCCAGAAAGCTCACTGGCTCTTTCCTTGGTGCCTCCCTGCCTCTCTTGGCCACCATCTTGTCACTCTGGTTTCTGGAAGGTGGGAGGAATCCTCAGACCCTCTGAGGATGTATCTTCCAAACGAAAAAAACAAACCTTTTTCTATTTTTTTCATTTTGGCAGTGCTGGGGTCTTATGTGCTAGGCCAGTACTGCATTCACTCAGTGTCTGAAGAACTCCACCACCAGTTTATGCCCACTCAGAAGAGCAGTGATACCCACTCCCACTATGTAGCCTGGTAGTTTTCAACCCTGGGCATATATCAGAACCAAACAGAGAACTCTCAGACAGTTCTGTCCATTCCTAATACTGGCTGAACTGCTGAAAAGGTGGGAACTAGCACTTTTACTATTTGTGTGTATAGTATATATATATATACATATGTGTGTGTGCACATACCCATGTGCATGTGGGCACATATGTGCAGAAGCCAGAGGAGGACGTTGGCTGTCCTGCTGTGTCACTCTCTGCCTTCCACCCTCAAGGCAGGGTCTCTCCTGAACCTGGAGCTAGGCTGGCAGTCAGCAAGCCCCAAGATCCTTCCTTTCTTCCACCCACCATGCTGGGGTTTCAGACATGTATGCTGGGAATTCAAACTCAGGTCCTCCTGCTTATACATCAGGTTCTCCATTGAACCATCTCCCCAGCATAGCACCAGCATCTTAAGCAGTCCAGGTGCTTCTCCCATGCATCAGTGGAGCCCTGTTGAGGGCCTGCCTCTCCCAAGTTCTTGGCTGCCTGACCCTTGGTGACTCCCTCAGAACATGCCTTCCCCTCCCTTCTCACACAATTTTTTTTTTTTGAGCTAGGATCTCCCTCCTAGCTGGCCTGGGGCTCACTATGCAGACCAGGCTGACCTTGATCTCACAGAGCTCTACCTGACTCTGCCTCCCCAGTGCTGAGATTAAAGATGTTAGCCACCACACCTGACCTCACACAAGGCTGGAAGTTGGGCATCATGGTACATGCCTATAACTGAAACACTCAGGAGGTTGAGAAAGGAGGATTGCCTTGAGTTCAAGGCCAGCCTGGGCTATACAGCCTGACCTTGTCTCAAAAAAACCCAACCAAACAAAATAAGTTGGGGATTGAACCCAAAGGCCTTGAGCATGCTAAGCAAGCACTCTGTGAACTACACCTCCAGACTCTTTCCACATATCTAAGGACAAGCTTTTGTCAGTACTATAACCATTAATGGTCACACAGCATAAATACAAGGGGACTCACCCCTCACAGTGGCGCCAAGACTGGCAGGCTCTCGGTCCCAGGTGAGCCGAGTAGAAACAACATTGCTCACTAAAAGCCGGCTTCCTGGCTGGTGGAGAGAAATAGCAAATTTGCACTGCCATAACCACTCTGCTCACCTGCCCCCTCTTCTTCAGTGCTGGAAAAGGAATTTAGTGTCTTCCTTGGGGTGAAAGACAGACTCAAAGTGACAGAGAAGCTCTGAGCAGAAGACAAGCTGGAGAACAGTCACTGTGTCCACACACTCACAGTTTATTGCTGTGCTGTGTAGGGATGACACCGTGCAAATGCCAAAGTGCATTGAATAGAGGTCAGGGTCTTTGACACCCAGACCCTCAAACGTGTACGAATCTGAAGAGTGCAGACCCAATCCACCCAGGGAGATCTGCTCCTGTCCCACACCAGCACCTGTGCACACGCACATACACGCATGCATGCATGATGCTCTTCAGAGCAGCAGTGAAGTCCTCCCCCGCTGGGAGGAATGCGGGAGAGGTAGAGGTCATTGAGTTTCCTCCTCTTTCATGTCACCTCTTGGCAACCTGTGCCCAGCTTCGAGAGGCGGCATGGGCAGGAAAAGGAAGCGAAAGGGGCTCTGGCCTGCTCCTCCTTGCCCAGGAGCGAAGCCAACAACTGCAGTTTTGTTGTGAGGTAATGCCTGGCGCCGCCTGTGTGTTCTTGCAGGTTGAGACAGATTCAGGCTGGGTGGGGTGGCAGCCCCAGCCACGGAGGGCACATGAAGAACACCAGAGCTAGCTGCTTGGGCCTTAGCCCCTCGCTGCCAGGACTTGGAGGTCTGGAGTTGGGGTACCCTATCCCACTTGTATCCCAAGTCCCTGTCCTCTCCAACTCATTCCACTGGGAGTGCTTGGTGCTGGGCAGGATTCAGAGGGCAAGGCCTACCTCCCCTGGTCACTGACCTCTCTTGCCCAGGTGTTGTGGACCTGCTGAGACGGGTTCGGAGGAAGGCGCCAGAGAGGAACCAGCTGGAGCTGGAGCCCTGGCTGCAGCTACGCCAAAGTTCTCGTTAGCAGCTGCCCCCGCCTGGGCGAGGAGCATGCTTTGGGCATTTGCCATGAGGCGATTGGGAATTTTGCAACAGTCTCCAGGAGGGCAGAGAAAGAAGAGGGGGCTTCCCCTCAGTCCCCTGTGCTGCTGCTTCACCACTGCTCAAGCCACGGAAGCCAGAAAGAAACCTGTTGAGTCCTGGCAGCTTCCATGACACCTAATGCAACAGAGGCCTCCTGGTCCTGTCTCTCTGGTGGGGGTTCCTAGCCAGCCTCGGGGCCAGCAGCTTATTCCCTTTATCCCAGGAGTTGTCTCATGTTGTGGTTCTGGTCACTGTATAGCAAGGACAGTCACACAACACATGAAGGTGCTCGCTGGCCATCGTCCAGGTGCTCTGAAAAGGCCCCAAGGTTATCATGTGGCCTGAGAAGCCAGCTCTTTTGCTCCTCAGCACTTCCTTAAAACCTAGGTTCATGTGGTCATCAGGCCAACGTGTCCTACAGTTAGCCTGGGAGCTGAAACCCCCAGCTTGGAGGACAGTGGCAGCAGGACCAGGCAGGAGGCGCCTTCCCCCGCCCATCATGCTTCTGGCTCAGACTTGTTCTTCCGGGGGTGGAGAGAAGTTCAGGTGAGGACCATGTGGGGGAAACTTGACGAATGCAATTGCAGCCAGCTCCTTGCAGAATTCCTCAAGTACTACCACACCCTGGAGGAGGGTCTGGTGGTCCAGACTAAGGAGAGACAGCAGCAGGTAGGGGAGATGGCATGATTAGGTGTCAGCAGGCTTGCATCTGACATGACAACCCACATCCACAAGACTTGACCCAGTAGAGACACGTCCCAACCTACAGCACTTTCCACCTTCCCAACCCAGGGTACCCATTTCCCTTGTACTTACTGCTCTCCGGGGATTTGGCCCATCAGTTGTTTTCGTACCATAAGCAGTTTGCCTGGAAACTGGGGTACCCTCTGAATTCTTTGCATTAAGTCTCCAATCACCTAGAGTGAAAGCCGGAGAGGACTGAGGTGAGGACCAACCTCATTCCCAAAGGTGTCCCTGGCTCTGCTGCCCCAAAGGAGTGGGGGGGAGTGGTGTTGAAAAACCTGTGCTTTCCCTGGCACTGGTAAAGGGTGCCCAGCCCCTTTGCTTCTCTCTTCCTCCCTGGCCCACCCCCATCCTTACCCTGACAAGCACAGAGAACAGGCTCCTGCAGCCAGGAGCCAGACTGATGTAGGGATCCAGGAGGTACTCGTGGATATGGGGGTGGGGGAAGAGGGCGAGCCGGGACAGGACTGAGGTCACTTGTAGGTTCAAGCTATACGGCTGTAGGGAACAAGATGGGCAACACAAGGGGTGGTGAGCATTTTTGTACTCCCCCAGTAAGGCGCCTGGCTGGTGTGAACGTGCGCGGGGGTGGGAGACTCACGTGATGTGTGTGTCATGGATTCCCTGAGGCTGAGGGCCAGAGCATGTTAGGGCGTGTGGAGACTAGGCAAGACGGGGCTTCCCGCCTGGGGAAAGGTGAAGGGGCTATAGAGTTGAGGAACCAAAGAGGGGTCCACCCCTGTGGCCAGCCTCTATCCTCCTGAAGGACATGAGGCCCAACCTGGAATCTTCTGGGCCTGTTCTTATTGACTACCTGATCCAAAATCCGGGCCATGCGATCAAAGAGCACTTGAAGAAAGTGACCCTCAAAGAAAGGTCTTTCAGGCTCATGAGGGTCCAAGGGTGCAAGGCTCAGGGGCCAGCCCCAGGAGGCCACACGGGAGCTGCACTCCTGGAACTGAAGAAGAGGGGAGAGAGAGTTGAAAAAAGGTCTAAAAGGCCCAGCTGAGAGACCTCCTAAAAGTAGTGTGGGGTTGGGACTGTATAGGCAGAATATGAGGGGAGTTTATAGCCTCTACTCACCAGTCCATAGGCATCGTGGACGTATGTGTCATATCCATTCTCCTCCAGGAAGGCTGATGTCTTGGCTTCCTCAGGGACTAGGCAAAGGAAGCTAAGAGACAGGGGCCTAGGTGTGGAGGTGCCTCCCCAGGATCCCCTCACTCTCTGTCATTCACTGGACCCCAAGAACAGAACATAATTCATGGCTCCAACTGCCTAACCTCCCCACCTGTTGACAATCTCAGTCACTGCTGTTTTCCCATCAGAACTGGTAGCAGGAGCTGGCGGAGGCTTTGTGGAGGGCTGAAGGCCAGAATCAAGGAAGCCATCTGTGAAGTAGGGGTCTTCTTCCAGATCCCTGCAGGCAGGGAGGACCAGCATGCCAATGAATGAATGGGTGTTAAGGGCTGGGCTGGGTCTCTGGCAGCCCCATGCCTCCCTCCCAATTTCACTTACAGAGTGTCCTCATAGCTCTCTGGTTCCTGAGAGCCCCGAGCCACATACAGGCGGCCCTCGAGGTTGCACAAGACTAGGCTGCGGATAACTTGCTCGTGGGGCTTCTGGAGCAGCTCCTCAAATAGCCGCAGAGTAGCAATGCTGATCTGGGGTGAGAGGGGTCAGCAGGGGACCCTCCCCATTACCCTCCTGGTTTCTCAATGCCTGAGAACTGCTGTCCCAGGTTAAAAACAAAACAAAACAAAAACTCCCATAAGGTGGGGGTCACCTCCCTTGGTTAGAGACTAAGGTGGTGGGTATCGGGTGAAAGGTCGCCCAGGAAGCCGGAAGTCTGGAATGATCCCTGTTCAATTTCTCATTTGATGTGCCATCTCAGGCAAACCCAGTGGTATCTCTGTGCCTCCGTTTCCATGCTAGAAAATGAATGGAGCTACCCTATAGAGTGCTTGAGCCTCCAATAAGCCAAATGAATAGGAAAGCAGTTTATGAAATATATAGTGGTATAAAGACTGTGCAGTGGTCAGGCCGGAAAGATGGCTCGGGTTAAGAGCACTGGCTGCTCTTGCAGAGGACTGGGGTTCAGCTCCCAGCACCCACATGGCAGCTACCAACTGTCCAGAACTCCATTTCCAGGGAATCCAGTGCCCTCTTCTGGCCTCCTCGGACAGTGCATGACACGGATGCACTTTACATGCAGGCAAAACAATCATACACAAAAAATAAATTTAAAAAAGTGTGCAATCAGCCAGGTGTAGTGGCGCACACCTTTAATCCTAGCACTCTGGAGACAGAGGCAGGTGAATCTCTGTGAGTTCCAGGCCAGCCTGGTCTACATAGTGAGTTCCAGGCCAGCTGGGGCTACTGAGAGACCCTGTCTCAAAAAGACCAGAAAAAAAAAAAAAAGAAAAGAAAATCATGATAAAGACAGCTTGGCTGTTAATCCCACTGGGCTTTGGCTTAGGCCTGAGGTAGAGCCCCTGGGCCAGCAATAGAAAGTAGGAGGAAGCCCTCTTGATGCTCTGTGCTGGCTGTGGGGCAAGCTGAGGGTCCCTCTGTCTTACCTCATCAGACAGATGGTCACAGTGCATGATGAGGTGTGCACCCAGGGTGCAGGGGCTGCTCTGGGGGGCTGTAGGCTGCTGGTCAGTGCCCAGGAGGAAGGCCACAGCCTCCTGCAGCAGTGCAGTGGAGTGCAGCTGGCGCAGCATAGCTGTCAGCAGGGCGGTGGAGGTCAGGATGCTCTGCTCAGACCTGCAGGGAGAGGGAAAGAGCAGAGGACCAGTGGATGAATGGGTGTGGGGGTGCAAGAACTCTTTCCTGTTTTCACCTTTGGCCAACATGTCTCTAACAATGTCCCCACTCCTCCTGAGGTTCAATATTTAAGGATAAGAAGTTGCGCCCTAGCCCGTGGGGCTTAGAACCATGTATATGTTGGACAGGTCTGGCAAACATTAACCTGTGGAGTCCACAGGTATAATTCTGGCCAAGAAGGTTCCTGGCCTTTGTTATGAGAAAAGGCCTGATAGGGTGGGGCAGACACAGATCAGGGCCATGGACAAGGGAATTGGATGCTTACACATGTAGAAGCTGGGGCTGCAGGGTCTCTACAAATAGCTTCTCAGCCACAGCCTTTGCCAAGGCATCTGCAACCACCTAGGAGCCAAAGAGCATGCCTCCTGTATTCACACCGTTCACAACTGTCCCCGAGAATCATTGTGTTCTCACATTGCCCCAAATATGCCCGAGGGGCCCAGCTGACTAGGGTTAAGCTGGCATCTAGTCCCAGGTTACCATGCATCTGCTCCATTCCCTCCTTGAGATGGGAGAGAACCCCGACCATGCCTGCCCGTGCTCACCGTGTGTGCCTCTGTGATAAGGTGGTCACAGTAATCAAACCAGCCCAGGAAGGCAGCCAGGGCTTCCTTGCCAGGGAAGGATGCCTCATCAGATGGGGCACTGGGTAACCTAAGAAAAAGGGAGGTGGGAGTCTAGAGGACAAGAGGACATCTGGGAACAGGTCTCCCTCTCATCTAAAACCTCTGTTGCTGTGGTCAGTTCTACTGTAGGCTTCATGGTCAGACTGCAGAAGTGAGGCTTCTGGGAGGCTGCAAAGGGCCTGGGGATTGGCTAATACCCCAGGAAGAAGGTAGCCAGCAAGGCTATTTTTTAAAAAATATTATTTTTATGTGTATGAGTATATTGCCTGCATGTAAGTGAGTGCACCCGTGTCGTGCAATGCTGCAGAGGTCAGAAGAGGGTTTCAGATTCCCCTGGAACTGGAGTTAAGGATGGTTCACAACCACCATGTGGGTGCTGGGAATTGAACTCGGGTCCTCTGCAAGAGCTGTCAGTACTCTTAACCGCTGAGCCATCTCTCCAGACCCAAGGCTGTCTATCTTACATAACTACCAGCCCCTGAAGATATTTCCCACCCTTCCCAGATCATGGACCCACCTCCAACTGATGCCCTCTAAAGTGGCGATGTCTCCTGGGTCAAGGAAGGTAGGCATGGACTGGTACAGCTGGCAGAGATGCTTGGCAATTGCCACACAGCAGGAGCTGTTCTGTGTCAAGTAGGCGGCAGCTGCTGGGGAGGCCACGCTTACCAGGAGCAGCAGATTCTCCTGGGCCTTCAGGGCTACCCGACCCTTCTAGGGGATGGGGAGATGATGCTGAGACAGATGTTCTCTTCACCTTTCCCCACCCCTGCCAACTCTGCAGCCAGACCTTGCTCTTGCATAGCCCAAGCAGAGAGGTGATGAGGTTGCTCTCCCCAGGCCCATTTTCTGTCCCCTCAGGCTTAGCAGGCAGAGGACTGTTCAAGGCAGGGACACCACAGCACTCCCTATCCAGTTGGGGATCCCTGTTGTGGGGATAGTCCTTATCCCTGTGGCCAGCTGTGTCTTTAGGCAGAGCGGTAGATTCTCTGAATGCCTTCTTCTTATCTATAATCTTTTTACCCTGCAAAGAAGGTGGGGTGAGGCCAAGGTCACAGTGGAGGCCCTTCCATACCACAGGGTGCTTCCTTGAAAGTGCAGGGTAAGAGCCAGGTGTGGTGGAGCACTCCTGTAATCCTAGCACTCAGAGGGAGATGATCACAAGTTCAAAGCCAGCCTGGGCTACACAGGAAGACTGTGTGTCTCGCCAGGTTTGACAGCACATACTCTGATTCTAGAACTTGGGAGGCTGAGGCAGGAGGATTGTTAAGATTGAGGCCAGCCTGTGATGGGGGAGGAGAGAGAGGGAGAGAGAGTGAGAGAGAGGGAGAAGGAGGGAGAAAGGGAGGGAGAGGGGGAGGGAGGGAGAGATGGAGGGAGGGAGGGAAGGAGAGCGTCTGTCTCAAAAGGCAAAATTGGAGCCAGCCAGATGGCTCAGCCAGTAAAGACACTTGCTACAGCAGCTTAGAAACCTGAGTTCAATTACCAGAACCCATGCAATAGTGGAAGAGAACTGACTCCACAAAACTGCCCTCTGACCTCCACATGCATCCACACTGATATATCATGAACACACACATACATTTTTAAAAGGTCAAAAGGGGCTGGGGATGTGGCTCAGTAGGTAAGCGCCTAGCATTAATGAAGCCCTGGGTCTGTTCCCTAGCACTTTATGAACAGGGCATAGTGAGGCATGGTGGTAATAGGCCTATAACTCAACACTAGGGAGATGGAGGGAGGAGGATCAGAAGTTCAAAGTCATTGTTGACTACATAGTGAATTTGAAGCCAGCCTGGGCTACATGAGACTCTGAAAAAAGAAAAAAAAAAGCCAGAAACAACAGAAGAGGGCAGTGGGTAGAAGACAGGGCCTCAGCCTGGAGTGCCTGTGGCACTGTCCTTTCCTTCTTCCTCAGCAGGACCAACTCCCATTCCCCATAGAAGCACTTACTTCCAGGATATAGGCAAGCAGCTCTGGATCTTGCTGGATCTTAGAGCAGAGGACACTGGTGAATTGTACCTCCTCCTTTTCTGTGAGGGACCCAGGGGCTGTCCCACCAATTCGAAGAAGTTTCTGGAAGGGTAATAGAACAGAAACCAAGAAGAATGGAGTTTGGGGAAGGGGGAACCCTATGACCTGACACCCCATAGCTTCCTGACCCTCACCTGCACAGGTCTGTGGACACTGAGGTAGTGCAACAGGGGGTGCTGCACCTGGGCCAGGACCTTGCTGAAGAACTGGAACACCTGCTGCCGCATGCCTGGGGGGTACTGGGTCAGGAACAGAGTATCCTGTCAGAGTCGAGGCCACCGCCACCTGTCTTGAACAGTCTTCCCTCCAGAACCAGGAGCCTGACTCCTTCCCAGTCATGGCGCATAGAGGCCTCCTTCCCTTAACAGTGTGTGCAGCTGGTCTTCCCCATGCCCCTAACCTCCTTCTCTTAGTTTTCTTCATAAGTGGGTCATTACTGAACACACTGCAGCTGACCTTCCATATATGCTGAGTTTGTATCTACAGATTCAACCAACCTCAGATCAAAAATATTCAGAACATGTACAGACATTTTTCTTGTTATTCCTTAATCAATGCATTATTGTATTAAGTGTAAGTAATCCAGATATGATTTAAAGGTACAGAAGAACATGTATAGGCTACAAACACAGTCATCCCTAGGTAGGATTGGATCTGGAGATCAATCTGTCCATCATAATCTACCTATCATCTATCTTCTCTCTATATGCCTTTTTGTTTGTGGAACTCATTAAATTTTTTTTACATTTATTTATTGCGTGTGTGTGTGTGTGTGTGCACGTGTGCGCATGTGTTCATGCATGCCATATTACACATGTTAAAATCAGAGGACAACTTGAAGGAATTGGTTCTCTCCTACCATGTGGGTCCCAGAGATCAAACTCAGATTGTCGTCAGGCTTGGGGGCAAGTGCCTTTACACACTGAGTCATTTTGTGGGCCCCTGGGCCTTGTTTTATATAAGGGACTTGAGAATCCATGGATTTGGATCTGAGGGAAAGGGTAGCAAGGCCCTGGGATCAATCCTCCATGGATAAGGAGAGCTCACTATGTACAATTATCCTGCCCCTCAATCCCTAGCACCTAGAACACAGCCCAGCAAACAACAGGTATTCAGTCCCTCTGTGCTGAGTGAGGAGGGATGTTGTTGCAAGTGACACAGTCACACTACTTGTCCTTTTTGACCGTTCACCCTAACATCAGGGAGGAGCAGAAGAATGAGGGTTTAGTGAACTGAAAGTTTCCAGATGTCCTGGTGGCATGCCCACCTCAGCCTTGCCCAGTGTGCACAGGGTCTCCAGTATCTTGTGCTGTAGTAGGTATTCGAGACATGGCCCAGCCTCGCCAGCAGCTGCCTGCTGCCTCTCTTCATATACCAGGATGTCCAGCATCTGCTTCAGCCGCCAGGGAATATCTGTTTTCTTGGCCGGGGTGTTTTCATCTAGTCAAGGTTCAGGACACAAGGGTGGGTGGCAAGAAAAGGAGCACTAGAAGTTAAAAGCGACACCCTTTCATGCCAAGTGTAAAAGGAAATCATGCCTGAGATGGGCCAAGGGCCATTAGGAGATGAAAGTTTACAGTCAATGATTGTGTATTTCAAAAAGACAAAAGTCTGGGGATCAGACCCAGGACATAGCCTACTGGCAATGTGTGTGCTTGCCCCAGCACATCATCAGGAGTACAGAAATATTTCCTTCCAAAACTGGGGACAAGGACACCTCATGGGCCCAAAGGAGGACATGGATTCCAAAAAGATGTTTCAAGAACTGCCTGTCTACTCCAGGCCTCAGTGAGCAGTTATGAGGTCTGTACTGCAACTGTTGAGCCTGTATTCTATCACCTTCCCGAGTGACCATCTCCTGGGGGCCTGTTCTTGTCCCTTTTCCATTCATGGAAGTCAGTACAAAGCATAGACGATCTGATCTGTGTACCAACCTTGCTTGATCCAGGGGTGGCAGTGGGGCGGGGAGGGGGAGGAGGGGGATCGAGAGCCACCTTTCCTGGAGCTTTAGAAGTCAGCCAGAAGGGTACAGTACCCTTTTGGAGAAAGCTTTGCAGCTGGGGTTGGAGCACCCCCTAGCTTTGCTTTAAGGCACCCTCTCCCTATTGCTCTGATGGGGACTGTTCTGGAAATTAAAGGCCTAAATGCAGAGAAAGCCCCAGGTGGGTTGAGCTTTAGGCTGAGCTTGGTGGCACAGGCTTATAATCGCAGCTGCTCAAGAGGCTGATGAGGCAGGAGTATTATAGTTCAAGGCCTGCCTGAGCTACAGAGAGAGGAGTTCAAGGCCAACCTAGACAACTTAGCAAGATCTTGTCTTAAAAAGTAAAAGGCGGGGGGCAGTGCTAGAGAGATGGCTCGGTGGTTAAGAGCACTGGCTGCTCTTGTAGAGGACCCGGGTTTGATTCCCAGCACCCATATGGTAGCTAACAATCATCCATAATTCCAGTTCTCTTCTAGCCACCATGAACATTGCATCCAGGGGTGCACTTATATACATGCAGGCAGAACATTCATACACATTAAAAAAATAAAAAGTAAAAAGGGTTGGAGATGTATCTGTGTGTGTGTGTGTGTGTGTGTGTGTGTGTGTGTGTGTGTGTGTGTCTGGGTTCAACCAATCCCCAACACACAGAGAGATAGACAGCTTTAGTCTAAAGGAGTGGCTCCTAAGCAGGGGTAAATTTTGCCCCCTGGGAAACACTGCCTAGAGACATTCATGGCTGTCATAACAGAGAGGTGTAGAATCTAGTAGGTAGAAGCCAGAATTTGCTGTTCAAAGGACAACAATGCACAGATATTCCTCCTTCAACAAGAGCAGTCCAGTCTCAATGTCCACTGTGCCAAGACTAAAAGAAGCCTGTTCTAAGGGAATCCTCCAACGGCCCCTCAGAGTGCTCAAGGCCACTTTAGTTTCATGGGCTGCCTCAAGCTGGAAAGAAAGCTTCTAGGAAAGTCACAGGCCCCAGTCTGAATCCAGGGAGATGGAAAGCTAGGGATACAGGATCTGGTTACCTAGCAACCTAGCTTACTGACTACAAAGCAGCTAATCAGATTCTGACCCTCAGTGAGTGATTATGCTGGGTCAGATGCCCCAAGGCTTTGGGCCTTTGAGCTTGGAAAGGACCCAGTCACATTTTCTCCTTCTACATTACCTAGATCTCTACAGGGGAAATGGCCTTAACTTGGCTCAGGGAAACGAATTTATTACATTTCTTTCTTTTTCTCTTCAATTTTTTTTTTTTTAAGATGGGATCTCTTGTACCCCAGAGTGACCATGAACTTCTGACCCTCTTGCCTCCCCTTTCTGAGCATGGGGCTACAGGCATGCACCACCACACCTGGTCTATACAGTGCTAATGAACCCAGGGCTTTATGGATGCTAGGTGTACTGGATAGCTTCTGTTGTCAGCCTCAAACACCTGAGTGGAGGGAACCTCAATTGAGCAATGTCTTCGATTGGATTGGATTGGCCATGTCTATGGGGCATTTTCTAGATTGTTGAGAAAGGTGAGAGGGCAAAATCCACTGTGGGTGATACCACCCATGGGCAGGTGGTCCTGTGTTGTATAAGAAAGCAGCCTGAGCACCGGCCAGAAAAAAGCCAGTAAGTGGGATTCCTCTATAGTCTCTGCTTCAGTTCCTGCCTCCAGGTTCCTTAACTGACTTCTCTCAGGGATGAGCTGTGACCTGGGAGATGTAAGATAAAATAAACCCTTTCCTCCCTGTCTTAGTTTGTTCTTCATTGCTGTGACAAAATACTCTGACCAATACCAATTTGGGGAGGAAAGGATTTATTCAGCTTACATCTCCCAGGTCGCAGTTCATCAGGGAGCCCAAGGTAGGAACTCAGGGCAGGAACCTGGAGGCAGGAGCTGGAGCACAGGCCATGGAGGAATGCTACTTACTGGCTTGCTCCCTAGGCCCCTGCTCAGTCTGCTTTCTTATGCAACACAGGCCCAACTGCCCAGGGGCGGCACCACCCACAGTGGGCTGGGCCCTCCTACATCACTCATCAAGAAGATGCCCTTCAGACATGGCCGCAGGCCAGTCCAATGGAGGCAATTCCCCAACTGAGGCTCCCTCAACCCAGGTGGGTCAAGTTGACACTAAAGCTATCCAGCACACTCCCCAAGTTAATTTTGGTCAGTACTTTATCACAGCAATGGAAACCAAACCAGGACACTAGGCAAGCACTCTACCAACTGAGCTACATCCCCAGCCTGTTACATTTCTTTCTTATTTATTTATTTATTTATTGATTGATTGATTGATTGATTGACTTATTTATTGACTTTTAATTTATTTTTTGGTCTTTTTGAGCCATGGTCTCCCTGTAGCTCCAGCTGGCCTGGAACTCACTATATAGACCAGGCTGGCCTTGAACTCACAGAGATCCACCTGCCTCTGCCTCCTGAGTGCTGGGATTAAAGGTGTGAGCCACCATGCTCAGCATTACATTTCTTTTAATTGACAGTTTTAGTGACAAGCCCTTGGGACTGAAGGCCTGGGGAACTATACCTAGCTGGGAGCTAAAGCAAGTGAAGCCACCTTTACCTTGCCAGTGAGATCCCCAAACTCTTCTCCTCAGTCATCACTCACATGGCTCCTCCTCCCAAAAGGTTGGGCGGGGGGGGGGGGGGGGGCAACAAACAAATCCTTAAGGCTGAAGGCTGAAGAGGCCAGGAATCTGAGTCTTCCTCCGGTCTTTCTGTCTCCTTGGCTCAGTCCTGACTCTGGGCAGTGAATATCACCTTCCCAAGACACCTGCACAGTGACCCTCTGCCCATACTTTTCCCCAGTTCCCTCCTCAGGTCCCAGGTTTGGGAGGAGCAAGCCTACCTGTGCTCTCAATGTAGTACTGTGTGATGCCCTTCCAGTGCTCCACAAAGGCCTGCAGCAGATCAATGCTGGGCTCCCGCTGCAGAGAAAGCAGACACGGCCTCAGTGGGCGATCCCAACGACCATGGGTCCACAGCACCAGCACTCACAGGAATAGACACCCATAGGTCTTCTTAGTGTCTAATCAGGTAAGTTCTAGGCTGTAGAGAAAGCATTCTGCACCCAGCTTTTCAAAGGGAAGAGTGACACATCTCTCCAGGACAGAACATGATGGTCTCCTCAGAGGCCTCCCTCTCCCACATGTCATAGTCTTTGTTCCTGAGAAGTAAGCATGTTGAAGAGGGACCAGGCATGAGTATTTCTGCACAATCTGGTCATGCTACAACAGAAAGACTGCTAGGAATACAGTAGCACCCAAGAAAGAAAAATCACTGGAATGATATACATGGAAAAAACCTTCAGGACCCTCTCCATCGGGGTCTAGGAAAACCTATGCTCAAGGCTATGGCAGGCTCTGTTCAGTAGGAGTTAACACTAGCGTAATCTAAGGGAAGGGCCTTCATCTTTTGTCCCAGGCCTCAGCCTGCATACCCTAACTCTGTCATCCCTTCTTCTGTCACCCTGTCACTATTCTCACAAAGTCCCTCAACTAGCTTGTCCCCAAAATACTCTCTCCATCTCTGCACTCTAGCTGGAACTGGTCTTGAACTAAGGATGACCAACTGCCCTGAAAATGTCTTTTTCTCCTTGTACAGTAAATGCTTACAAGACAGAAATGCATGCACAATCCTACCACAGGTGCTCATTTCTACCTCTAGGTCTTTGCTCAGGCTACCTACTGTCCTAGGAGCCTGTCACCCTCCTATACTTGTCTAGGTTCTGAGACTTCTCAGAGGCTAGTGAAGGACTGGCAGCTCCCTAACGCCTTCGCTTGGACTCCTGCTGGCATACCTCTTCCTAGCTCAGTGCTTTATGGTACCACAGAGCTGGAAGTCTTCTTGAGTCATTCATTCAGTGCACATCTTGTTCGAGGTGCCCACTAGATGCAGGATGTAGCATGCTACAAGCAATCTAAACATGTCTAAGCCTCCATCCCCAGTAAATGTGCCATCAAGAAAATAAAAGAAAGTTACACCAAAAATATAACCTGTGAAGAAGCAGAAGAGGTGGAAAGGGAACTTTAAAAGCGGGGTCACTTCTAAGGGCTGGAGGGACCACTCAGTAGTTAAGAGCACTTGCTGATCTTCTAAGGGATCCAACTTCAGTTCCTACCACCCACCCACATCAGGTAACCACAATCAACTGTAACTCCAGCCACAGGGGATCCAACACCCTCTACTGTACTCTTTAGGCAACGCGCATATGACATACATATAAGCACACATATACACACACTTATACATAAGTAAAAATAAAGATTTTTTTTTCTTTTTGTTTTTTTTTGAGACAGGGTCTCACTATATAGCTCTGGCTGGCCTGGAGCTATGTAGAACAGGCCTGCCTCTGCCTCCCAGTGCTGGGATTGTGTGCCAAGGCAACCAGCAAGATAAATCTTAAAGAAAAAAGAGGGGCCACTAACAGATCTCTTTTGAGAACTCAGACTCCAGCTGGATCAAATTTCAACAGTGTGAGGAAACTATTCCCAGTAGAAAGACCTGGGCAAAGTGCATCTGGGGAAAGGGCAGTGAACACTATGTGGGTCTCCAAGGTCAAATCAAAAGCCTAGTTGTTCTTTTTTTTTTTTTTTAAGCAGCAAGGTCATTGCCACCTTCAGAGGAATGTTTTGGGAAGATCTACCTGCAGTGTCATGACAAAGGCAGGAAGATATTTAGATGGCCAGGTTGACAGGGGAGTGAGGGACAAAACTCAGAGACCTCACTGCAGAGAGTATTCTTTTGAAGTCAGTTGGAGGGGAAGTGACCCTTCTAGAAAAGGATTTCTCAGTCCTTCAAGATGCTCTACCTCAGGTTGGTGACATTGCTCAGCTGTTAAAAAGCTTGCTGCCAAGTTTGATCCTGAGAACTCTGACCTCCAAATGCATGCTGTGGTGGACACGTAGACACAGACACACACACACACATCTAAATAAATGTAATAATAATAATATTATTATTAAAAGAGGGGCTGGAGAGATGGCTCAGCAGTTAAGAGTACTGGCTGCCCTTGCAGAGGACCCAGGTCCTGTTCCCACACCCATATGGCAGCTAATTCTACTTAGTCCTAAACTTCAGTTCCAGGGAATCTGATGCCCTTTTCTGGATTCTGCAGGTACCAGGCGATCACATGGTGCACTTACATACAGGAAGGCAAAACACACACACAAAGTATTTTTTAAAACCCTCCATCCATAAGGAGTGACCTGACTTATCACATTCCATGTAATACTGTTACTCCAGCTCTGCTGGACTGTGAGCTTCCTAAGGCCAAGGCTGTGTTTTCTATATGCCAGACCCAGAAGGATTTTACCAACTTTAAGCAAGCTCCTGAAGGCATTCTTGCCACAGTGACATCTCTTGTAAAGTCCTTGGAACCTTGGCCAACACCCCAGTGACCTCACAGTTTCTGTGATAGGGTCTCACCTAGCCTCAAATTTCATCTACAGTCTCCAAAAACCTTGTGCTGGACTTCAACCAAAATGAATATTCCGAGCCAGGTGTGGTAGCACATGCCATTAATCCCAGTATCAGAAAGCAGAGGTAGGCAGATCTCTGTGAGATTGAGGCCCTACATAATAATTTTGAGGCCAGTTAGGACCCTGTCTCAACACACACACACACACACACACACACACACACACACACACACACACACACAAGACCCAGGTAAAGCAGGGACAACACAAACTGGTAAAGGACAGAAGATAGGGCTGAAATCTCCATCTGAATCTACTACTAGTTACTGTAACCAAAGAAACTGCATCAAATGATTTCCTCTAAAAGATAACATTATTTTTAGAAAGAGCCATAAGGATCTCTAGGTCAGGAAGGAGGGGAAAGGAACACTCTTTCTGGATCATATGCAACTTGGTGGCCCAACTGGGGGGAAAGGCCTAATCCTCAGACTGGGGTGGAGCCAAAAAGAGGGATTCCTATGTGGCATAAATCACACAGGGGCAGCCAGACTTCCAGGCACTGTCCATATGCTGCACACTGAGGGTAACTTGCCTAAAAGTATGTCCCTCCACTCCCTGTATCCTCAGCTCCTGATGCCTGAGCTTTCTGCATTGGGAGTAGAAGAAATTCACTCCTCAGGATCAAGAACTCTTAGGGCCTATCCATCCTTCCAATCCTCCTTGTAAATGGAGCTGTCCCCAGAGCTATGAATTAGTTTATCAGATCACTTTCTAAGACAACATTTGGTTTGACTGGGGACAGGGAGGAGGGAAGGAAAGGTGATTTTGGAACATCTCCCCTATAATTCCAGTGTCCTAGGCCCTGGACCTCAGGAGAGAGCGGGCTGGGGTGGTGGGGCAGGGGGGTGCAGAAGTTTTTCACTTTCTTCGCCAGTTTGCCTAAGGCTGAACCAGATAATAATTAGTAATAATAATAATAATAATAATAATAATAATAAATGCTCTGATTAAGGAAGAAGTGCATGGAGAGAGGGGAGTGAAACCCAAAGCTGTATCTTTAGGGACAGATACACTACAAGCATCAGCTAGAGGGTGTTCTTATACGGTGAGAAGAAATAAATGAACTTTCCAGATAGTTTCTTGCAAGGCTGCTTTAAAGATAGAGGATACCTCACTCTGTTTACACTGCTCTTTGCTCTTGATGAAGTGAAGCCTACAGTGGGCTGCCAGGGACCCAAACACGAACTGACAGATGCGGGGTGGGGGTTGGGGTGGGGATATACTCTTCCAACAAGGCCCCCACGCTGGCGGGCCTCGCTAAATCAAGGTCAGTTTGACTCAGTGGTAGAGATGTGTGGCCCGCAGAGGGCTGCTTCCGGGTTCGGCGACCACCCACCCCTGCACGCTCTCGGTCCCCTTCCTTGGGGACTTAAGTCACAGTGGCCGCAACTCACCCCAGAATGAACCCCAGGGCACCCAGTGCGCGACTCCTGGCTGTCTAGCAGCTGCTAGGGGAAAGGGAGTCTGCAACGACTCCATGTGAGGAGGTATGGAGGAGGGACAGGAAGGAGGAAGGCTGACAGCAGCTGGGGAAGAGGCTGGGGCAGATCCGGGAAGACACCACCGGGTGACCGGGGAGCGTTTGGGGAGAGAAGAGTTAGGGAGCCGGGGAAGCTCCGGTGCGCAGGGAAGCAGGTCGGGGCGCAGAGCCGGGTGCAGTCCCGGAGCCGGGCGGTCAGGAGAGGCTCCGACACCCGGCGGCCCCTGCGGAGCGGTGCGTACAGGGCACGACCCGGCGACAGAGGCCTGGAAGCGGCGTCCGGCCCGCGGAGCGGCCTGTCCGCCGAATCCGCGCCCGCCCGCCCCCGGCCCCG